ACTTACTGTACCATTTTTGTCGTTAATAGTGAACATCAAGAACTTCTGAAGCAGATACAGGAAACTCAGGACTCCAAAGTTCGTGAAGATCTAGAACAGAAGCTGAGTTGCCTTGTAAAACAAATGAACATTAAAGAAGAACAAATATCCAAGCTGAAGAAGCACCAGACTAGTGTAAGAAAAAAAGTAAACTGTCCAGCCTGTAACACTCTAGTTAAAATGGCTACCACAATTCTGCCTCCTGTTGACATTAACTGGAATGTCACTGGAATGCTTAAGCTAGGATGTTCCAATATGGGTGATTAAAATTAGCTTGCTAGTGCAGTGTTCTTGTACACCCAGTTTCTCCTGATCAAAAAACAAACAAACAACAGCAACAACAACAAAAAACACACGAAAAAAACAAAACAAGAAAAAGTACTTAGAGCTGGCAGCCAGATATGTATGACAGTGAAAAAAACCTTCCTGTCCTGTAGCAGCTCTGCAATACAGAGCTAGGTTGCTCAGTCTGTTGCTTCTGCTCACCGTGTTAAGACAGACTGTTGAGATTTCATTCCTTTATACCTTGTCCCTGTGGGGAATGAGAAAATTAAATGCATAATTCCTGTACAGAATGGCTTTTAGATGTCTTGTATATTACTGAAATATTGAATTTCTTATTAACCAAATAGTTTATTGATTGCAACTTCTAAGAAATCATAGCTGGATAAGCCTTTTAGTTTCATTTAACCCCTAACCTGTACGCATTCTGTCAGTATTTGTTTTAGAGCCATAAATAACAGCTTTTCATATATGCTCATATAATACCACACTTCTGTAGATGAGCTTCTTATCCCCCCTGTATCAATTTGGTTTGGAACATAATAAAAAAATGCAGCCTATAATTGTCAGATATTCTTCTGATCTTTCACCTTATTTTGCAGGATAAATAGGCTCACCTAAGAGCTTTACTTATATAAGAAACAAAACAGAACTCAGTGTGAGACTTTAAGGAAAGGGAAAATTATATTTGATTTCAGTGTGAACAACTTCACTCACGTTCATTCTTTGATAGATTTTACCTTTTATTATTCATATACTTGCAAGCCAAAGACACTTATCAAAGTAGTCTTGTCAGGGTTGCATGTAAGCAACATAAACTGAAGACACTGACTGAATCCTCGCTGTCTCTCTTGGCAATGTCTACTGTTTTTTGGATAAATAAGTTATACTCTTGAAGAGCCAACAATTACAGTGTTATTCTTTGCCTCAGAATCTTGCTGACTTCATGAACTTTAGACAGTGGACAACAACTGTATCTTTGCTTCTTCATTTTGCATATCTTTATGGCAACCGCTTGCCTTCATTTGGGGATGATGGGAAAAGGAATGGCACGTATGGTGTGGTACAACTTTGTTATCCTTGTGTGTTATCAAAGTGCACATCTTCTGCTGGCACGTCATCTGTGCTGTGGTACAGCCTTATCAAAGCACACGCCTTTATGGTCATGATGTAAATAGAACATTATTCATGTTTGTCTGTTTGATTATTGTCCATCATGCCCTGGTTATCAATACAAGCCACTCCTGTAAGCCTTGACCTATTCTTTTTTTGGTGCTTTTGCACACACACATTTCTATTTGTATTTTACACAAATCAATCTTAATATCTCTGGTACATATTTCTGCGTTTAGAACCTGTCATGTTAAAAATGCTGTAGCTATCTTTGTTTTACAGTTAATAATATACTCTAGAATGCAATTAAAATTCGTTATTTTTAGAAGTAGACTTAAAGCCTGAATTGGCATATGGAATGTTGCCACCCTAATTTTACCTTCAGGACTGACATTTTCATGCCAAATGCAAGTCAAGACTTATCTGACATTTAAAAAACATTCTGTAGCACTCAAGCATATTTATTCTGTTTCTTGATTCTGTTGTGAGGCCTACAAGTAAGCTGCTGAGATATGGTAATCTATAATAGTCTGTATAGATTCTTGTTAATATGGTAGTAAAATCTGAAATGTGAAAAGACCATCATAAATGTAAATTGGTAACAGATGATATTTGGGCTCTCTCTCTCTCAAGCAAGCATTTTTACTTTAGGGAGTGGTGAGGTTCAACAGTGTGCTGAGTGTGAGTGAGGTCAGTTTTCTGTAATGCTTTCTGTGTGGGCGAGGTCAGTTTTCTGTAAAACTTTCAGCAAGACAACTGTATGCAAGATGAGTAGGTTTTAATTATTTTTTTAAAAGGCCATTAGGCATCTTTAGCTTGGAGTTTGGTAGAAATTTAAGTTACACAGCAGTAGTTCTTCCAAGTTTGTAACATTCTAATTATTTATCTTTCTTCTAGGTGCAGAAATTAAAGCGAAAGACTCAGAAATTGAAACAAGAGGCAGCTCATGTCAAACAAAAATATGGTAACCAAAAGGAAGCGAAGGAGATTGCAGTCACTGTAAGGCAAAGTATGTCCAAATCTCATGCTGGACAGAAAAGTAGCAGCTCTCTTCAGCTGCTAAAAAATGTGCAGAAGCTTCAGTCAACACTGAAAAAAGATGATATTATGTGGGAACAATAGTTCTGAAGTTTACTGGGTTAGAAGCTTTGAAGTTGTTTGACAGCTAGTGAATTTTAAATTTCACAACGTAGCTTTTAAAAATAAAATAGATATAGCAATTCACATTCTAAAGTATTTAACAACTAGTAGGTCAGTTTGTTCTCCTCAGAATTAACTTTCATGTAGCATAGCTATAATTCCACTACACCGAATTGTAATAAAGTATTTTAATGGATTGATGAAATGCTTACGCATTAACTTGTCAAATAAAACTTAATACGCTTCTTAAACTTAAAATAATATGAAGCCTTTGGTGTCCTGTTGTCCCCTACCTCCTGCCAAGAAGATACTTAAAGTTTGCTTTTCCAGAATGACTACGGCTAGTGCTTCTGTTCCAAGACAGCCAGTGTTTTTCCGAAAGCCAGTGTTTTTCCCTTTTCTCTACTAACTGAAGGTTCACAATCTGAATCTTCAGATCATTGCAACCGAGGCAGAAAAAGAGGAATTGTCTCTTGTTTATATACTTACACTTATTATGTAAGCTTTATTGACAATCTTAGTGTCAGGGAATGCTATGGATTGGAAGCAAATAGCTATGCAGCTTTGCATGTATAACCCTTCAGACCTAGTAAAAAAACAGCTGTTTCATGGTAACTTCCTATTAAGCATCCCATTGTTTTGACAAGTTTGAAGTAGCTGACTTAAAACTCTGAAGAAGAATAAGCAATTTTAAATGACTTTCACTGTGCCTATGAGTAGAAGTTTTCACAAAAACAGTCAGTAAATTGATGTGTTTGTCCCCAGCAGATACTGCATCTGCAGGATCAGGACTAGTGATAGTGAATGTTGACATGAAGAAGGAAACAGAAGGACTTAAGAAGCACATGTAGGGGAGGAAATGGCAAGGAGTGACATCTGGGAGGAGAATATTGGTTTGCTTGCCATTCCAAGACTGTGTTTATGGCTCTGTAAAATTTTTAGCACCCAGGTTGATGCAAGAATGAGGAGGGACAGGCGTAGGGGAAGAAAAAAGTGTTTCCATTTTTCAAAAATGTTCTACTGCATATCTCATATATGAAAAGAAAGAAGTGGTCTTTTAAAGCCCCTCTACAGGTAAGAAAAAAAATGGAAGCATGCCCTCTTGTTACGGCTTTGAACGCTAGTGATTTGTAGTCACAATGGAAAGTTGGGTCTTCAAATCACTGTTTCGCTCTGGCATCTGACAAGAGAAGGGGTTGTGACATTTTTCAGACAATTAACTTAAATTTAGAATAAACTGTTACAATCTTTGACAGGAGTTGTGTGTGAGAGCTTTTTGGGGCAGGTTTGAGGTGGGCAGTGAAGTTTATATGTCATAAACATCTTTATGGGGACTGTGGGAAACCAGGTTTTTCAGCAGATACCTCGGAATGAATTTCCTCCATTCTTCATTTCCTTCTTTGTTATGGATTATCTCTGGCTTAGAAAAGCACATCGTATGCTTAAAAGCACTTGAACACATTTCTAAACATGGTATTTTCCTGGTATAGATAGCATTTCTGAGGTAGGCTTACACGTTTCTGGATGCTGGAATTGCTGATAGTGGAGACAAAAGAAAAATGAGTATTTCTGCTGTTAACATTTTCAGACTGTTTGTATCCTGCTGCCACGAGATAAGCCTTTGCCATTCCTAGAGGTAGTTAAATAATCTCTGAAGCTCTGTATGTGCAAGTGAGAAGGGCTCATTGTGCCTTAAGGAGCCTAAAGCATTGTCTTTCATGTAGAGGTCCAGCCTGACGTGAAAATACTCAGACATTGGATTGAGAGAAAAATTGGCAGTGTTTTGCCCCAAATACATAAAAATGGGCAGGAGTGAGAGCCAGAAGGCCCCAAGGCCTTGCAGGTGGGGCTTGAGGCCGTCACAGCTCTGGTAGCTTGGGGTTGCTATAGGGAGAGCTGGGCCTGCCCGGGCAGGGTGCTGGCACATCAGTCACCTGCTCCATCTGTGCCCTGACCTGGTGTTTGTGTTGTCTGTGGAAACCAGGGGAGAAGGTGCCATCTTGGTGCTGGAGAAGGAGGACCCATGCTCTCCATGTGGCGGAGGGCAGCAGCTTGGTGGCAGGCAGTCAGCCAGGTATCGGATGGGGCAGTGCTTCAGCGATGAAAGCCTTGAATAGCCAGGCTTCAAAATGTGCCTGCCTGCCTGCTGACGGGATATCTGGTCCCAGAGCCCAGAATTAAGCTGCTCTGCTTGCTATTTTGTGGGGTGAGGGGCTGGAGGGAAAAGGGAAAAACTGCTAAAACGGGTCCTGTCAGCAGCTGGGCAGGGAGGGGTTGGGAATCAGCTTGTGTATTTATTTAGTAGCACATTCACAGTTTGGAGCAATTGGCAACCACATAAGGTAAGCCTTCAGAGAGATACACAGCGATGAGCGATGACACAGAACGGCAGTGATGAGGTGAACTTTGTGCACAAGTGCTGGCAAGGTCCGGGTCCCAAGGGGATCAGGCACCCAGATTCCAGCGGGATTTGAACGCTCTAAAAAGTGCTGGCCTTGGACTCCGTAAACATATATTTGGAGAAAGCACTGTGGTTAGAGCAGTCTTTTTTTATAAGAACAGTATGTTTTGGCTTAGTAAATGCTTGCTCTACTCTTTTACAGATTCTTGTTTTGATTTATATCTTGCATGTTCTTGTTTGTCTCCTTGAGTGAAACTGTATATTCTTTTTTTTTTTTTTTTATAAATGTTTTGAATCTAGCTATAAAGGGCAGCAGACAAAAACACGCAGTGATCCCAAAAAAAGACTAATTGGTTTATTTACTCAAAATCCTGGCTCTTTTATGCTGAGTTATGCAAAATTACCACAGCAAGAATGATCATTGACAACAGGTTTTGTTAGTGTTTTAATCTAGGGTTGTATTTTATGGCTAGACTTTAAGGAAATTGGACAAAAGATGTAGGTCAAACAGTATAATTAAAAATACAGAACAGCAGATTGGATCCAATAATAATTCACTTTCCTGCTGCTAATGAAATATGCTAGCACAAATTAATGGCTTGTTACTTAAGCCCGTTGGAAAGACTTTGTCCCAGTACAAAAGGCATTCAGTTTGAAAATGTGTGTTACAATCTTCTAACCAGCAAAGCTAGAGATTGGACATAGCTATAAATCCAGTGTGTTCTGGGAATAGAAGCTGGCAAAAACACTCCTAGCAAAATATCAGAGCAGGATCTCACTGGGATTTGGAGAGCGGCTAATGTAACCGAGTGCAGATGTTTATGTGGACCGAAAGACATTCCCAGAATAAGAATACCATACAAACACATGGTGATTTTTATAGCAGAAAAACAAGGAAGTGGGGATAATAAAACATATGCTCTTATTTCTGATGAAGCATTTGCTGTTTTGCTCAATGCGCCTCTACTGAAGTGGGCAAGGCTGCCTCTCCAGTGCCTGCTGCTGGGGCCTATGGAAGCTTCTGGAAGTCCTTGGGTTGTGGGGCTGGTGCTCATGTGAAGCTCCACAGACTCCCTGTGTGGCTCCCTTGGTCTTTCTGAACTTCGCAGAGGAAGTAAGAGTTTCTGAAAGTGTGATGTATCACACGCTGAGGTAACAGCTAAAATAGGTCAGGTGGATTTCATCCCAGACACCTGGTTCTCACTACAGGCTACAAAGGGAGCCTAGGGTGATGAGCTTAAATGAAGGTATTTGTGTTATACATAGATTTTAGTCAGATAAATTCTGACTGAACGTGGAGCTTTTTCCACTGATTTCTGGGAATCTGGGATTAACTCCTCAAAATTCATGGTGACAGAAGTGCTGCTTACATGTAGGGCTGCTGATGGGTTGCGAGTCCTATGCATGACACTGCTTGCAACCATTTGTCCTGTCTTCATGCCAGCCTCACATGCACTGGCCTAAATGTGGGTCCCCTTCCTGAAAATGCTCTCAGGGTAACTCTACCAAGAAGAGCAGTCTCACTGACCTGAAACTAGGACATCAGGGTCTCAGTACTCTGTGGTTGAGGAAGAGGCAGATTGCTACCAGGCCTTTATGGCCTATGGAGCCCTTTCCTTCCCTACCGTATACTATCTCTATAATTTTTTCACAAACCTATCAAGTTGCACCCGAAACCAGGCAGACTATTTGTACCCAGTTCTCATACTATAAAAGTGTATTTTGCTGATGCTTCAGACAAGTTCCTTCTGCAAGTTGAGTTTATTTCTGGGCAGATTTACTATTTTGCCAAAAATTTTGCTTTTCTGGTTATCTGGAGAAGTGGTAATTTATATTTCTGCTGCTTCACTCCCCTCAGCTAACTCAACTTCAGTTCCATCTTCTATATCATAGCATGAACTAAGTAATTCCCATTAGTTTGTAGCCGTATCTGAATTATTTTTATCTGAACTCTACTGCCTGCATAGTGGCATCTTTTCTTCCCCTCTTGCTAACAAGGATTGTCTGCTTTTTATTTTCCTTACCAGTGTTTAGTTTAGCTGGTATTTTTTGCTTTAGTTCTGGGCTTCCCAGCACTTGTTTCTTTTCCTGTTTTCATTCTCTGCCTTTAACTTTTTCATTGGCTGCACCATCCTTTCTTACAAGCTCTTTACCCTGCTTTTATTTTGAGCACAACTATCTTCTCTTGCATGTGAAGTTCAGAGAACTGAATTCTCTAATTCCTTCTTTGGTTGCTTAGTGCAGCTCTTACTATCTCTTAACAGAGACAAGGATTTGCCCGAGACCTTAGGATACTGTTGACCAACAAGATCTGCAATAATGTATATCCTACACTTCTGTATTCAACCTCTGTATTGTTTGTTTGTTTAAGAAAAAGGGAGAAACCTTATGCCCACAGCTGCCAAACAGATTCTGCAGACCACTGAGAAACAGATGCTACAGATTGTTACTTAGTGGTCGATTACAAATAAACTTGCCTCTTCCTTCCCTTTGCCCCCAAGAAAGAAAACCCAAATCTTTCTTCAATGACTTGCTGCTTTTCCTTAAAAAGACAGCTCCAATTTTTTTATTTTTTTGCTTTTTAATTGATTACACATCTAACTGACAAGGTAGTAAATAACTATAATTCCAGATGTGGGGAAGGAACGCAGCTACTTTAGAAATTATCCAAAAAAAAAAAAAAAAGGATTTTCCCATGAGAACTGAGTGACTTTAGTAAAAGGGGATTATTTGCAGACAACACTCTGTCAAAAAGTGGCATTTCTCGCAAGTTTTTCTACTCCTCGTATTCTGGTCAACCTCAAGTAATAGTTTCAGGTGAGAGAAATAGTGAAAAAATAGATTTTGAAGCTCAGTGGTTTTTATTTTGGAAAATAATTAAAGCAAAAAAGCATCAATCGTTTTCTTGTAAAATGTTTTATTCAGCATATCAAATTTCATTTTTTGATTATCCAAAGTTTCTGGAGTGTTCTTAATAAACTGGGTAAAGAAGGGAGGAGATACTATTTGCTAGCGGGATTAGGGTGGGGTCTTGAAAAAATTTGGCCCAGAACAGTTATCTCCTATTTTTGTCAGGCTAGTATTCAAAATGGGAAGAATCCATTCCACCCAGTTCTGTTCCAGCTATTAAAATAAAATTCTCATTAAAGGAAATGCTGAATAGATAGTTTTTTTTATGAAGATGCTATGTGTTATATACTGTTTATATATCCACTTATATATTTTTATATAAACAATATATAGAACAATATATAGGAGTGGGAATTTATGCCATTTACATAGACATTTCTCCAGGTCTAGATTTCACAGGTGATTTATTCTTGAGAAAGGAGCTGCCTCTTCTCGACTGCTTTGTCTTTTGGTCTGCCAAATGGAAATACACAAAATGGATGAAGTATACAAGATCTCTTCTACTGAGAAGGTCCAGCAGCTGGAAAGAGAACTAGCAGCACAGTTGGCAGAGCTGAAGGCACAAATAGAGGACAACGGGGTACTCCAGGGAACACCAGGCAGAGCATACAGGTAACGATAATTTCCTGAGGCATGTAGGAAAGAGTGAGATTATAACAAAGCATTGCATCTCTCTCTTTTTGCCTTTTATTTTATTCATTTTTTCAAATAATATAGATTTCATGTGTCTAAATATTCAATTTAGTGACTTCAATACATACATGGGAACCATGAATAGCAGGTTTTTCTTTGTGTGTACCCCACCATTACATTAGAAATGGAAGAAAATGTGAAAGCATAAACTAAATCCCATTTCATGTCATGTATTGCAAACAGAACTTTAAACCTGCCTAGCATGTTAAGTACTTCTTTCTTGTGGTGAAGAGGAAGTAGCTTTAAACATAATGCTGGGATGTCTAAACAGAATGGTCACAAGTAAGACAGCTGCTCTTACTTTCCTCAGCCATAATGAGATATAAACTGTGACAATGCACCCAGGTTTGGCTTCAGGCAAGCTGTAGACCACCTGGAGAATATTTGAAGGAAAACAGACATCAAGCAGTCTTGACTATGACACTTGAGACAAAAAGGAAAGCAGATGGACTACTGTCTCCACTCCACTCTGAATTATAAATCTTCAGACACGTGGGAGATTCTTGTTAAGACAAGGGGAACACATTTCTGTTTTCATTTATGAATAGGAAAAAAACATGGGCCAAAATTCAAACTTTTCAAATACAGTGTTAATTAAACACTGATGTCTAGTCGAGGAGGTTGCTGACCATTCATGATTGGAGGCCTTTAAGAACAAGATAGATAAATATTTGAAAGCAAAAATTTACTTTTCCTGCCTTAGAGCAGTTGGAATGCTAGATGATCACAAAAATTCCCCCAGTCCAACCTCACTAGGGTTCTGAAGTGTTCCAGGGGCATTTCCCATATATTACTTTTGGCCAAGATTCAGAAGCAGTTTTCTAATGGCCCAGGTTTCACCTATGTTTTTAATTTACATGCATACATTTTTATTCAGTTAAATAAAAAATTTGCTACATATGCTTGCTGCAAGTCTATTGATGCATGAAAATTGAAAAAACAGTTTTCATCCACAACTTTTCTCAGCCCCTTGTGATGCAGACATTTTAGGAAAGAAGCTGGTTAATTATGAAGGATGCTTGTCAAGGAACTCTGCATAATTGTGGGCTGTCATATGTGCCCATAAAATTGACAAGCATCCAGATGGACTTTTTAAAGACTTTGACTAAAGAAAATGGAGGTGGAAGAAAGTAGTGTGCCAAAAAAATTCTTCTAATTAAATAAATGATGCTGCTTTAGTATAGGTTTTTATACCATTAAACTCGCTTACTGTTAACCTCGCCATTTGAGTTGTGCTGGGCCTTACCAATGTTTGCTTTCTACAGGCTTGTGTGCAACATTCTGCTGAATGTTTCCTTTTTCTCTGCAGCTCTGTTCCAGTTCCAAAGGATGTAACTTATTTCAGAAAAGAAAGGGAGGTAATACTGAAAAAAGTCTTACAGGTAGGTAGCTAAATCATACACTAGCTTAAAATAGGTCACCAAGTCAGAAGTGAAAATTAAATTCAGGAAAAGTGATATGTTTTGGGGAATGAAAAACAATCTAGGCCTGTAATATTTCTTTGCCACAGCTCCCAACTAAATTCAAAGTCTGAGTATTTTTCTATATTCACCACTCAGGAGATATATTCAAAATACGCTCTGTTTGCAGGTGACAGAGGCAAAACCCCTTGTTATTCAGGCTGATGTCATGCAGAGGGAGTTAGAGAGCTGCTGGAGAAGGGAGTACACAGCAGCAAGCTTGCCTCTGCTGCTGCACCAGGTAGGATTTCTGCTTGCTGCAAAGCTCCAGGCAGTTTCTTCTAGCCCAGCAGGTTGCACTGTGATTTTAAAATAAGAATGGTATGCAACTCCTTCCTGATAACAGGCATGAATGTATTAGTGCTTGCAGTTTAAAACATTTCCTTGTCTGATGTGAAATAATCCTATTCTGTTTCTTTGAAGAATGGGAACCTCAGCCAGATCAGATGGGCTGGAACGGTGTTCATGTATTTCCCTGCTGCTTTTGCTCTGTTCTATTATATCTGCGTTGTGGGATATTTTTATTCCAATTTTTAAAATGGAGCTCAAATTTCTAGGCCCAATGGATGGAATTCTGCCATTTTCCTTGTACCAAGTGTTTTTTTTTTTTTCACTTCCCAAAGTAAGAGGTGGATTATCTTGTTGCTTTCTTTCCACTGTGACAACTTAAGTACCCAACATAATATAAATGTATAGAATATTTATATTATTAATAATAATAACAGCTCAGGGGTCTTTGACTATTATTTTGGTGTTGTTTCCTGATGCTTATGATGATCTATATACTGCTTAAGTTTCCTGTCATGTTAAACTGCTGTTGTTTACTAATGTGTGATGTGTTGGTTATTTTTGATTTTATTCAAGTTTTTTACAGACAGAATCACTCAGCTAGTCCAGAGTAAATATTTGCACATGCTTAGATGGAAGAGATTTTGTACACACAGCAGTGTTATTGAGAAGCTTTATCCTCTCTATCAGGTAGGATCCGAAAAGTAGGTTCTAGCACATTTAGTAGATGTTCATGAAAAACAGTGTTTTTCGTTGTTAGCAATGGCTTTTTTTCATCCAAAATAAAAACAAAAATAAAAAATTATTGTTAGGGGTAATTTATAAGACTTTTTAATATTTAGATTTTGGTATAAGTTATGGTAGCATCTGTTTATATGGTATATATAGAATCATAAAATCATTTAGGTATAAAAAGACCTCTAATATAATCCAGTCATAAGTTTCAAGCAATGCAATACTTGCCTGGAATATCACATCCCTGTCTTCCACCTGCTAGTACATAATACGAATATTATGTATGTAATAGGCATTTAACCCTATTTAACTACAGTCATTATGGTTTATTGAAAAATGTAAGCACTTGTAGACAAGCAGCATCTCAAGTCCGGTTCAGGAAGATTGAGAGTTTTTACTTTTTATCTCTGCTTTTATTGTTATTTACTTTAATAGCAGTTATTTTTCTCAGTTCAATATTTTCAATTTTCCAGGAGAAGCAGTTTTTGCTGCAAATAAACTGAGCTCTCTTACAGGTGAAAATGTTTTTTTCCCCTTCAGACACAAATAAATGTCACGCAAAATAGCTTAAATAACTGCCTTGCTACTATGTGACTATTCTTCTTTATAGTTGTAATTCATACTTGTTGATGGAATCTTCTATTAAATCATCTCTATTGTCAACAACTCTATTTTCTGCTAAGCACGGTCGTGCCAGTATTCTCAGTAAATCTTTTGTTCTTTGGGTGGCTGGAATTTTCTGAAGGTTGTGACTGCTGGGAATCATGGTGGTAGAGCTTTGGTAAAGAAGACAGTGAAGAGATCCACCATTTTCCCACATGATCTTAATGACAAGAAGCAGATCTGCAACAGAACTATTAGGGAAATGTATGAGCTGAGGGCCAGGAAAGAGAGAAAACTGATGCTCTGGTGCAGGCAGAGAAAGTGGCAAACTATGTGCGTGCTTATCCAGATCCTGTGCTGTTAAAACTACTTCAGTAACTCATTCTGCCATTATTGATGAAAAGGAAAATGCTGAGTAGATGATGGCCAAAGTGTATTTCCAGTTCCTGGCCAGTTCCAGGCTGCCTCTGACCAGCATAGATGAGCATCTAGATGAGCCATTCCCTAATGGGAAGTTCTCTAACATCAGCAAGATGTGCTTTTAAAAAACTGCACTTTTGCCCAGTCTTTTAATGGAACATACTTTTCTGGCAGGGCACTTGTATGTGAAGTCTCACCTTTTCTGGTGTTACTTGAAGAGTCTGGCCTATTTAAATGGAGAAAACATGTGAAAAGATCCCCCTACATGTTTTTCAACATTATCATTAATCTGTCTGCATTCACACTTTGATGACTTAGTATACTCTGAGCTGTCTGCTTATGGTCAGTGTTAGCTGCTTAGAGAGATTCACTATTTAGAGTGAAATTTGTTTTTCCTCATTGGAAATACCGTTCTTAAGCATTTAGGAAGGAATTAAACCTTAGAGATTATTCTCAAACTGAGACTTCTTAGGGAATGCAATGGTCTTCTAGCTAATTAGTGAAGATGCACAAGTGCAAAAATGATAGTTTCTCTTCTACATTCCTAAATAGCAGCGAGTTAGTCACATCATGGAGGAATATAATGATGCAGTTCAGAGGGCCGCAAGACTTTCAGCTGCAAGGGAGAATTTCCTGACAGGAAAGAAAAATCCAATGAATTTGGTGACACAGGAAGATCTGATGATTTACACTCAGTGGTTAGTGTGCCACTTCCACTCTTTGAAGGGCATTCACCGTTTTCTCCAGGTAAGACAAACATTTTGAGCAGTGAAAATATAATTACACAGCATTCAAATCCTGGGTAAGAAAGTAAATTCAGTAAGATAAAATTCAGTGTAAAAGAAATCTAGAGGTTTTGAAGGTACTGAGCCAAACTCCATACATATGACTTTCAGTTCTTTTAGCATATTGATTTTGCTGGAAAGAAAACACCTAAATTCAGCTTTGTCATTGTTGTAAGTGGAATAATGAGTTCTCTGGCTGCAGGGTAAACAGCTTTGGGCTTCTTGGATTTAAGGAGATCTAGAATGAGGAGGAGAAAGCCTGAGAGACTTTTTTCCATATTGTTACTCTGATACTGTTTTGATAGAGCAGAATGTTATGAAACGGTTGAGTCATCTTGATGAATAGTTAGTAGATTTGAGGAGTATTTAAGTGTTGCTTTTTGAAGACAAATCTGAGTACATCCTTATTTTATCTAGTTTCTTTAATGATTTTATTAGTGCCACAAGTCATTGACAGTGAATGAACTTCTATAATTATACAGAATGGATAACTATATTTTTTTCTTCTGTGTTTTATTTTATTACTAAATTTGCAGTTGAATAGTTGTATGCCTTCTAACTGACTTAGAATAACAACAAATATGTTTTTAAATCCAGATTCTCCAGCATTTGCCTGCTTCTCATAGACTGAATGTGGTTGATGAGAAATGTCCTGATGTGATCCCAAACAACTGGGACAAATTAAGTGCTTTTGACAAGAATTCAGGTATTTTGACTATTAATGTTTTCCTCTTCAAGAGTTTCAGGAAATGGTGAGAAATGATCAGCTTTCCTTTAAAAGTCCTATGGATAATGCATTTGTTTATGTATGTTCTTTAAGAAAGGTCAACAGTGCAAATGTGGGAAATACTGAATGTTGTCCTTGGTTTACATGCTTGAGAAATTTGGAGCATGGCTTTTGAAGTCAGCAAGAATCCTGGAAATCTGGTGTCCAAATTCCGAAGTGTGGAGCCCTAAATCTGTGGCGGTTGCTGCTCTGGCCTCGCCATGCACTGGGCTGCAGAAACAGGCAGTTCAGAAGAATACTTGTGGGATCAGCTCAGTGGAGAATCCAGGATGTTGTCCTGATTATGCCAAACCCTGAAACTCACCCTTCCAACTTTCTGCAAAGATATTATTTAAAATATTTCAGTGGGTGGCCGGTTTCTGGAGAAACTAAGAAAAGGGAGCTATTGTTCTCAGACCCATACTGAACTATCTCTAGAAAAATCTCCTTGTGGTTATTTTCAAGTTCTCTTTCCTTTTGAAGGAAGGGAGCGATGTTGCTTATGTGGAATTACCCACGTGAATGGTACTTAGCCTGACAGCATTCCTGTTGCAGAGTGTTTAAACCCTATAATTTAACCTGTGCTTTTACGGAGTGGGAATGGTGTTGCACTGTAGGAGCCCACGGGACTGTCTCTGGAAAAGCATAGCCCCTGCCTCTCTCCTGGGGGTGGGGCAGGGTGTATGCAGTCAGAAAGTGGACGGAAGGGATGGAGGAACAAAAGGGGGCTGGGACTTGTCTTCCCCCTTCCCTTTCTCCACTGAAAACTTCTACCACAGGGCATGTGCCTGTGGGCCTGCAAGGGGGAGCAGGCCACAACCCTGACCTGGAATGACACTGCCGTGTGAGGGACACTTCGTGGAGAACAGTGTAGGAAGGGAAGAGATGAAGAACAGAGCTAAGGAGAGTGCACATTTACCTGGGAAAGGCACAGGGCCTTTAGCTCTTAGTTGTTGTCTGCCTAATCTCAGACTGGTCTAACTGGCCTTGCTGGTGCAGCACTCTTTCTCCTCTTAGCCCCAGAGGGGTCCCAGGCATGGCATAGCAGCATTGCACCAGGAAAGCAGCACTATCAGTGTTAAGGCACAGGGAGAGGACAATTAAACCCTTCTTCCGTGATAAAGCCCCTCAGACAGGCCACATTTCTCTCACGAGTGGTATAGGAGAGGGAGGGATAAGCCATGATCCCACATATGGTGGGCTAATATTGCATGGAGAATGGCACTAGACCTCCAATATGTTATAGGGTTGATGCGAGCCATTCATTTTGCTGAGAAACAGATGCTTACTGGTATTTAAAAAGCAACTCAGAAGTGATCTAGCTCATTTTGATCTTCAGTATTTAGTTATCTAATATTTGAGGCACAGTAGCATATTACCATCATAAGCTTCATTCATCTCCTAGCTAGATCTGAGCTTCACAGATGAAACAACAGAATGATTAAACAAGACATTAAAAACAAAGACGAAGTAAAGCATGGAACAGAAGAGCAGATGGCCCTTTATTGCTGAAACAATGAGATAATAAATTAGATTACCTGTAGTTCCACTAAACCCCGAGAGTTTTGCTGAACTTTAGCAAACAGTAACTTACCTATTAGAATCATTGTGTGTATCTGCAGTACCCATCAGTATTGGGTAAAGGAGAATGAGCTGGCATTTTTTCAGACTTTCAAAATTCTCTGGAAAAGAAGTAGCAGATACAATGCTGCAGTTTGTTATGGCTTGGCTCGAGACAGAAATCAGGCAGCTGGAATAGTGGTAATCTTTCTGTAGAGAAAGGTGATGGCACAGGGCAAGCTGTAAGATTCTGCGTAAAAGACAGAGTTAAACTTCTCAAAGAGGTGAAAAGATGACAAAACATACAGGAACACGGTAGTTTTGTCTGATCAAAGGTGAAGGAACACCAAAGCCTTGAGCAAACCTGAGATGAGGTAAAGGAGGAGAAAACATTTCCATTCTTCTAAAAATGGGTGCTATACTGCAGACAAGACTCTTCAACACGGATACCAGGCCACTCAGCCATCCCTAGTACACCCTTGTTTCAGAGGTTTGTGATAACAGCATCATGCCAGTATCAGATACTGGAGGAGTGATAACCCTAAAATAGTAACATACTTGAAGTTCTTGTGGCATGTGAAGATTTGGGAGGTGTGTGTGTGTGAGAGAAGAATGCTGTACGCCCCTGAGCTATGACTCTTTGTTCAGGCAGTAGGATCTGTTAGCTGGCATCCTTTACAGCTAGAAGATAGGCACTCCTCCAAGGACCATGGAGGTGACCTGACCTACAACAGCTGTTAGACTTTCAGGGTCTGGTGGAAGGCCCTTCCCTAAAAGCAAAACAAAGATAAAAATCCGTATGAGTGTGGGCTTTTCCCTCCCTCCTTCTTTCTCTGGCATATATCCGCTTCAGTCTGGAAAAAGGAAATTACATCATTGTATGGATGCAAAGCAAAGGGCACTGACAGTACTCTTTGCAGTCATGTTGCTTAAAATGTCAATGTTCTCCAGCTGGACTGGTTATGGCTTTTTGCAGAATCCTGTCACAAGGACACTGGATTCACATTGCCACAGCACAGCACTGAAACCGAGGAGCTGAGACCCCAGCTCCAGCTTCTGATGGCTCACTTTGGTATTGACTATAACCTTGAGGATCTGAAGAACCCAGCCAATGAGATGGAGCTCTTTTCCCTGGTAACTGAAATGTGTTTCTTTATACTTAGGGGAAAAACAAAAAAAGCCTTTAAAAATATGCAAGGAAGTTCCATTTATGACAAGTCAGTGTTTTGTGTCATGGAAAAATAAGGTTATGGTCACTTTTGTTCTTGACAGGAAGTGGCAGAAAAGCCTGGATCATTCCCATTAAGCTGTGGCAAACTCTGACAGTTCTACAGCATTTGTATTTTGCAGTGTTACCGCTCTGAGTCTGTGCCTTTGCTCTCCCATCTCTCACTCGTGTCTTTTGTGTGTTTTTCTCGAGTTTTCCTGCCCCTGTGTTGTGCATCCCAGAGCTGTGGTACTTCCACTAGAGGTCGGCTTCTACACACCATCATCAGGGACTTTGCCAACCTGCTACAGTTAGGGGTTATCAGCAGGAATAGTCTGTTTTTCATCTGTTCCTTCACCTACTAGCAAAACCAACCCCAAACCTCCACTTTGTGTTCAGGGCCCAAAAGAGATACATAGCTGTGAAACATAAATAGCATTGCTTTTAAATATGTCTTGTCTTACAAACCATGGCCTGTAGTGGAGCTGGTGGTACAGATGAAAAGGACAAAGGTTTGGTTACATAAACTGGTCTGTAAGTCTGCCATCAAATTTGACTTGCCCTGGTGAAATCACTGAACTACCCAAGATAAGTACAGGCTAGGAAATAACGCAAATTGCCTTCACTGTAGGCCAGTGGTGCTTGATTAATTTTTGAACAGGATTTTCAAAGAACCTCCTCTTGATGAATGCTATTCCTACCAAAGTTGATGACAATAGATTTATCACTGACTTTGACCAGAAGAGAGTAAGTATTTTTGAAAATCCTGGTGTTCTTTTTGGAAGCTCTGGAGTTAATAGCAGGGAGTTTCATTTTGCCTGCTGAAAGTGAAAGAAGAAAAAAAAAAAGGAACCAAAATGTCATCTTTGTCTCTTGACCATTCCAGTTATTTATTTTGTTTCAGCTGATTATATGCACTATTACTTTTTATAGAATTTAATACGCTGCTTGTGAAATTTATAACCGTGCCATCTCCTTTTATACTTCAGGTTGTCAGAAAGTTTAGAAGCATCTTCAGCAAACAGCAGACGATGAGAACATTTCCAGTTTATGACACAGAGGCTTCTAGATCAGATAAATGGGGCATGTTAGATCCAACCAGGGCTTTGAAGAAGAGAGCCAATTGGATTCCCTTTTTAAAGGTAACTGTGAGGAACTTTCCTTTTTTAAATGTCTTAGTAAAATGTTCTAACCAGTCTTCAGGATGTACCAAGATATATTTCAAAAATAAATCCTTTTTTTTTTTTTGACAAGTAGAATGATGATCTTTGAACAGTCAGGTCTTAAGTACCTTCTATACTTAAGTATAGCATATATATATATATATATATATATATATATGTATATGTATATATAGTATAGCATATATATCTGCATAGTCAAGAGCCCCTGTTCATGTCTGTTGAAAATAAAGTAAAAGTGAATATCTTGCATTTTCCTTGCGAAATATTGCCTCTTATCCCAAAAACATACAGTGATATTCATGAGTTATGTGGTTATTTTTATGTCAACCAGATTAAGCCTAAAGTAGACCCCTGGCAGCAAAAGCTTTTGATAAAATTGAAACAATGGAAAAGAGTGGATAAGATGATGGACCTTCATTCAAAATTTGTAGAGGTAATGTAACTTCTCATTTAAAGTTACTTTAATTTATTTATTGTACAATTCCAGGTAAATTTAATATCTAGAAAAAGGTTGCCTCATGTTTGTGTATCATCTGTACATGCCTAAATTCATTAAAGATGCATTACTAAGGTGTTATAGAGAGATTTCTTTTCCCCTCTTTCTCAGTTCAGTGGTTTCAAAATGCAGCTTGAACACTTGCATAAATATTCAAAAGCTCTGAAGTTCACCTAAGTCAGGTCAAGTCAGCCCCAGAATTTGTGTCAAAAGTGTCAGAGGAATTGCTCAGAACAGCTTGTTTTTTCTTTCTTTTTTTTTTTTCTTCTTTTTTTTTTTTTTTTTTTCATTTGACTGAGGTTCAGGCCTATGGTCAAAAGACAAGGGAGATGCTCCTATAGCGAGGCACAAGTCTAAAACTTCATTAAGTTTTAGACTGCCTGTGACCCACAGAGAGGTGACCGAGCTTCACAGGTTTTCTCTTGATTCTGATGATATATTGCTATTTCTGGCCACTTTGGATATGTCCCGCAGGCCAACCCAATTCGACCTACACTGCCTGCCCTCCAGCACATTCACAGATCAGGCCTGCTTTGCATCCGCAATGGGTTTTAGGGACCTGTAACACTTCACATCATTGTCTTGCAAATCACTTTCAACTGTAAAGAGTAATATTCATTTGTCCTAATTAAATCATATTTACTGAATGTACCCTGTAAGGCTGAAGGGCTGATTAGTGTGTGCCCAATGAGCTCTGCTCATTCACACCTGCTGCAACTGCATTGAGGGACTGCAGGGATTTCTGGAGTCTTACCACATATTTCCTGTGACATTTTCATGTGTCTGGCATCCTCATCTGTAAAACTGGTATAACAGGTGTTCTCTGCCTCTTAAAGGATGAGGAGAATTAATACACTTAAGATGGTGAGCTAGTACTATAGGATTGGGTCTGTATAAATACCTCAGAATACACAACTGATCTGGCAATCAGATGGCGAGGTTACTGCTTCTCATTTCTTTGCTAAGGCATGACAATGTTCTTCAAATTATATCTTTGAAACAAGTGATGAAAAAATCCTGCAAGATTAGATATATTTTTCAGAAATTACCTTTTGTACCATGACAGGTTTTATTTAACGTGCTTTTGGCAGTACAAGATTAGGTATTTACTGTAGCTTTTTTTCTTTAATTTAGGACTAAAATAAGCTTTCTTTTATGACTCCTGTTTTCAGACCCTTTCACCATGCCAGATATTTCACAAAGAAACCATTCTTTCAGATCTTGCCACAGCGTATAATTTCTCTGGAAAGCTTGGGCAAAAGCCGTCATCACCACTAACAAAAGTAAAAAATGGCTTTTCAGCTCACTGAGACAATGAAAAAGAATCCTTTTCTTTGCTTCTCCCATGGTAATTTGCTCAGCAAATATTGTATTTTTGGTTTTGGTCAAGAAATATATATACCTCCTTAAGGATGAGGAGTAACAGCAAAAGAGAGAGGAATTACCCAGGAGTCCCACCCCTCCACAAATCTCAGTAAGAAAAGAAGTGCTTCTGTGTCCTTTACAGTCTGGTGCATTCCTTCTGTATGCAATGACAGACAAGTCCATTTCTATATTTTCACCCCAGAGAGTGACAGCAGGCAACTTTCCCAAATAGAGAAGCAGTAGTGGGCAATGCTGTGCTCCCTCACTAGATGCTCTGAATTGACTGTCTCGCTTTCTGGCATGCTGACTTGTTTGCCTTGTGAATCTTTCCTCTGTGTTTCATGTGGTTTGTCTAAAGGTCTCGGACATGGAGAGGGTGCTGGAGGGTCTCCAGAATCATGCAGCAGTGGTGCTCAAACCACATGCTTTGCAGTCAAGTTCTGCCACCTCTCATGCCTCAGGACAGCCGAATTACGATCATATCTGGAAGGAAGTCTATGCCTTCTCTGAGCATCAACAGGTACTTGGAAGAGGAAAAGATGAATAATAGTCAATGAATGTGTCTAGTGAGTATTTGTCAGTTCTGATAGGAGGCTCCTCTTAACTGATAAGTCTCCCTTTTTCAAAATTTAGTCTCCTTTTACTTGCTAGACAGTATCTGCCCAGCTGCAACGTATGGTTGCTTGTCCAAACTACGTACGTGATGCCCTCTCTTCCCTGGAGCTCACTAGGGCCTGTGCAGCAGTTGCTGGAGGCCATCCAGCAGCTGAGCACCTGTGAATCTCACAAGCAGCTATCTGCTTTGTGTAGGGACCTGTTCTCACACCTGCAAGAGAACAAGTTCCTCTTTTCAAGGAGGAAGTGGAATTTGTGGGCATGGCCTTAAGGAGGTTCAATAGCTGTAAGAAAAGTTGTGAGAGATCTTCAAGTTTTGGAGATGGGGAAAAAAAGACAAATGGCTTAACTGACAGGGAAGTGAATAAGAAGTAGGGTCTACCTCTTGGGTATCTGGGAAATGTGTGGCATTTCTTATATGGCATACTCAAACTCTGTTATTAATCATCTGAATCAGAAGGTATTCCTTTGATGGACTTTGATTACCTGTTTATCACCCTTCTGATTCAGAAGTCATTCACAGCTGCTGCTTTAACAAAAGTAAAGCATTACATACAGAACTTTTAAATATCAGAAGCTTCTGTATCTTCAGTCGAATGCTTCATTTGGCTCACTATACCAGTGTCAGGCTGACTGTACCAGTGGGCCCTGGGCAAATTAAGAAAGGGCTGAAGAATCTCCTTGCCCCACTGTTTGTTTATTTTAAGAGGAAGAGTCCCAGCTACTGGAGCTGGATGTAGCCCCAGTGTCAATTAGAAGGTCCTGCATCTCTGCTTGTGGTCAGGGTCAAGCAGGGCAGTGGGTGATGTAGAAGCAGGGCAGAAAGACATCACTTAATCTCTCCCCATTCCCTCCTTCCTGCTGATGAATCTGCTCCAAGTCTGCTACCAACCCTGTGCATAAAAATAAACTCACATATTTTTGTTAGGAAAAGCTCACACATGTAAAAACATGCAATTCTTCTTACCTCAGGTTGACTTTAACCCAGGATACAAGAAATATTTGATTATTTAATGAAACTTCAGAAAAAAAAAAGAAAAGAAAAAACACAAAACAAAACATTAGGTTGACTAATGCAAAGTACATAATGATTAATAAAAAATAAAATAAAATAAATTTGCACTGTACCTCTCCTGAAAAGTACACTGACTCCATGACTGGACTGGGAAAGAGTTATTTTGCAAGGGACATGACTGATCTCAGTAGCATTAGGTTAATTAAAAACCTAATTTTGAAATCAGCCTGGTCATGATGGTATAGCAAGGCTTAATTCAGATCTTCCACAAGAAAAGCACTTTTTAGGTCCCAGTGTTTTTAAAAACAAAATTAAACTTTTACCCAAATATATGGCATCAGGCCATATATTTGTCAGTTCACTAACATATTTAAAATGACATTTTCTGTAGCGCTTTAAAGTGGAAATTTTAAGTGGACATGCTTCATCTCATGCTTAGTTCAAATAATTACACTGATGATATTTAATAGAGATGCAGAAATACTGCTGTTGATTCATAAAATTATATTATAATTTTATTTAAGCTCACATTACTTTAAATAATAGTGATTGAAGGACCTAGTATTTCTAAAACTTAAGAAATTAGACATTGTTTGGAATCAACAGGAACAGGATGAATGAGGATGGTCATGGTTGGGAGAAAGATAAGAATAAAAAAAACAGTTAACAGATAATCTATCATAGCAGGGATTATACAAAAAAAGTATCGGTGTTTGACAGTTTCTCATGATTTGTTTAGCTTGAAGGAATTTTTGGAGGCAACATCCTCATGTTAACTTGCAAATTTATATAACAGCCAACCAAGTCTGCAGTTCATTTGTGTTGCTTGTACATGTGCCTTTTTAAAAGTACCAATTTGTGAATTAATATTTGTGAATATTAATATGATTTTTGATAACCAGAAAAAGACAGTGCCAGAATCAATATTATAAAATCCTTAGCACACTGAAAAGTATTCCAACTTATGCCATCCAAGTTCAAATGAAGTAGTAAAATAAATTGGGATAGGGAAGTGGGTTAAGAGGACAAATCTTTCACGTATACCTGATTATTTGCAGAAATTAATTGGATGACGCCTAGTAAATCACTGCCCATAACATTCCACAATTAATAAATATTGTGTGACTCATACATAGCAATCTTCTCATTTACACTGTTACTAATGCCAATTTAATTTCACTGATGTTGGTGGAGTAACTCCTGATTCATGTGAGAAAGCCTTGGAGTTGATAACAAAGCAAGTATATGTACTTATACGTACTGCTTGCTGCCCTTCTGCTACTGTTCATACTGCGTTGTTGAGTGTGCTGGAAAGGAGTGAGGGGGGAAAACCAAACAACAAAGATTGTTTTTAATTTCACAGGATGTTAACTATGGTTTTTAGTATTTGACTGTGGTGGAGATGTTGTGTACACATCACAGTAAAACTTTTCCTCAGCCTCGTCTGATGTTACTTCTTTGTTGCCACACTACGATTTTGCCCCAACCTCAGCCCATCGTCTACTGGAGCCCAGAAATCACTTTTTACTGGAAGGGAAAAGACAAAGATTAGTAGGTCAAACATGTAACTAACCATAGTTGGGTTGAGGTTTTGATGAAACAGATTTTCTGAACTTTTTTGGACAAGTTCCTTGATCTGACCCTTGCTGCTGTCTTGTCTTTAAAATAGGGATAGTTCTTTCATACAGCCCAGGGATTTTATGAGGGTAAAACACTAAGGACTGGAGAGCAATCAAATATTGAAGACTTCTATGCCACTGTAATTTCACAGCTAGATGGATTATGAATTTGTTCCTGTATGGCAGTTTCTTTCCTTTTTTTTTTAATAAATCTTGTGCATAAAGCTGTAAGGTGATAAACATAAGCATACTTACCAAAGCAGTCTTTAACCGTATGTGTTGTAACTAGGAACTAAGTACTGAGGATGATCACACAGCTGTGGCTCATGGTGAGGAGGATGTAGAAAACACCAGCTCCAGTAAGCCCCCAGGATCCTGCAGAAAGAAGAGTGAAAGAGGGTAAAAATTTTCTTGTATATATGTTTGCATTTCATAAAACCTGAAGGAAGAAAAATATCAGCCAATATTTCTCTGATGGAAGCAGTAGTGCCATCCTCTTCTTTTTCATTATTCCAAACTGTAGGTTTCCATGACAGTGAGTCCCAGAGGCAGCAGCAGACTCTCAGACAACAGACATAGCAAAAGTCTTTACTTTAAAAAGGTTTAGAAATCTCCTTGAGTAGCAAAAACATAATTACGTTTTTTCTGTCTGGAAAAAGGTATAGTTATATGAGCACCTTGCAGCTGCTAGGATTGGAAGAAGGAACAACAATTGCCAACAAGGAGCATGTGGTGACAAGAGGAACCTACCTGTCCTTTCTTCTCCTACGTCACCTGAGGCTCCGAGAGCTAAAGGTAAAAAACAAACAAAAAAACAAAACAAAACAAAAAAACTCAAAATCTGCATGGATCAGAGTTGCTGTGTTTTTTTTACAGTGAGGGCTGTCATCCAAATGCAAACACAACTCTGTGTTGTTCTGGTTCGTTTCAGCGAGTATGCCTGGGGATCCTGAACTATTTTAGGTCTGTGGAGAGAAGCCTGACCATCAGTACCTCAGGCCTCTCCTTCAAGGCTGGTCATCTAATTCCCTGCGCAGAAGACACCTCCTGGGTCAATGCTGCCAAAGGAGGCACTGGTGTTTCTGGTGGCTTATGCTCTCAGCCCTATATTCACTACACACCAGCTGACTACAAGGTGAGTGGTCAGCCTAGCTGTAAGCCGAGCAGACCTAGCTCTAAGTAGACATCAAGGTTTGCAGACCTAGCCTTAAGTCTCCCAAAGCATATGCTTCAGCAGAAGTGTCTAATCTCTCCTTCTACTTCCATGCAAACTGTGTTGTGATAAATTGCTGAGTCACCTGAGGGATTTGGTGTAACTTGCTCCTCAAAACCACGTGTCTTGCGTTTATGGACTTTGTAGCTATATCTGCAAGCGGTCTGTAACAAACCCATGAGAAATTTCAGGCATGCAATACTTTAGTGTGAGTAACGCTGGCCAGATAACCATTAACTCAGACTAGTGCTGCTGACTCGCTTGAAGTAAGACCTTTATGTGTGGGATTTTCACACAGTAGATGTTCCTGAGAAATCTGAGGTATTTTGTGATCTAAGGAAACGATTTATTTAGATGTAGGTACAGTTTAAGGTTTGTTTTGAACCTTAGATGAGAGTATGTGGTTGAACTGATAAAATTAGTACACTTACCTTCACAGACTGGAAAAAAATCATTTCAATTAAATTCCTAAGCTTTATCAAGCTTTTGTTCCCCACCCTTTTTTTTGTAAAATATACCAAGCAGAATGAACATATCATGCTGGTATTAGTGGTTTGATGTGATAAAATGTCTTGTCTTTTGAACTGTAAAATTTCTTTTAATCTCTGCTACCTAAAACTCAGGTCAGAATTCTCATATAAAAATCCTAAAGAAACACTATAGCACTTTACTTCTTCACCACTTTACTGAAGACTTGTTTGCTTGTTTTTGCTGTAGAAACGCATAGAAACAAGCACATTGCTACTTCATGGAGGAATTATGGCTATTACTGAAAAGGAAATAGGTTTCCTGCCCACATTTTTTCTAACATTAGGACTTAAACAAACAAAAAAACCCACCCACCCTCAAAAAAACCTTCCTGTCTCTAAATATGACAAAAGTCTAAACCTCTTTAGAAATAAAATCTTTGGGGAGGAAATGAAGTTGCTGATACTTTTAAGGTATCTTTAGTTTTATTTCTAATATGGACACTTTTATCCTTTAAACATCTTTAAAAACCCAACCTCTTAAACTGCCTAAATGGAAAGCTACTTGGAACTAGAAAATTTCCATTTAATCAATATTGAATGGGTTGGCCCAGCATCTTCAAATTTTCAGTTCAGAAAAAGTAATTAAAAAATTATTCTTTCCAGTGGAGAATTTAGTTTTCCTGGAAGCCGGCATTTTGACAAACTGTTCTTCTGGTTCTGGAAGAACTGTGCATAATCCATCTTTATTTTCATTCCCTTTTTCCTGTTGCAAAGTGGGAGAAATGATGCAAAGATCAATTCTGACCTTCTATCTAAGCACTCACTGTTCTGGTGATTATCTGTGAGATATTTCAAAGAGCCCCTAGCAGTGAGGGAGGCGTTGTTTCACCATGGCCTCTCTTTCCCCTAGACTAATACATAGATATGGATATATATGCTTGAACTTCAACTAGAGCCTAGATAAATATTTACTAATCCTATTACAGTTTAATTGGCAATGAATTTAAAAGCATGGACAACAGTATTTCCTTAACAACAGTTTCTAATGTGATTTTCTTTTTTTTTAATTTTAATATACTGCACAGACTGTCTCTCAAGAACTGAAACAATAATAGAGCCATTTTCCTGGCAAACTAATTGAGACCTATCTAACATACTCTCTGATGCAAGCTATAAAACCAGGACCGTATGGCAATCTTTTTTAATACTTTCAACATCTAATCTATGTCCAAAATTGTGTTATGAATCCTTCCAAATTGTAATCTGAGCCATTGTGATGGCTCAGCACAAAATATGTCTGAAACTGAGTCTGAAGCAGTTTTGCACCCTCAATAGCAGACTGCTTGGGATGGAGGTCATCAGCAATGTTAGCTTCAATGACAGAAGGCCCTACAAACAATGCATTACATTAAATTAAGCCTCATTCTGTCCCCTGCTGAGATTCAACTTGGAAGAAAATAGATAAAATATATGTAGGAGCATGAGTGTTATTTTATAACCCAAAAGGGATTTGCTAAGCCCCAGTAAACCGGAGCAGAGTTACTGGAGGAAAATCAAAATCTGCAGGCAAAAAATCTCACATAAATATCCAGTTGCTTGATTTGTTTCTACAGATGTACAGCTGGGTATTAATGTTTTTATGGAATAAGATGTATTTAAAAAGGCATAGTAATCTTTGAATATGACTCTCATAACAAACTCTGCAGGGAGAAAATCTTTTTTTTTTGTTCTGTGAGAACTCTCCAGTTTTGTGTCACATGCCCCTTCTGCAGAATGCAGTTGTCATTAACCAAGATTTTTTGGTATGGTACAGAGCAGGAATCATTGAAAAAAAATCAAGAGGTTGAAAGGGAAGGCATTTCAATGAGTGTTCTTCATGAGGATATTTAAAAACACAGTTGAAAACCCCTCTACCTTCTATGGGGAAGTTGGACTAGTATTTGCTCAGTTATCTACCTAAACCAAGTAAAATTTAATTCTGCTGCAAAGGGCTTTGATTTAACCTTTAACAAATTCTGCAGCCTGTCACTAAGAGTGGTGAAACAAATAGTCCATTTGGAAGAACAAGGAAAGAACAGAGAGTGCAGAACAGTGTATTAAAAAAAGGAAAGGAATCTCTGCCCAGGCTGATCCAAGATTATGTTCAAATTACGTGTATGTTTTGCAGGGCTCCCTCATTACCTTTATGGTAAAGAGTGCATTCTGATCCAACATAGATCTATGAAGCTGGCAAGCTGTACTTCCCAGCACAATTACTTTTGACTGGCCAAGTTTGCCATGACTAAAACAAATACCTCTTCCTTTTCTCTGTCCATTCTTAAAAATAGTTTTAACACATCCAGGTAGTTTGGGTAGCGCTGGGGATTTTGTAAAGGCAAATGTTAGCAAAGCCAGTGAAAGGAGGAAGTGCCAATATATCGTGCACCATTGTGTGGCACTAAAATGAGAACAAAGGTGCATTACAAACAAGGAAATAGTAAAGACAAACAGTGGAAAACTAGAGCTTATATTTACTTGCTGTCTTCTTAGAAGAAGAACCATTTTTAAAGGTTCCTAATGCTATAGCCATACTGTTTATTTACACTGGGAGATTAATTTCTGTAATTATACACCTAAAGACAGATGTGTGCCTTTGTGGCACTCTTAGTGAAGAGACAATATTCTGAAACTTAATGTGCCACTTCTACTGAGGTAGAACTGAATTCTTGCCCGGGGTGTTACCAAGTTAGTAGTGACTCATTGCACACAGAGATGACTGTCTTTTAAAAACATTGATGTTTTTTAGGAAAGCGTTAAGCTTTTCAGTTCACTTAACAACTCACTCTTAAACTATTCTGTTGAACAACTTCTGACCTTACAGCAATTTGGGACATCAGTCAATGGGCATTCCTATTAATTAGTGCTAAAGTCTTCTCGTGTTTGAGCTTATCTCCAAATCTTGCCAGTGTTATTACCCAAGAAGGCTTTACAAAATGTGTTGACTTCATATTTGAATGGCAGAATTTAAGACTTCTTTTGCCAAATTTGAGCTAAATTATATAAAGTGGAAGAAGTTGTACCCCAGGTCGAGAGCTTATCTTTCAGTTTTGATACCTTCTTGGTGCTTTTTGTGGACTTACATGCCTGAAGGAAAAACTAGACACAACAGAAATTTCATACAGTTTGTGTTACACCATTATAGTATACATGAAATCACAGTGTAGGTGTTACCAGGAAAAAAATATTTCAGCAACATTTTGTTCTTGTTCTTTGCTAATGACAAAGTACCATGTTACTAGGCCTGGCCCACTGTTAGATATACATATTATACAGAAGTGCAGTCCTTGTAGAACTGACTGTTTTTATATCTCTGTGTCTCTGGGTATTTTTCACACATAGGTGCATAGCGCTCAGTTCATGGAGTTTGCAGAGGTGGAAAACCATGATGACTTCCACACTCGTGGCGATGGATATATTCACACACAGGACCAGAGAGGGGCTTACATCATGTATGATGTGGCTTTAGAGGACCTGAAGAAGCTTGAGAACCAGCTGCTGCTTGTGGCCAGTCAGTACATCGAGAAAGATAAAAGTAAGATAGCTACAGGTCCAAAACACTTGTGATAATTTGGTTTGCTGTTTTCAAGGTAGACCGATCCTATGACTTCTTGAATATCTACAGGACCAAGTTCTGACTGGATGTTTAGGACCTTTCTTTATCTCCCTAGTTAGTTAAGTGATGAATGTTATGTAAGGATCTAACTGAGCACATGGAATTGCATGTCACATGTTGTTGATGTCAAAGCTGTGCACTTATTCAGGGTAATAGATATCAAAGTCATCCTGGAGGGGAAAATAACACAGAAGGGACATTTACTGATGTATTTAAGTAATATAATGAGCCAGCAAATCTTCAAGGCACAGAGCAAGTCAGCAAAGAAAAATGTTAATTGTTTCTGAATGTCTTTTAATTAACGTATTGGATTGCTTTTCTGCAAAACTAAATTTACCTTCAACCACTTTGAACTTTTCTCAGTTTGTAAAATGAAGCTGCAAAATAATTTGTTTGCAGACTTTTTTTTTTTTCCTGTTGCTTTTTTCGTAGTCAGAACTGAGATGAGGCAGACTGGATTACAGATTTCTAAAAAGAGTGGCCATATTTCTAGAACAGTGAGGAGGAAGAAGCCAGAAACTGTAGAAAACTGGGGGGAGAGTGGGGACGAGGGCCATTAGAAAACAGTAAGTAAATGACACGTACATCTATGATATTCAGAGAATTGCAGAAAATATTTCCTGAGTCACTGGAATAACATTCTATGGGATGGAATAATGTTTTTGGAGTTTTAGTATGATTCCCCAAAACTGAATGTGTGGGCATGCAATGCAGGTCATAGCCAAAGATTAAGAAGACCCAAACCCTTATTCCTTACAAACATGAATGCCTAACTGCCTGCTAGGACTTTTTTTGGAGTCCCTGAAGGTCCTCAGTGTGGGCCTTCTCCTGGAGCATTTTTTTTTTTTGTATGAGGAGAGTATGAGAGAGTTGGGACTGTTTGTCCTGGAGAAAGTTCAGGAAGGATCTTGTCAAGTGTATAAAAAACTGATAGGAAGGAATGAAGAAGAGGGAGCAAGACTCGTCTCAGTGGTGCCCGGTGACAGAACAAGAGGCAATGGGCACAAATTAAAAACGCATTTTCTTGTGTTCAGATAGAATTTCATGCATTTTAATGTGAGGGTGGTCAAACACTACTGTAGTTGCCAAGATAGGTTGTGAAATCTGTGGTGATACTCAGAACCCATCTGGACGATGTCCTGGGTAACCTGCGCTAACTGACCTTGCTTGGGGCAGGGTGTGGGCTAGAGGATCCCAAGAGATCCCTTCCAACCTCAATTGTTCTGTGATTCTGTCATTACAGGAGAGAGACTACTGAACGAGGTAGGGTGCTCTGGTAGTCTGGTATAGCAGTTCCTATGCTTTCAGGTCACTTTGTTATCCTCTAGTAATGTACAACCCATCCTAGCTTCTTAGGAAGCTACGACCTCATGTTATGGTCTCTTTCCTTCTTGTTATGGTCTTTTTCTGTGGGTGTACAAAGAAAGTACATGCTGAAGAAGCAGGGAACTCGACTGCCATGGACACTAATGCTTGTAATGCTGACTTCTTCAGTAACCATGCACTTCAAATGACTCTCTTGCAACTTTTGAAAGATAGGACTCTTAAAGTCTGGAACTGAAGATTAGCTGGTGAAGCCTCTTCTATTCACCCCAAGACTAATTTTTAATTCTGCAAAACTCTAAAAATCTGAGATTCACTCTGCTTGTATTATCTTTTTTTGGGGGGTCAAAGTTAGGTATGATTTAGATTGTTTGAAAAACAAGACACCAAAATCATTTTTCCTTCAGGATTTCTAATGCGGTGCTAATGCAGAAATATTTGTAGCAATCCTTTTACTTTCTTCACAGTAATTTTTAGATTATGAAGACTTCCATTTCTGATAGCAAACTATCTGAAAAGAAAACTCTCCTCTGGGTCTGCAGTCTGCACAAGCGTTGTGGTTCAACCCTGTCAGGCGCCTTGGCCCCAAGCGGCCATTCACTCACTCTCCCCCAGGTGGGATGGAGGTGAGAAATAGAGAGATAGAAGTACCAGACCTCATGGGTTGAGACCAAGATGGTTCACTGCACACAAGCCCAGCAGAACAAGGAATCCACTCGCTGCTTCCCATTGGCAGTCAGGGGCTCAGCCACCTCCAGGAGGGCAAGGCTCACCCCGTGGCACGGCTCCTTGGGAAAACAAACGCCATCACCCCAACGTCCCCCCTGCCTCCTCCTTTCCCCCAGCTGCTATCGCTGAGCACAGCACCACACGCTGTGGGACATCCCTTTGGGCAGCCTGGGCCAGCTGTCCTGGCCGTGTCCCCTCCCAGCTCCTGGGGCACCCCCAGCCTCCTCGCTGGCCGGGCAGCACCAGGAGCAAGAAAGGCCTCGGCTCTGTGCAAGCACTGCTCTGCAGCAACTGGAACATCCTCCTGTTATCACCCCTATTTTCATCACAAATCCAAAGCACGAAATCATATGAGCATCTACAAAGAAAATTAACTGTCCCAGCCCAAACCATGGCACCTGGTATATCTCTTTGTAAAATATATCTTTGATCAGTCTGTGCTGATTTTCTTTGATTTGAGAGTGAAGGGGAGGAGAAGATTATCCCAACATGATTTGATGCTGTGAAGAGTAATGTATCTCTTTTCTTTCCTCCAGTAGTTTTATTGTGCTTTCTCTGTCTTTGTTTCTTGATGTGGGTCTCTTTGAACTCCAGCCCTTGCCTTTACCTTGTTAAAAGATGATAGATGAGATGTGTTAAACCAAATGCCTGGTCCACTTGTTTGCCTTACAGAATACTCTGTGGTCCTCCAAAGCTTATGGGACTTGAAATCTTTTCCTCTTTTCCTGACCTTAGGCTCCCTGGCAAGCAAAAACCACAGTCCCCGACGATAAATAAAAATAATTACCGCAAGCCCTGGGACTTTAGGCATATGGAAATCCCTCTAATATTGACATCTGCTTGTTTCCTACTTATGTTTTTTCTTAGGCAATGTAACTTGTGGGAAGTATGGTGGCAGCAAAATCCCTGTCTGGGCACATGCCTCTGTGGATCGATTCGCTGTGTTGCTTGACCTTTGGACCTGTGAAGCTGCTCTCTTGGAAAAAAAATGCCAGGTACAGAAGCTTTGCTTGGTTTGAAAACAGTGACTTGCAATCTTCAGGCTGTTTAAGGTTGCCTTTCAGCAGCATTTACCATTGCAAATGCACATGGGTGCTAGGGCTGGTGACCATAGGTGGTGGTACAGGTTCCAGATGCATCGGGATCTTGCTGTTAGCTGAGCTGAGGCCAGAAGGTTGGAGCTACTGTAAGTTGTGTCCAAAGGATGCCATTTAGTGGCTTTTGCAACACTGAGGCAGAACTGATCTTGTCAGGCAGCTGCTGTGGTTTGGGCTGGGAGCACTTCTGCAAGGCCCTAGTGATACCACCCATCAGTGTAAGGGATGATTGGGATGGACGAGGCCATCTCCAGAGCCAAACTGCAGAATGTTCTGGGAGAACCAGGTTGAGCTCTGCAGAGCCTGGGCCACCAGGGAGTCTGAGATGCCATTTTTTTTCTGTGGTCCTGGCTGTCCCTGCTGCCTGGGACTGGTGTAGAGAATTTCTTATGGTTGTCATTAGAACTGTAATCATCGTACCTTTGTGAAGCCCAGGTGGAAGAGACTCAGTTTGCAGTTGGCTAGGATCATCATTTGGGTTACCCTTTGTCAGAGGGAACCAGAGAGGTATTTTGCTTGTTACACCATAAAAAATAATCCTTTGTATATATGGTTGTAAATATCATAAATTTGTTTCTTCTTTGTTAGTTAATCCACTTGAGCACAAAATGACATGACTTTGTATGGTATAACATATTTAAAACAAACAAACAAACAGTAGATATGCATATTAAGTGGTTTGTAGCTTTGCCATTCGCTAGGGGTGCTGCATATTCTGCTTGCTTTCCCCTTCCACTCCCCGAGTCTAGTCACACATCTATATTTTGCCATGGGACGTCAGTGCATGTAGTGTTTCTGCCCAAAGATTACAGTCTTGAGATGAAGATTTGACAAGTTCAGAGTGACAGCCCCAGAGAAGCTTGGAAATACATTTCTATGTATGGGACTCACCAGACCCCAGGACAATACAGTGAGTGTCAGGAAGTGTGAAAGAGCGGATAGCCCACTTCAGAAGCAGGGAGAAATGGCACTACTTAAGGTCACCTTCACACTCTTGAAATGTTTTATTCTCAGCCCTGGAGTAGCGCAGGGCAGTTCTCAAAATAGGAATGCCAGGGGGTGTTAGGGAATCTCCTGTGTACCATTGAAGTAGCTTTAAATAGAAAACCTTTTAAACTAAAATGGTTGTATATAGTGTAGGAACTCTGTGAAAGTGGAAAAGGGACCTTAGTAGAGGGGCTTTATGTGGCAACTATATACAATGCTATCTAATTGCCTACTTCACTAAGCTTCTGCTCTCATCCCAATAGACCTCACTTTCCATTGCTGTATGAAGTTACCTCAACAAATCTACCTGTTATTTTTATCACAGGCCTTCTGTATAAAGATTTTTTTTTCTTCAGAAAAAGAAAGCAAACAAACAAACAAAAACCAAACAAACCAAACACAAAGCATCCCAGTAGTGAAGAATGAAACTCCTACACCAACAATGCACTAATACTCTTTCAACAACATCAAAGAGCATATTCTGAAACTACTCTCACAGTCCAACTCTCTAGGCAGCGTTAGATGTACAGATGTGTTGTTCCTGGAGGTCTTTTGCTTTTAGCTCAAATGAAATAGAAATGCGTCTCCCTAGCTTTGTTCCCAGCTGGGACAGAATTCTTTCTGAGAGAGGAAACAATAGCCCTTTGTTCAGCAGCTGAGACAGCTTGCCTTTGCCAATGTAAAACTTGTCTGTGGCCTATTGCTCAAGCTCTGTATTAGCTTCGTGCAGAGCAGTTCAGGTCAGACAGGTCTAAACCAGAGAACTTGACTGTTTCCATTGAAATCTTTATTCTTAGCTACTGAGTTACCTCTGAGATGTTTTGCATCTTCCTCTTCCACAGTCTTCTGGTCTCAGCATGGAAAGTAGCATGAGTGAGTTTCTACTTCTGTGTCAATGCAAAACAGCCCACTGTAGATCTTTTTATATTGATACAAGCAATTTGCCCAGAAGCAACAGCAGCACAAGTTCATATTTTTAATCTCATAATTGCCACCAGCCAAGAAGTTGCCATATTTCTTTTTCTGTCCTAGGCTATAGGAATTTGTAATTATTATTATTTTATTTAAATTAAACTTTATAGCTACTCTTGGTAGAGGAGCCTGAAGAGGGCATGTGTCTTTGTACATCTTTAATCACATCTAAAATTAATTTGGAGTTTCTCCAGAAACTGACAAGTAACTGTGACAGTCATTGCCACGTGAGATAACCGAGTCTTACGTGAAATCTGCTGGTTTCAGGTCAGGGGAAAATGGAGTTTTTCAAAGACATGAAACCAGTATGTATGCTTGACAAAAAAAAAAAAAAAGTGGATAAGATCTGGAAAGAAGTAGGTGTTTTTTGAGTAGTATGTACGTTGCCGTGCTATTTTTCAAGGGGAAAAATATGTATAATAAAAATCTTCATGCTTCACTATGCTTCAGCATGTTAACTGCGCAAGCTGTGGAAGAAATTTCTCCTTTGGGCAGGTGATTCTATTTTCTGTTCCTGATCCTTCTGACAAAGCACCCAGTAATATCCTGTGTCAAAAATAAGATGCCATGGCAGGTCACTGTTGGTTTGATACAGGTGGCAACCTCCATATTCAGAAATCCCTTGCCAAAAAAGAATGAATATTTGGGTGAATAAACAATTCTCAATGTGCTTCTGAATATCTCTTCAGCTTTTAGATGTTTACTTTGAAGCTTACCAACATGCTTTGGACCCAGAAGAAAGATTTGCTTTGGCCCAAGCAATAATTGACATCATGCACAAACATCCGCGGTTTGATCTCAAGCTTGAATATTTTGTGAACACCTACAAAGACGAATGCATCTGTTTACAACTTCATCACCAGCTGCTAAGGGACATAGTAAACCAACAAGTAGGTTGAATTTATAGTACATCCATCCTGAGCAAGCAGGAGGTGAAATCCAGAATGGGAAGCTTTGATTGTAGCTTGCATTGGTTTACAGTGTTAAGTTAGGTTGATAATAGTTTAACAATGAAGTCTATGGATGCTTTGTAAATGGAAGACCTAAAACTCAAAAGTAAAATACTGTTATTTCATCAGTATCAGAAAGAGAGTGTTGAAAAGATTGCAGAGCTTCATAAAGCACATTAAAGCCACATCTGATATTAGTTGAGACAGTTAGAAATAGGAGTTGAGAAGTGTGGAAGCTAAAAAAAAATAATAATCCATAGTTGCTCTGTAATGCAGTTGGTAGGGATCTAGTCCTGTTTAAAGTTTCTTCTCTCACCCTAATAAAGACATAAACGAAGTTTGTACTTCAAAGTGTAAAAAGCAGTATATTTCAGATGGCTGTGAATCCCTGCACTAACAATTAAAGCACATTTCAACCCTCAGATTTTTATTCTGCTTTAAAATCTGCCTTAGACTTCCTCTGTATCCTGGCACAAGATATTTCTTTTCTCTGAATGTTGATCTCATAGGCTGCAAGTTCAGCAGTTTAATTAGCTATCCTTTGTAACACAACTTTTAGTCTACAGCTAGAAGTTTTGATATTAGTACAAGAAGCTACTGTTACGCCTTTGTTGCCACAAATACTAACATATTGTTAGCAGTAAAAATGGAACATTGCCAGCATCATTGGAGCTCAAATGTTCTGAAGGAATATAAAAGATTTCAAAATAATTTTAGCAGAAATAATTCAGATGGAGTGGGTACATATATAAAAGACTCAAAATTATATATAGTAATAATCTCTCTCTATATACAACACATTTATTATATAATAATAATTTAAACAGATCGTGCTTAAATAAAGAATGGTTGTTTTTCTATCTATTTGAATTTTCTTGGCTAATGTCACTTATGTTTGTTGCTGATTTTTAGATAGATGTTCAGAGGGATTATGTCAACAAGATTTGGTGGAAAGGTGAGAAAGGTGGCATCAGTGAATTTGGACTTCCTTATAATGTGATTACTAAGCAACTTATCTCTCTTAACACTAGCCAGTGAGTAACTTTACAGTTTTATTTTTATGTAGAGTAACTGTTCTAGTTTCTGTGACCGATGGCTTAAAAAAAAATAATAAAAAAATAAATCTGGGATCCAGCACCCGAAAAGTACGACTATTTGAAAAAATGGCAGTTTTAAGATAAATCAGGCAGTAGAGAAATGTCTCATGTTATTTAGTCTCATGCTATTTAGTATACCTTGGATGTGCCAGAAAAGCATTCAAAGGAGAAGAGTGACTCGTCCAATACCACCTTTGCTCTGCTCTAACTTGACAGTGAATTTGATTAATTCATCTTGAAATTAATATTCCTATGGGGACAGAATATTAAACAGTAACCATGAAAGTGAGTACTTAACCTTAGCCGAGCTTTAGACTGACTGTATCGGTACTCAGATGTGGCTCTTCAGCTTTCACTACCCTTTGGCCACAGTCTGATACCCTTTGTAGCCCAGCCATCTGGTTGGATATGTATGTACTGTATTTTCACACCTGTAAGCCACATATTACTTATACTATAAATCTGCACCATGTTTCCCATCCTGCAGCTGTGCAACATCGTGGGTTATATGAAGAACTTCCTTAGCATCGAATACATACCTAGAAGCCAAGAGCCCCTTGCCTCTGGCCTGTTCTGGTTTAATTCCTCTATGTGAAGCTCCTTGCCCCTATTGCTCCCACTGCACACACTTTGATTTTGTGTTGGTTATCTGAGAGCTTATTTTCAAGTGCAGACACTTCTAACGGGTGGGCATAATGGGCATGAAAATGTGGTTAATAAAGCAGGGCTGCTAACAAAAGATAATTTTAAAAATTTCATTTTCATTAGCAATCGAGACTATTTAGATGTATTCCAATGTAATTATGTTTACTAAGGCTTCGGTTCTATTTTCAGATTTGATGATTGATTTCTGTACAGCTAAAGCCATTGCAATTTATTCTCGCAAATTAAGCAATTGCAAGGTTTCCTTATGTATGCAACTTCTAAAAGCCTTATTTGAAAGCTGTTTATTCTTTATTTTTGTTGTTTTTAAGTCCTACTTTGAAGAACATTTATTTGCTGGAGTTTCACCCTTCTCTTGGTCTGGTGTGCTTGATCCCCAAAGTTCTTGAGTATATCTACCAGGAATACTACAGCATGTGTAGACCCAAAACAGCCAGTAAAGCGATTGATTTAGAAAAACAACTACTTCAGCTAGCACTTCATGAGTGGCTGACTATGGAAAAACCACAATCTTTCTACAGCTCTCAGATTCAAGAAGATGTAAGTTCCACTTTTGCTTGTGTTAGTAATGACTGTTTACAGCCAAATGCCCAGGACTGTGATCCTGCTTAGTTCAATTACGTTTGTTGGTTATGTTTGCTGTTTAGTTTTAGTAATAATAATAAATTATAATTTATAATTTAATAATAATAATAATTAATCAATTCAGTTACTTTCCCAAGCTTGGTGAAGATCCATTCCATCTACCTTAAAAGTAAGATTTTTTTTTTCTGGAAATGAACACAAATGTTGAACTCTTGATCTCACACCAGTACAAAATGGGAACAATCAGCTTAGGGACTGGCAGAACACCACAGTTTAAATGGTTATGAGATCACAGTAAGTCTCAAAATTTTGTATGTGTTTGTCTACAGTCCTTCAACAACAACAGCAAAAAAGACTGGACATTAAAGCAAATATTGTTATAGTTGAAGCTGGTTATTACTATAATGTGCACCATTTCCTGGTGTAGGACTCTGAATTTCTTTGGTTATAATTTTGATAAATACTAATTATTTTGAATGAAATTATTGATGCTAGATGTCTTTATTGCGTTGATTTAAAAAATATATTTTTTAGCCAGCTTAATTGATGCTTGAGAGCCAGAAATGGAAAATAAATGGTTTTGTCTCTTTTCTCTACATGTTCAGAGTACAGCTGTGCTTTGGAGCATTGTTCAAGTTTCGAAAGGCTCAGTAGGTAGTGATGTGCTTTATTTTCATTGCTGCCAAGATTGGCCATCATAAACTAAAGGAAGATATGCAATTGCACCGTGTTTGTTAGGGAGGAAATATGTTCCTGTGTTCCCTGGTTTTTCTATAACGCGAGGCAAATCAGGATTTTCCACTTATTGCAGTAACGTCTCTGGACTAAGCTTTGACTATGCTTGATTTGGGTCTGAGCACTGAAAGTGGGCATGAGGAGCTGCAAACTTTCACTGTCATCCATATTGCCTGCAGTGGAGGCAGTGGTGGGTAAGAAAACTCAGAAACCATTGCAAGGCAAAAGGGCACAGCCACCTCAGATACTCCCCTCCCTGCCCTAGAGTGAATCCCAAAAATTACTTAGCCAGCATCCCTCTGATGCCAATAAAATCCACTGGCAGTGTTCCACTCTTCTTGCACAGTGCAGATGACAAATGATTCTTTGCTTTTTTAATTTTAAATAAGTCAGTGGCGGAGATCTGTACATGGATCTTAGAGCTGTCACCCTGCTGTTGCCAAGGGGAAAAGGGAAATTTCTTTCCCATTCTTTTTCCTCCAAGAGAAGCTAAGAATGAGACAAATGCATGCAAGAAGGCAATGTTTAGAAGACAGTAAGGCTGTTAAAGTCATGCATTTAAATTTTAGGAAATTTGCCTTTGCCAGTGCAGATTTAATTTGGTTTGCTTTTGCATAGATATGATGATGCAGTCTTTACATGATCACTTTTTTTTCGTATGACTCTGTATGCCATAATCAACATTTCTCACCTTCCTGGACTGCTCCATTTGTGACCCTAGACCTCATTCTTCCGTGTTTTCCAAACCCTTCACTAAAGGTTTTCCAGTTTTTATTCCCCATATGACTTCAGAGACATCCTTCAACTTTGTAATAAACAAATTACCCAGGGGTGAGGTACAGATGCTGCCAGCCCGGGAACAGGTACTTTTAAAAGAGAGGCCTTATAAAAAGAAAAGTGAATTCTGGAACTACACAACCAAATGATCCATAGGAAGCTGGGAGATGTTTCTCTTACCTCAAGCCAGGATCTTATATATAAGATTATATTATTCATTTCCTTGAGATAAATGTCCAATATGTCTTATATTATTTCCTTGAGATAAATGTCCAATTCACAAGCACACCATATGATAGACATGGTCTATTCTAGTGCTTCACCAGCATCACCATTAGCAAGTTCTCCTTAATGTCTAGCACAGATTTGCCTTGCTGTGATCTAAGCTTATTTGCGATTCTCTTGTCCTCTTTGTAACTAGGGATCCTGCTATTCTCTTTGTAGCAATTCTGTGGAGAAGCACGTGAAGATAGGCTGTTGTGTCACACCCATTCATAGTCACAGAATTACAAAAGCACTTTGTAAAGTGCTGGGAAAGAGGGACAAAATAAAGTTGCACAACTTCTGACTCTTAACTTTGGGGTGTTGCCTTTTCAATTTTTTTCAATGTAGCTGTGAAGGTTTTAGCAAATAGCAGGTGTTGAAATCTAGACTTGGTTACTAATAACAGCGTGCTTGGGTTCAGACTTCCTCATGTTCTGTGATTCACTCATCACAAGCAGCAAAGCATGAAGCCATTCAGTTATAATAGCAGCCACGTCTGCCTGTGACATGAGCAGCGTGGCACAATTGTACAAGCTGTGGCAGATAGAGATGAAGAGCATTTTTCCTCTACACATAGAGCCAGGAGCTGTTCCATTAGCTTCTGTCCGACTCCATGTTACCTAGCTGCAGCTATTTAGCATTTTCCTTTCCTGGGATTTCTGCTCTTCTGGGGGCTTCCACCATCCCAACAGAAGAGGGGTCCAGCTCTGCTGAGTTAGTTGACCTTAATGAGTTTACTGTCCCTTTTTTGGGAGCATCATACCTGCAGTGGCACGTGTTGGGATCTGCACAGTCTTTATAGTAGGAATAGCCTCAGCTAGTAATGTGAATCAAGTTACAGAGCCCCTTCTCTAGAAGGATAAATACATCCGAAAGCCTTCAGAATTCTGATAAAAATAATAGCAATAATTAAAGGCAAATATCTTGTGTTCCAGGAAATTGACTTTATTAAGTCCTTTGTGTAAACTCAGGATTATAGATTCAGTGTCTCTAACTTGGAAGCAAGTGGAAAAAGCTCCAGTATATTTTTAGGGGTCAGGAAAGGTCAGGGTGGACCCAGTCCTGACCTTGCATGTGTTGCAAGTCAGAAGCAACTTCAGTCATTAAGAAAAACAAAAAGGAGATCAGTTCTCTAAAGTATTTAAGAACCTTTGTCATCTACATGTAAATGATGGCTGTTTTTCCTTCTCTTGCAGTTATTTGCAGAGGTACTGATAGAGGACCCCATGCTGGTGCGAGAGATTGCTTCATCACTGTTAGAGAAGGGAGCGGATGAAGAAAGAATGGAAGGCAGAGGAAGGCAGTTCTTGATGCTGGATTCCTTCTCCACGGTCCTGGAGCTTGTCACGCTCCGCCATCGCTTGATAGAGGCGGCAACAGAGAGTGCACAGTTAGCCAGGTTAGTGGATTAGTAGTGCCCATTTCTCTATGATGACCTAAGAGAGATGTGGTTTGTAGGAAACAGTAACTTTTTAAAAATTGGACAGCTACTATAGCTGGGAAGAATCAGAGGGAGAGGGAGCATTTCCATTTTTGTTGTGGGAGATACATTTACTTGTCATATGGAAATGGGGTTACAGAGGTTTGCTATATTCAGAAGTTGAGAAACAGATCAGAGGCCATTTTTGAGGCTGCTCCTCCAAGCTTAACAGAACAGATCCTTTGCCCAGTGAAAATGGGAATCCTGTGATCCTACTGAAATTTTGTCGAAAGGAAAAGAAGGAGGAATTCACTGATCAAATGAACGTGAAGATGCAGATGATTATTTTAACAGCCTTCTTACGAAAAAATATTGCAATATAACAAAAGACACACAAGGAGCACAAACATTTTTTTCACTACCAGAAAGAGAAAAGCATAAAAATTGTCCTGGATTACTGATCCTTGTGAACATAATAAAATAATCTACACAAAGGAAGTCAGTGTCCTGCATTTAGGAAATTATCACATTAGCTGGAGATGACGACAATTTGTACAGGAAGACAAAGAAGATAAGGACTGAGCTAATGGGGAGACCACAAAGGATAGTATTTAGGATTGTATAGGACTTGGGGACGCAGGTTGTTGCTGAAGTTCAACTTGCTCAACTCCATATTACCTGATGTGTTTAGGAATGAGCTCAGTAGAAAGCAGAAGAATGTGTTATTAAAATTAGGGCATTATAGTGCTGAAGATTTAAAAAAAAAAAAAGATATGGAAAATAAATGGAATATCTTACACAAACATGTGGTTCTAAGGACTGGGGTAGTAGGAATAAGATAACCTTAAGCTTTTTGTTATTAATGTTTATGTGTAATATTAGGAAAGGAAGCTCTCGTGTGAGCTTTGAGCTTATTTGGAAGCAGCGGAGGAGGAGGAAGAACTGTATGTCTGGCTTTTGGATGACTGAATTACCAACATTTTGCAACCATGGAAGGGGAGGAAGTCATGATATCTTACTGTGAATCAGGCAGTGAGTTTTGTTTCCCATAGAGATAAGGAGAATTGATGCTTTGTAAGTGATTCTGGTGAGGTCTCACCTAGATTATTAAGTATAGCTTGGAGATTTGTGTTCAGGAAAGATAAATTCAGATTCAAATGGGAGCAGAGATGATCTAATAGGATGATGAGGGGAAATAGAGAATGCATTTTACAGAAGCAAATGAAATATCTTGGCTTGTTTGTCCTAGCAAAAATGAAGGCTGAGAGAAGATATGAGTGTTCCCTATAAATACATCAGGAAGATAAGCACTGGGAATGGAGAGCAGTTATTTAAGCTAACGGCCAATTTTGGCAGCAGAACAAATGGATCTAATCACTGTGAATAAATTTAAGCTGGAAATTAAATGGAAATTTCTAAGAATCGGACAACAAAGTTCTGTAACAAAAAGAGTGGAGGGTAGAAAACTAACACAGTTTTAAATGTGGCTTAATTCTTTCATGAAAAGGATTTGGGGGATGTGATTGCTTGCAATAGCAAAGTTGTGTGTATTAGGTAGATGACACTCCAGTTATATTTTCCCCTTGTCTCAACTCTTTTTCAAGCTTTCTTCTGGAAAATTTACGTTCCATATCAAAAAGTCAGAACTGTTTGTTTTCAGCAGCAGAAAACCTAGACATATCTTTAAGATCTGTGAACCATGACAATGCAAACTTAGTTTGATGGAAAACCTAATTTTCTGTCACAACTCTTGTCCATTAAAATAAAACATTCTTGAACAGCTGTAATTTGCTATCTGGAACTTTCTTAGGCAAACTAACAAACAAGTTCATTTACTTCAACCCAAGTAAGTCCATGAAGCAAGAAGATGTCTTTTCTTGGTGATTTGTGTTTGTTGTTTGAATTATCGGATTTCTAATAAAATACAGATTCTAATTAAACTTACTCCTCTGGTTGAGTTATCTTTGTATTCCAATACTCATGCATGCATACACATTTTTTCTGGTAATTAATATGGGGTAAGTTTAGACTGCAACTTTCCATTTAGTTGAAAAATCAGTATCAATTCACCTTTTTTTCATGAAACCGGTAGGAACTTAGTATTTTGAAAGCCCTATCTTCATGTCATATTTCATTGATATTTGTCAACTGATGCAAAAGTTACCCAGAGGAGACAGAGGAGCTGACCGGGTGGTTACATGGCTGCCTTTGTTTTGGGGTCAGGTCTAAGAGGACATACTCACCGGACATGACATACCTAGAAATCCCTGAAAAGCAGCAGTAAATTGTCGTTTTTTTCTGGTAAAGGATGATAATTCAGTGACAAAAAGTATGACTTCATGATGCATATATAAGGCCATTAAAGCAAAATGTTATCTTCATTTAATAGATGGTTAGGTCAGTCTGAATGCCAGTGTAAACATACATGGTTTATTCAGGGTGACGTTTTGAGGGGCTATTTTTACATCCTCACCTGATATGATAAAGTTTACTGTTCATTATAGTATGAACTGTTAGACACTCAGATTCAGACCGAAACATCAGAAAGGCTAGTATTTTTTTTCCTCTTGCCATGCAGAGTAACATGAAATAAGTGCACCTACATTTATGGATTCCTCTGGAGAATTCCATTACCATATCTTCTTTCAGACTTCTGGGTGATCTGCAAGAATTACTCCTATTACTTGTCTGTCCATTCCTAGAGCGGAAGCTCATAAGTATACATTTACATTGTATGAACTGTTCATGATAGCCCTTCTTGCTTTGTTCTTCAGTGTTCCTCAGCTGCTCAATTCAGGTGGTAGTTCCTTCTATGATCTGATGAAAAAGGATGTGCTTTGGTAGAGCAGTAAAACTAGATAGTGCAGATTTAGTCTGAATTTTGCTTCTCTCTGGTTTTGTTTGACACATTCACCTTTTGGACACCTTTTCTTTTGCTTTACCTTTTTTTTTTTTTCTTTGCTTAGTACCACTAAGCTTATCTGTGTGTTGACGTCTGTGCTGTATAAGCTATTAATGTGTTTGTACTGGTTAACTATAAGAGCAGCATTTGCAGTCATTACACAGGGCTCTGTTTTAAGACCTTGGAGTTGATTTTGGATGTGCTCCATGTGATTATTGAGTGATGTGCATGGTGTCTTTCATAAATTTTGTCTCCTGCCCTTTTCTTTCTCTAACTTTGCAGGCAGGGAATGCTACCTTTAAAGCAGCAACTTTAAAGAACTTTAAAGTTCTTTAAAGAACTGAGAACTATGACTTCTAGGCTCCATTTATGTCTTTATCACATTCTCACAACATAGCTTCTCAGTGACCTGATTTATTGATTGGCAAAACACCTGTCTTAGGTGCTAGGAGGAAGAAGGAATAATTTTATTCCTTTGCAGTCTGTATTAAAAAGCACATTTCTATTTAGGCCATCTTCTTGTATTACATGAAAAGAATGATCACAGATCAGTGTTTCTGTGGTCTTGCATCTGAAGGAATACAGTGATGGATCCTTAGGGATGGAGTATAAACAGTGTCCAACTTCTGGTGCTTTAGAGATTTCCTGAGCTAATAGTTACATCTAGACCATGTGTTTATGCCTGCTGATGCACTGCCCTGATCATTTGTCATACTGGGGAGGTTGTGTTGGGGTTTTGTCATACTGGGGGCTTTTAGAATAAAACTTTCTTAAGTTATGAAGTCAGTGTTTTCATAGTAATACTGTGTCTGGGCTCTGCTTGGCTATTGAAACCTCCTCTTTTACAGTCAGTCCTCCTCCCAGTTCCTTGTCTAAAATTATATTCTTCTTTGTAGACTCTCAGCTTACTGTTTATAAGTCCTGTCTGTATCAATAGAATGGTAAATGCTAAGCAAACATCAGCTATCTGGATAAAGCACTTGTTCACTTCATATCTACCATGCTACTTAAGATGACAAGAAACATTTGAAGTTGAATGCTGATGTTATGTTGAAATGAACCTGCTGGATGTAAATTTCTAGGTGAGCATTACTTACAACGGAGAGAATGTTAATTTTTCAAATACATCCACATGTTTTTGTTTCTAGGTTATATAAGGCTTTTGCAATGGAAACAGGTTTTGGGGAGTTCCATTTGTATCTGAGGCCAGCACACTTTGAATCTGCAGTTCACAAGGAGAAAGCAGACCATCTCCCACCAATATTCATTACCTCTCTCTTGGAAGATGACAGCTGTGTTGACAGGTAGACTGAACTTTTTTTGTGTGTTTCTGAAGACACAGTCTCTTTAGGTTGGATGCGCCCAAGTCTTCAAACTGCTTAGGCTCAAATATAGGCCACAAAAACTTCAGTGATTAAGATATATAAAATTATTCACGTGGAAAATGTAAAATGGTACATGATTAGTTTCCTTTTCCTATACAGCCTGAGATAGAATAATTCTAATTTAAGACATTGAACAGTGAAGGTGAGGAGACAGAGAATTTGTGTGGAAAAGTGACAGTTTTGGAACTAAAATGCATTCTCTTTTAAAGCGAGAGATGCCCTACACAATGCTTAGATAGATGCTATTCTGAAAATGGCTGCCATGAAACCTGAAGGTAGCAAACCAGAACCTCAAGAACTGTAATGGGTAAACTCATAATTCTGAGCACGGAGAAAGCTTATTCTCCTAGAGTTATACTGCATTTTATGAAGTGACAACTTTGATCTTTGTTTTGCACTCAGTGACTACAAATAGATCCAATCTCTGCACTAGGAAAATACAATCTATCATCATCCCTCTTCCTCTGGGAAAAGTGACTGGAACAAGTAGATTTTGCGTTTGCTTTGATTTACTTTTTAAAGAATTGGTACATACGTTTGTATATACACACACTGGTTTGTGTGTATTTTAGACCAAGCTTTAGGAGGAAGAAAGGAAAAAACCTGTGAATTTTCTTACAACATTTAGGAAGGGCATTCTTGTTATTCCCTATTGCTATCAAAGGCAATAGGGCTCTCTTCCTTCCTGTGTGTATACCACTTGCAGTCATGTGCTGTTCCTCATATCTCATTCACTTGTGTACGCTCTTGCCATCTGCAAAAATCAGGATGTTCCAAAAAAATTTTAGCAGTTGCAATCAACTTGGAAGAAAATTTCAGCTGCAAGTTGAATCATGGCCAGTGATGAACATCAAAGCACAGGAGACAGGAGGGCAGTGAAAAAAGAAATAAATTAAAACATGTTAGGCCAATTATTCTGCTATATACTGCTGGCCAATACGAGGCCAGCAAGACATCATCAAACTGAACAAGCAGATTTTTCAGTGGTTTGGACCAAGCTCATCCAAGAAGAGCTAGTGAATCGTTGTAAATTTAAACACAAAACTTCATGAGTGATATTATTCTTCTTAGGAAACTATTTCTGAAAACTCAAGCAGCATTCTAAGATCTCTAATTTAGGAACTAAATTGTCCTTTCATCCTCAGTTTGGCTTCAATCTGTGTTATAAGTTGTGTTTATAGATAATTTTATTTCTGTTGCAGATATATCCCATCTAGCTTACCATTAAGCATTCAAGAAATCGACAGTCATATTGGAAAGTTTAGTTTTCGTACAAGAGATGCTGTTATGCAGGTGAATGATTAAATTTTCAGAATAAGTGAAGAATGTGTATTATTATTATTTATTTGCTGGGGTGTGTAAGGGCCTCAACTATATGTTTGCTAGACAATACAGACTTCTCTACACTTTGTTTGAGTGATAATATGATTTAGTCTACTGTTTTGTAATTAGCTTTATAAAATTACACTGAAAATGTGGTTGTTCAGATTGTGGCCTAATTCAGATATCCTTACTGGGATGAAACTTGTTAAGTCAGCAAGATTTTGTCTGAGGAACTTCATTAAATAAAGCACGATGCATGCATGTGGCTGTGTGCGTGCATAGTAATAACACTGGGTGCAGAGAGTTCTGTAAAGGAAGAAAATGACTGTAGTCATTTCAGTGCCAAAATGACTGTAGTCATTTCAGTGCCATTTTCCATATTAAGTCCTTTCCTCTGTTGTATGAGTGTATAAAAGCAGTATTGCACAGTGCCAAGCCATGGAGGTTTCTTCTTTAAAGCTGTTCTTAAAGTCTCCTTCTTGCCATCAACTCACTCATGACTTGTACTCTACAGCAGGGTGGCATGTAGTAAAAAATTTGTCAAGGAAAAACAAATATATTTTCTTTGGTATCTACTCCGTTCCCAGCCTGTTTGCACTTTGCTGCATGCTCTGGTAACATCATGCTCTGCAGAGTAGAGCTGAGAATAAAGCCCACTAAATACAAGTGAACTTGATCTCTACGTGTTTTCTTGATCTCTACATTTATTCATGTTTCAATGATAACAACATCTACAGCTATAGCAGAACGTTCCCTTACCCTTTCTTTCACTAAATTAATATGCTGAAGTAGTATAAGACAAAGAGTGATATCTGTAATGCAAAACACCTTCAAAACAGCCAAGGCAATGCCTAGTAAATGGCTAATGCATAAAATGCCTAATGCTTTGTTGTTTTCTCTCTCCTTAGCTCTTGTGTCCATCTGGAATAAAGAACATGCAACTTATCCTTGCCTGCCAGGTCATTCAGAAAAATGCTCTTTTGGCAGCTGTTCAGCAAGCCTCATTTTGTTACCTGCTCCAGCCTGCCCATAGCCTGGACATAAAGGTTAGCATCACCTTTCTCCTCACATTGCACTAGTAATGGGTTTTGTCAGACCCCAAAGAGGGGATCTGTTAATTCTGCTTGTAATTGATTGGATGTTGGTCCTGTGCAACACTTGGAACAGCATCACTGATGACTGCAGGAACTGCAGGGATTGTGTATTAGCATATGACATAAAAATAAATAGTGTCACAGCAGTGATTTATTTAAAGTTTATTAGTTGGGTAAGTGATGAGGCATAGCTAAAAATATACCTCAAGGTAGGGCTGAAAGAGATTGGAGATGAATTTGATTCAAAAGGCACTGATGAAATTTTATAGCCTGTAGTATGCAGGAAGGCTAGCAATCACAACCTGACCTTGAAATATGTAGTCTTCTGGGATGGCGATACCATCAGCTCCTGCTGCTTTAATTTCTTCTGTCTTCTGAAAACAGAAATAATGGTCAACACTCTTTCCTATGGGAAATATTCATGCCAGTGGGAGCTGAGCAAGCCAAGCAAAATGGCCAGGGATTGAACTCTCCTTGCCTTTTCTATGGGGAGGGAGGGATCCCCAATTTAGCTGTGTGCTGAATTTGCAACATTATACCCTTGAGATCTCTGTTCTTTTGTCAAATGTATTTAAAATTAGGCAGACGGTTCAAAAGTTGTTGGAGATGGTTTGAACCAGCTAAGGGAACAAGGCTAAAATATTTCCTATGTGACATCAATTTCTTACTAAGTTTAAAAAGGACAAATACGCTTCATCATGGCTCCCAGTTGTCTCATTTTAGGTTATTCAGAGCAGTGTGGGGAGGGCGGGGTGGGGGGGGAAGACATCCTCTGCTGCTGTGACTTGCAAGCTCCTGAGCATGAATTGCCATTCCTAGAGCAAAACATAGTATATAATTTCTATATACTTCCTTTCCTTGCATGTAAGGGAGCTGATAGGGCCAACGCTCACCCCAAAGATTGTAAGCTTCACCAGAACAAACCTGTTTCACAGCTGCCTGGCTTCTATCCTGCCCTAACATAAAGTGGGACAGTGATTTGGCACTGTGCAGCTGAGTTGAGGCTCCCAGGGCTTACTGGACCAGCAAGTACCAGAGAGGCCATGGTTTCATTTGTCCCTGGTCTCCTTTCCCTCTCTATGACAAGTCTGAGACTTCCTGGCTAATTTCTAGCCAGATGCTGTGGCACTGAAATCCACTGTGGAAATGAACAGTTCCAACCTTGGTTTCTTTCCCAAATCATTCTTCTGCACTGCCACACAAACTGCTGGCATTGTGTGTCTCTGCTGATAACTATGAGTAGCCTTACTCTGGCAATAGCTCATCATCCCCTGTGGTGAAAAGGATTGATCTTCCAAGCATTTGGAGCTCTTTTCCTGTCTAAATGGTGAATGACTTATTTTCCATAGGATGCAATTTTTGTTTTCAGATGTCTGTCCTCCTCTGTAAATCATTTAACAGCTGCCTCATCCATTCTGGATCAGTCTTTGCTGATTTACAGTTAATGGTTATTAGCTAGGCAATCAAACTCACACAGAACAATTAATATGACCAACAGAGGCAATGATAAGGAGCTCATACATCTGTTATGCCAGATTAACAAGTAAAACTGGAAAAAATACCCTCCTTGCATAGGAAAGAGAGATGGTTGGATATAATATTATCAAGATGTCACAGGCTGTCTGCACTGAGGGATCCCCCAGTGCTGTGGGTGGTATGTGTGCTTTGGCCATGCCCAGGAACAGGCCAAGGCCCCTGGCATATCCTAGGGTCCATGTGAAACATCTCCCTCATCTTGGTTGAGAACCAGGACCTGCAGGTTGTGCCATGAAAGGCACAGAGTTAACCAGCCCAGCCTCACAGTGCAATAAACCTTCACTCAGGCCAGCCTGTTCACTACTGGTTTCATAGTCTAAAGACATTAAGAACTGCAAATTTCCAAATATTCGTAACTTCTGTGTCCAACATACAAAGGCTTTTCCATACTGACATTCTTATAGGCAGAGGTATTTCTCAAGAATGATGTCCTCTTGTCAGAAATGGCACTGCTCATGTTTGCCCATTCACTTCTAAGGCAGTTACAGACCACATTTTTATAATACTAGTTGTATATTCCCTGTGCTCAGCCAAAGCAGGAAGAATTATTCTCTTATTCTCTGGGTAAAAGTTCCATTTTCTACTACAGCAGAGCAGAGGTGTTCTTGGGCAAACCCATATGAAGGCTGGCACTAAACCAAGTCAGGTTTGTACTTAGAAGAAGGAACTCAATAAACTCTCAAAACATGGCTTTTTTTTTTTTTTTCTCCATTTTGGTCTCTCCCTTTCCCACTCAATTCAAAAGACAATAGTTCTCCTTGACTTGCAAAGGAATTAGTGCCCTTTCTAGCTCACTGCCAACTAATGGGGAAAACCAAAGAAAGCTGGACTGCAAAGTGCCTGTGCCACTTTTGAAATAAGGGGTGGTAGTTTTCTAAGTTCTTAAAGTCTTCCTTCTTGAAAATTAGGAATTTTTTTTTGCATAAATATGCAGCATTTTCTGAGTTTCCATCATACCAGGTTCCACTGGGGCTGTTCATAGGGAGGCAAAATCATTTTCCAGACAAGTGGTCTGGATATGCAATTATTTGTACATAGTTGAAAAAGCGAATATTTTGGAATATTCATATTTTATTTGTAGCTGATTGAATGTCGAGAATGTTGTCTGATTTATAAATTGGGTGCTGCCTCTGACTCCACTGCTTCTACAGTTTCATTATGCCTTTGCTCAATGAGAAATGATTTTTTTCTGTGACTTTCAGTGATCCTAGTGAATTATTATATCATAAAGTTAGGGTAAATGAGAGCACACAGAATTGCAAATCTACATTGATTTAGTAGGAAGAGCTGCCATTCTTTACGAGAGCAAGCACAGAATTGATATTCATCACATTTTAGGGAGGAAATGTAAGTCTAACAAGTCAGAGGAGTTCAGCAAGTGGAAGAAATTCAGTATCTGGAAGCCAAGCAGAGGATCAGCTGTTGCCAGCAACTATGCCGGACACATCATTTTCTGTGCGTTCTTCAGGTTTACGCCGTGCCGCTCACAGGTATTTGTTACAGACTGGCTAAGCCCCTGTCACTGGGTAGGGGTTGGTCTGATATACATGCAAATCTCCCAGACCTCCTCAGTGACAAAATGTAAAGATGTGCTCTCAATCACAAGGCCATGGTCCCAGGCTCCCCTCTTCTTGGTGTGACTCAGTCTGAGCGTTGTGGTCCTTTAGCCATACCCCATCAATGGGACTCCGGATTCATGTCAAATCCTCTGTTATTTAAAGGCAGAAATCCAGATATCTCATAGGGTTTTTTGAACATCAGTGTCCTTACACTTGAAAACTTTGCAAAATTATGAGAAATAGTAACTGGGACAGAATACAGCCATTCAATATGATGCCACTTCTGCAGGGCAGAGGTTTGCCTCTGCGCTTCTATGCCCAAATACTCATTCCTTGTCCAGATTTCCTGGCTTTCCTGTGAGGTACTGTGTACCAGTAAGGTATTGACAAGACCCAGCTTATATAATTTTTAATGTTATTGAATGCTGATCATCTGGAAGTTGAGCACTGAAAACTGTGTTGATTGAATGTTTGGTTTGAAGGTACAAATAAAAGGGTATTCAACAATTTCATCTTAGCCCAGGCAGCCTTACGTTTCCTGATAGTACCCTGCCAGTATAAGGAGATGCATTATTTTTAGTTAGCTGCTATTTCTTTTACCATTTATCTTACTTGCAATGAAATTAAAAATAAGAATGGGAGACTGTCCTCAGAGCTCATCTTGGCACTGGTAGCTGATCCACAAAATTGTGTGCATTGATATCTGTTATATACAAGGAACCATCAAACTAGATATAGTTGGAGAAGCATCTAATCTAGAGAAGTTATTTGAGGAGTTCAGATGACAGTTATCAGTTGACCCTTTGAGAAGGGGATTCCTCTCAATTTGCATGCTTTTCTTCCCTTGTTAGGCCTCCTGAAGCTTTTATTTCCATCCAGCTGGAGAAACTGGGGCCCCGAGATATGATGCTGAACACTTTCATCCAAAAGAAAGAAATGCTGGGCAGCAGAATGCAAACCCCTGTAAGTATATCAGGAGGCTTAGCCTCTTTGATAAGGACTGCTGATTTTTGGCACATAGGCAAAGTGGTAGCTTAGAGTTCAAAGGTATTCTCTTAGGACATCCTCCTGGTACACAGAACCATGACCTGCCCCATCACACACTGCCCATTTGGTCTGGGAAAAGATGCTGAGACTCCATGGACTTCAATTTCTTCATCTGTGAAGGGGTTTCAGAAGTCAGCAACTTTCTTGCTGGTGGTCAGGTAGTCACAGGCTGCCTGAGCACCCACAAGAGCAATGCCTGATGGCAGCTGTGGAAGACTTGGAAGAGGTGAGGAAGGTTGGACGTGCTTAGGGTGCGCAGGTCATACTCAGGGCTGCAGATGGTGATACAGCTCCATAGCAGCACTAGTGGGTGACTTGAGGGTCCTTGGTGAGTGGCTTTGAGATGTGCTATATGGAACTGAAGGGCGGAGTCCAAAAGTGAAAAGCTCAGTTTAGTTGTAGAGGAGGAAATGGCAGATTTTGTATGTTTAAGAAATGCCTCATTTTCACCTTTCAGCATTTTTTCCCCCTTGGTTTTGTTTGTTTGTTTTAGAGAGTCATAGAAAATTGTAAAAGTACCACGATAGGCATCCTATTCGCCTTTTGCAAATTTCCTCTTTATCCAGCATCAAGATAAAGGTGAAAACATGGATCCTGAATAAAACTGTTTGTGATTCCCTATCTATCACTGAAAGCATAACAGGTTAGGTGTGATCTTTAAGAACTTACCAGGTAGTAACAACCGAAATCCTTCTACACTAACTCTTAATGGTTATTCTGTTTTTGAAAATTGTCAACATAAGTTATTTACTTTAATGTAGTCATAAGCTTCTTGCCAGCCGAGTAGGCTAGATGGGTATGTGAGAAAATAACTGCTAGTTGCAAACTCTTTTGGGAAATGTGAAAGAATTTTTGAACAAAATTATGTGAACCAGACTTGAATAAAATAATTCTGGATTTATTCACAAGACTGCCTTAACTGCTGCATCTGTCATACTGGTTGAAATTTCTCAATGTTTATCATCCTTAGGGTTTTGAAATTACATTTTTGAGACATTTCTAATGCTGTGCATAATCTTATTTTATACAATTAAAATAATAGAAAATTACATTTTTGGGGGGCTATGTAAGACATGTAAGTCCTACACAAAAATATTTTCTCATCATAGGGTGAAGTTCTGGAACTCAAAAGAGACATTATTGCTGAATATTGTCGTAAGTAAGTATATCTGATATAATTACTATATGTCTACTATGTTTAATACATTTCTAGTATAGACATTTCCATACAAACACAACATGTTTAAAACATAACTCTTGTTCTGAAGGTATCTGTTTTATGTGGACAGTATGAACTTATGAACTTTCTATGCAGAATGTTATGAATACACCTGTAAACTATTTTGCAAACAGAGGAAAAGAAAAGCACGTAGTGGTTTGGTGGGATAACATTACAAGCAGTACAAGTCATGTTCTTGGACAACTAGGAAAAAATGCCACTTAGTTTCTTTATGAGGGGAAAGGATTGATGATAGGATAGTAAGTAGAATGCAGAAATACCAAGTAAACACATCAGTACAAAAGGGAAATTGTAGTGGAAATAATCTGCAGTTGATCAGAGAATGAACTGGTAGTAACGTACTGTCCTATAATTTAGATCTAGTTTGTATGACAACTTGTGAGAAATTCGAGTTTCAAACAGAGTTGGACTTAATTTTATTTATTTTTTAATTTCTGTGTTCATATGTCAAATTTCACTATTTTGTAGTTTTTATCCACAGCTGATTTTGTGTATCTGGGATTTTCATCTTGCACACAATAGCATCGAGCACACCAGCCAATCAATGAGGATAATGATAAGAGTTGGATTTGATGATCCTTATGGGTCCCTTCCAACTCGGGATATTCTGTGTTTCTATGAGGACGAGGAAATGGGCTATTTCTGGTCTATTTTTCACTGAGAAATGGACCATACTTGATAAACACCACTAGACTAGTTTGTACATTACTTTTCTATTGGAGTGCACCACCTGTTATGAGCCATTAAAGAATTATATGTTCCAGTTCCACTTTGCCAAAAGACTGGGCAAGAAACTGGAGTGTGGCCATCCACATCCGTCTTTTCCTCATATGCCAAGGTATGCAGAGGTGTGTCTGAGGAGCCCTGGAACAAGCTGCAAAAAGGGCAGCTGTTTCAGTATGTCTTGCAATTGAGGTAGATTCTTAGATTTGTAAGAAATGTCTATTCCACTGTGTAGCCGTACAACCTGGGAATTTCTGCAGCTTACCTTTTGGTTTCACAGATAAATGTGGACCAAGGTGGATATTTTGGTTCCTCTTTGCATAGCTTTGTGTCATGTAGCAGATGCAGACTTCCTCCAGCCCAGGTGCAGCTTATCCAGCATGTAGGTAAGGCCACACCAATCAGTCTGCAGCTTGCAGACAGGGGTTAGAGTTTCAGTGCAGCTGAGTGATTACGAAATCTGACTCAGGGTCACACCATCTAATTCCCAGTTCTGCAATTAACTCATCGTGTCACTTAACTCCTTCGTGCTTCAGCTTCCTTATCGTCCTGTAAGCACCAATAACTACCACAAAGCAGTTGCTGTATTCATTAGTGGATATTTCTAAAGCATTATAAAGACATCTGTTTGATGACAAGTATTACATGTAAAATTTCGTTTGGTATGTAAATGCCACTTTGTGATTTTAATTCCTCTAGTTGTCTCAGTATGGAAGAATCATAGCCTGTAATTTTTGCCATAGAAGATGCCAAAGATGTCCGTACAGAAATAAATTGGGCTCAACAAAAGTAGAACCTTTCACCTGAGCAGGTGATGCCCCGCACAATATATATTATAATTTTATATTACACTTTTTTAGGCTGAATGAGCGTGTGTCCCAGCATGCCCTGAGAGGTCAGCTCATTGCATACTACAATAGCCTAAGAAGCCTCTTAGATGATTTTCCTGTCATCAGAGACAAGTATTTTATAATTGGAGTCTCTCAAGGAAAGAAGGAGGAGCAAGACTTAAAGGAAAACCTTGTAGCTGATCCCAGGTTTGTATCATCTTTGAAAAAATGTTCCTGGGGGCCAGATTCCTCATTCAGTGCATATTACTAAGTAAAGGTGAATTAATACATGTTTGTAAGGGGAGTGATAGCCTAAAGGTGCCCTGAGCAGTATGTTCAGCCAATTTTCAGTCAGTTTTGATGGATGGAGAATGTGTACAGTCAGACTCTCTCCTGCAAGAACTGGCATACAAAGAAGTGAAACCTCAGAAATGTGCTTGCTTCTAGTCCCAACACTGTATGTAATAGGAAAATAAGTGGATGATTGCATTCTCCAGATGAAAATCCTCTGCTTCAATGACTAAATCTATCTAGTGAGGTTGTTATACCCTGTACATTTTATTTATTTAGGATTGAACTGAAACCTGTTAACAAGTCAGTCATAGACATGAGGCTTGTCAGAAGTTAGGGAGAGGAAGAGCACACGACAGACCAGTGGATGACCCTAAATCATCTGCTTCTTTCAGAAGGGAGGTCTGTTTGGCGATGTCACAAGGATCTCCTTCCTCAAAACTTAGGCAAGCCCTGATGCTGACGGTCTGTAAGTCTCTGGGCTGCCCAAGTTAGCACCAGCAGGCAGATGGTTTCGGATGTGAAAGTAGCCACCCAGCACACTGGTTCTACTATTGTTCATCTTTTCCCCTGGCAATTGAGAGGCTCAGCAGCAAATACAGAAAAAAATGGTTGTTAACATTTAAGCAAGAAGTTAGTCCTGATAACAAAGCTTGGGAATGTGATTACAAGCCAAACAAGTCATAAAATATATAGTTCAACAGATACTTGACAAGGAGACTGTTAACCCCTCCCTCTTGTTCAACTCCATGTCAGCTGTAGTTTGTGGATGTATACTGGTCCTGGTTTATAGTTGCCAGGGACCAGCCCCATCACAAGCCCGAGGTGCAGGCCATTTTCTTCCTTTATCAACCTGCCTTCACTGGGTGTTGTCTAAGGCATTGCTTTTTGTACTTCTATCTCAGATGCCCTCAGAAGCTTTTGAACTCAACAGTGTTTTGCATACAATCATAAAAAGTAGTTCACAGGCCATTTGTAACACCTTTAGTCTTACCTTTAGAAAGAGCCTTCTCTGAACATAGCAACATAAACTGTTTTAATAGACTTAGTTTCAAGCTCAGGCTACCCCCAACCCCTGGTGCTTTCAGTCAGGGGGTTTGTGATCACAGTTTCCACTTTCTTTGTTAAACTCATTGGGGAGTTATGACAAGTAACCACTCTTGGCCCTAGCAGCTGTTTTGTTTGCTAATGTTTTATCAGCAAGGATTAATCAGACATGAGTTACTTGCTCAGAGGAGCTGAGTTTGACTGCAGAACCTATATATCTGCAGCTTGTGCTATGCAATACCTGCTGCTCTTGGAACATCTAGCAAAGAAGAAAGCCATGGTGGGTTTCAGGAGTGTGTGAATATTCCACTTTAGTGGGATATTCAGCATACAGATCATCAAGTGCTAGCTTTGTGCACCCTAACTAGGTAGTTGTTTGTGCCTCTTGGTCTGGTAAGTTTTCAACAGCAAGGAAATGTTTCAATGCCTTGGAATACTTCAAAGGATTATACCACTACAATTCTTCAAAAATGTTAATATAAGCATTTTAACTTACAACACAAGGAAAATATAAAAGCTTACTTGGTAGAGGTAGTTAAAGTGGAAGTACCTAGAAAGCTGCTGCAATCCACCCTTTAACCTACTCAGCCCTACCCCTGCCCTGGTTGGCACACAACTGGGCATTGATGCTATAAAGTCACCTTGGAGAGCTGCAGAAAGCTGTAGGAAAGGCTTTAATTAAAAATGTCTCCTGCCCTCTCAGCCCCTCTGTGCTTTTTTCATCCCTGCCTTATCAGTCATTACCAGTTAATGTTTCATTTTCTGTTGCTGTTTAACAGGAGCTAAGAAACACCTTGTAGACAGGAACTGTCAATTAGTTATGATGAAAGCACAAATTTAGCTTCCATCTTGCCTGCATTTAGAAGGTTATAGCAAGACATTAATTCAATTGCTTTCTTATCTTCTGAACTAATCTCGTTGCCTGCGTTTGTGGCTGCCAGGCACTTGGAGCAGGGCTTGTGTTGCCCATCCCTCCTGCTGAGAAGGACCAGCAGATGGGTGAAAGAAACATGGATGTGGTGGAGAGGGAAGGTGGCTAGGTGTGGTGGTGGAGAAAGATTGGTGTGGAGTGAAGAGAGGAAAAAAAAAAGGAAAAAAACAACATGGAATAAAGAGCAAAGGGAGAGAGAGGTTCTGGGGGAAGAGCAGAAGGAATGAGAATGGGAATAGTTATAATGAAAAGCTTTTTGCACATATGTATGTATTTCTGAAAGCCTGAAGTTCATTAACATCAATGAAAATGTTCCAGAATAGCCCACCTAATTGGAGATGCCTGTATCTGATGAGGGTCCCCTGATTATCAATCAGTGCTTTAAAGGGATGGCTCATCTGACCTGTTTCAGATCCCTGCTTTAGGATGACATGAATTGTGTCCTAGATGTGCCTCTTGCTCTCTACAACAACTTAAGAGAGCCTCAGGGAGGTGCTCATATCATATATACCTGCATTTGGCCAGGTGTATAGTGTGAAGCCCCTCTCCCTCCCAATTTTGCCATCTCCTGTTGCAGAGCCCAGCTGTGGTGAGACAAAAGGGGGGGCAGTGGACACCTGCCCTGTGCCCACCCTTGGTAGCGTACCTAAGCATGAACACTACTTCTGAGAAAAAAAGCAGGAATACTCAGGTAGGAGACAAGTCTTATCATGTAGAAGGTAATGAAAGATTCCCTCAGCAACTGCTGTCTTGAAAGTAAATGTTAGAAAGAAGAAAGAGGGAAATGTAGGGCTGTGGTTTTTGTGTAGGACAGGACCATCCTGTCCTTCCCTTCCCCCCGCCTGTTTCTTTGTTCCCAGATTTGGCATTAAAATCTGGGTCATAGCTCTTAGCTATACACTTTTAAAATGCCCTAGTATCTGTGTGACCAAATATAGCACACCTTTTGTTTTTGTTGTTTAGTTTATTTTTTTCCCATAATGTAGAAAATCTGCTTTGTCTGGGATTAAACCATCTTTTAGCTGTTTTTTTGGGAGATGGCACTGCAAATCATTCATGTTTTTCTGGGATAAATAGCACCTGGACTCACATGGATACAATGCAGTGTCCCTGTTTTGTTTCTGGAGAAGGTAGGTGCCAGGGTGACACTGCTGGACTGCTTTGCAACCATGGGGCAGTGCTGTCGGTGTGCTGCCCGTGTTCCCACAAGCCTGTAAAGACACAGAGTATCTGGGCAGAGCTCATGCTTCAGCCTCTGGAAGATGCTCTGGGCGCTGTGTTTGCTCTCTCTGTGCCGGTGTCATTTATGGGCTGTGATGTCAAGCAGAGGAAACAGAGAGTTACAGCACAAATGCTAATCTCACCCCGAAAAGCGTCACTTGTGCAGTTTCCTTAGGCACAATTTGTGCTTATCATTCTTCTGCAAAAGTTAGGAAGGGACAGCTGGTTAAACAAACCCTGCCCAAATATAACTTCCGTGCTTACAACACAGAGCATTTAACCTTTCGTTACTCCATCCCACCCAAACCAAAGGTCTATTTTTTGCATTCAGCCTTGCTCTGTCCAGACAAAGGAAAAGAAAAAAAGTTAAAAACCCTAAAAACCCTGAAAAACTTACTTCAGAAGGAGATGAGCTTAATCTCCTGATTGAATTTATATCTCATCTCAGAATGTACTAGCTGCATATTGTACTTCATGTATGTGAAGATGAGAAATGACATATTGTATATAAAAACAGGAAAATGAATTATTCATGTCATAAATGCATTTTAATATCTTCTGGGAAAAAAAAAAAAAAGAGAGAGAGAGAGAGAAAGGTTGGCTGCCTACTAGTAATTGCACATCATATTTTAAAATAGTTATTTAGATTTGTAATGCCTGCCTGCTGCTTTGCCTTGCCTGTCTCCCATTCCGTACAGAAAAACACACTCCTGGGGAAGAGACTGTGTGCCCTAAGCAGAGAAGCTCATGTCCCAGCTTTATATAAGCAGATGCATTGGTCACTATCTGGGGACTAACTTCTCTCTGACATGGTGGAAGGGGGCACGGCATTGATGGACCTGTTATCTTCGAGGTGGACAAAATTGGCAGATGATGCAAAACAGCTCCACCCTTCTTATTTGCTTCTTGCATTAAGGAGCAAGGGGACATTTCTTCAAAACTCGTGCCTGCTTCTCACCAGTGCTGAATGCCTTTGAGTCTCCTGGGATTTGTGAGGAGTGGATCATCTTGGATGATAGACTTTCCAGAACATGTCGAGGAGCATCTCTTCGTGTCTGGTCCTTTGCCTGTTAGTTTTTAGTAACTAGTACTGTTTTGATATTGCTAGGGCCAACAATGTCATTAGACATATTGAAGAGATGCTAGATTCTCTCACCTCCCACTCAGCTACCACTTGGGATAGAAAACTCAGCAGCTCTGTAGCACCTGCATGCCAGTATTCAGAAGATGTCGTCTCAGGGCGTTTATACAGCAGTGGATGCAGGTGCATACCTCTGTCCCAAGGTGCTTCTGTGATGGCAGGCAGTTGGACTAGGTCATCTCTGAACTGTTTCAACTGTTCTGTTCTGTTCTGTTCTATTCTATTCTATTCTATTCTATTCTATTCTATTCTATTCTATTCTATTCTATTCTATTCTATTCTATTCTATTCTATTCTATTCTATTCTATTCTATTCTATTCTATTCTATTCTATTCTATTCTATTCTATTCTATTCTGTGGCTGAGCTCAACTCAAAGGTGCTGCTGTAAAACTTGTCAACTAAACTGTCTTAGGGCTTGGTTGAAAATCAAATAAAACGAAAATTTCTGTCAAACTCAGCAGGTTTTTAAGGTCAAATTTTGCCTTGTACTTTACATATCAGTGCTAAATAATGTTAGGTCTAAAGCACACTTGCTTCAAATATTGGAGGCAATTCCAATATCCAAGTAGCAGCTTTATCAAAAAGAAAAAAAAAAATTTCAGGTAAGTGACAGGCAGAACAAGTCTCAGAATGTTAAACATCTCTCACTTCTTGCAATCACTCAGATCCTTCCATCCTCGACCACACCATTTGCTGTCTCCAGATGGACTCACCTTCCTTAACCTGTGGTTCATCCCTCACCCTGCTGAAGTGCTGATTATGTTCAAGATGCTTCCAGAGAAGGTCAGTATTTGCTAATGCTAAAAGAGGTTTTGTTCTAGGCTATAGACATCTTTACACACACATAATAATTTTGCTTGTTATTGGAGATAAGGAAATGTACATCAGTGTTTTTAATCAGGGTACAGCTAGGGTGTGCCACTGATGAAGACAGCTGATGAAGAGTCATAGAATTATAAAATAACCTGAGTTGGAAGGGACCCACAAGGATCATCGAGTCCAACTCCTGGCTCCACACAGGACCTCCCAAAAAACAGACCATGTGTCTGAGAGTGTTGTCCAAATGCTTCTTGAACTCCGGTGGGTTCGGTGCTGTGACCACTGCCCTGGGGAGCCTGTCCCAGTGCCTGAGCACCCTCTGGATGCAGACCCTTTCCCTAACCCCCAGCCTGACCCTCCCCTGTCCCAGCTCCATGCCATTCCCTCGGGTCCTGTTGCTGTCCCCAGAGAGCAGAGCTCAGCGCCTGCCCCTCCGCTCCCCTCGTGAGGGAGCTGCAGGCCGCCATGAGGCCTCCCCTCAGCCTGCTCTGCTCTGCTCTGGGCTGAACAAACCAAGGGGCCTCAACTGCTCCTCACACGTCTTCTCCTTTAGACCCTTCAGCATCTTCGTATCCCTAATTTGGACACTCAGTTTTGTCTCTTCCTTATATTCCTCACACTAGTTTATCTGCCTCTAGCAAAGGAAAACAGCGTCCATCTGTTTAGACTGAGATAAACAGTGAAAATGATGGCTGGGAGGCACTGGGGTAGCAGTTTCTAAACCAGAAGCTGCAACACCAGATGGTATGGTGACGGCTGTGAGTGCTATCTTCAGCCTGAATGAAATCTGGCACTCAGCGTTGGTCTTTGGGGTTGGGAGGCCAAGCAGGGCTTCCAGCAGGAACTAGGGCTGCAATTACAACCCTCCCTGCCCTGGGACCCCTCACAGGAAGGTCTGACTTTGTGCTGGAGCAGTTGTGGCCACAGGACCAGCGTGCGTCCTGTTAATGAGTAGCAGCATCTGTTAGTGCTCCCATTCCTTCCTCAGTGGGAAAGTAGATGGGATGTTAAGATTAATTCTTCAGTGAAGATCCAGTCGTCTTCTTTTGGTGTGTCCACCATTATGGACAGAGTCATATTTGCTATGTCATATTTGTTCAAAAAAATTTCCTACTCTGGTGTATTTTCTGAAGGCCAATCATCTGAGTGGTTTTCTTTGTGCATTTGTCCTGCCTGCAGGCTGCTCTCAGAGCTCTCCACCTAAGCCTAGAAATTGTCGGTGCATTTCATGATGTGGTTTCATATCTCCTGGCTTTTGCTCAATTAGGAAATTCACCAAGCCCTTTCTCTGCTTTAAACCCAGAGCCTCTGACCCCAGACTGGGGAGGAACTGAAAGGATTGGTAAGTTACAGATACTGCATGTTCAAGATAGATTTCTCTGAGTCCTGAAAATGAGTGTGAAATGCTGAGGGTGAGAAAGGGACAAAGTGAGTTTGAAGATGAAATCGATGTTAACTGAAGACTGAAATCAAAACAAAATTCCATTCTATCTTTTTTTTGCCTTTTCTGCTCCATTTTCCTGGTGTAGGACCGTCATTTTTCAAGGTTGTACACAGGTCTGAAGCAATCTCAGAGAAAAGCAGCTCACCTACCGGGTTCAGGACTTCTGCTCCAGCAGGAAACAGAAAACATGGTCCAAAAATTGCTCTTCCGCCTCTCGCAAGTTTCTGTTAAGCCATCTGGTCAGCCTGTGGGGATTTCGTCTTTACCAGCAGATTAAAAAAAGCAGGCTTTGCTTCCTTTAGTAAATCTGTCACTTGGTTCTCTATCCAAAGGCTAAAACAGAGGTGGCATGTGCTGTCCTGCGTGAACATGTATTTGTGTAGAAACAGTACCAACTCTCCTAATAGCTTTGACAGGTTCATGCTAACCTGTAGTGCAGGAGTGGGATTTACGTAGCTTTACTTTCGTGGTTAGGTACGTAACTGCTGGTGTCTAACCACTAGCTGAGTACCTCTGCTGTCACTGACATCCTTGCTGGGCACTGTTGTCCTTGCTGGACACCTTCGTGGGAGCTGCTCATCCCAAGCTAAAATGTGTTTATAGTGAGTGGGATGAAACCCTCTCTGGAGCTGCCTGTATTCCTCTACTTAACGTTGCAGAAGCCCAATTAAACTTCATAACTGATAAATAGGCAACTAAAGTTACAGAAGACAACCTTGTCCCAAGCACTGAAGTGTTTTTAGCGCGTGTTTTTTTCAGCCACTGCATTATTTCTGCTGTGTAGTGAGCCAGAGTTTTAAAACATGGCGTGTTATATTTAATCCCTTCTCTGTGCATGTGTGTGTGTGTGCTGCAGGGCTGGACTGTTTTCATGCCACCTAGAAATGCCCGTGTTTATAGATTTGGCACCACTCAGGCACAACTCAGGAGTAAAAACGTCAACTGCTTCCCTCCTACCCTGGCATCTCTTAAAAAATGAAAAATTTATTACATCCATTGGGTAAAAAATATAAAACTGTTCAAGAATTGACAAAAATTGCTAGCTTTGTCTTTCAATGTGTCCGAATTTGTCATGTGATGCCTTATGTATTTTTTCTTTTTATGTGAGCAAGATTTTTATTACCAGTTCTGAATACATCTTCTTGAATTTTCTTTTTGGAAGGGAAGAAAGGACTCAGTGAATCATAAATACTTGTTATAGCTTTTATTTTAAAATTGTGCTTGTGAATGTTTGATTTTGAAGTAGGCTTATTTTCTCCAACAAAAAGCACTCCCTGTTCTGTGGTGTGTGCTCATTGTACCATTAGGTGTGTGTTAGTAACTTCATTTCTAAATGGCTGAGAAAACTGACGTAAATTAGCATGTTTAATGAGCTTTGAAACAATCAAAAGGGCTGAGCTCAGTGAGAAACCACATAACCAAATGTAGGAGGAATATTTTATGCAAGGTGCTGCTTGAATTTCAGACACATCTAATGCGTGCCTAGCTACCACACTTCAAAAACATAAATTGTGTACAATGGAGTAGTCCTCGCTACTCTGCTGTCTCCATAGAGCATTTTGTACAGACAATTTAACTGTGTTGCTCCTGACCAAGAGATCTTTCTTGTTGCTCTTGTTCAGGAATACTTTCCCCGAAATCAGAATATATAACTTTCTTAAACAATGACAGCCTGTGTAGCCTGACAGAAGGAACATTGGGTTTCTGTAATAGGTGCTTCAAAGTTAAATCACTTTTGTAGCGGATGTACCTTGGGAGGCAGTCCAGCTCCATGCACACATTTTGTGCAAGCAGTGCAAACACCAAGTAAGATCAGGTGCTCCTGTAAGAAAAAAAAAAAAAAAAGTCTTAGAGAGGTCTGTTGCTTTGGGAAGGCTTTTTTTTTGATGGGCTTAAAGAGAATCAAAAGCTTCAGAGCCTTAGCAGAAAAACCTTCGCTAGCTTACAGAATTGAACCCTAATAGTATTTTATTGAAAATAGTTGGAGAAGCTGTTCCTGTCATCATCTACCTGGTCATAACTAGTTTGGGTCTTTGGAGTATGTAAAATGCCATCTTAGGATGTGATTCTGCTCCCATTTGACAAATTTCATCTTGATACGATAACCAGTAAAATTGAATATAGCACTGGCCTTGTTGGCATTCTGTAACAATTGACTTTTTAATTGGTAAGGATAATAACAGAACTATTAAAGATGCTTGTAACTTTTCATTCCTGTGCCTTGTCCTCTCTTACAACCTCCTTGTAATTCTCCACCCAGCATAATCTCTTTCCTTAAAGAATGTTTTTGTAGTGTTGAGGAGGATGGAAGTGCATTCTTTTTCTGCTTGACAGGGTAAAGAGGAGAACTACAGGAAGTCACGAGGTAGAAAAAACGTGGAGGGAACAAGCGTTTACAGAACTGAGATATTTTTATGTGCCTTTCCTGACACCTTATCTGGTAAACTTACTGTTCTTGGGATTCTAGGGAGTGAACTTCGAGAGATACAGAAAATGATTGACAGCCTTCAGAATCCACTAGATCCCAGTGAAGTAGCCCAGCTGCTAGCTGCTTACAGAGAAGTGATGTTTCTACAGTTCGATGCAGCAATCCGACATCGACTACGGTAGGAATTACAGCCTCTCAGGGATAGGAGGGGCACCTTTTTTATTAAAGAGGCTTTTTCTGTTCACAAGAAAGAAGATGTAGGAAAGATTAATTTAAATTTTTTCCATGGTATCTGCTCATGAAATGTCCCTTGTAAGTGTAGAAATATACCTCCTGTTGATTTTCTTTTCACCAAAATTGATAAGAGTTCTTACATGCTTCATTGAAGAATATTAATACACGATGCATGAGTATAGCTGTCCTATTATCTGAACATTGTACCCCCTTTATGTTGTGATTCATAGTTTACCAAATCAGGGAGGATGAGGAGGGAGGTGGATCTGTGAGGCAGAGTTAAGAATTATCTTTTTATTCTATTAAAGGATCTACGTTTTATATTTTCCTGTGTCAGAGAATGCTTAATAGCATGTAGAGGACTTCCAGGATACTGAGATCTAGGTTTACCCTCCTGTAAAATGTTAATTCCCCCATTGCAGAAACCAAAATGAGATATACTTTTCAGGACTTCCTAAAAAGTAACTGTCTCCCTTTTCTCCCCTTTCTCTTACCATATGTTGTCTGTCAGTAGTGATCACAGAATGGTTTGAATGTACTCAAGAGAAATCCTTGGCAGAACTGAAACAAGGGCAGGATGTGCAAAAGTAAAGGAAATTTCAGCTCTCTTTCCCTCAGTAAAATCCATTGATGGCATGACATAAGGCTGGATTTGTAGGTGTAATCAAAGACCATCTAATGGAGCAGCTGGGTTAGGGAGTCCAACAGAACAAAAAAAACTCCTGGACTTGGTCCTGAGTAGCATGCAGGATGTAGTTCAGATTATGCAAGCACAGTATGACTGCAAAGCATCCTTAAAGGAAAAGTTAAAGCCAAATAAGTATCACCATTGCTGGGAAACTACATAAAAAAGAGAATACTTAAATGCAGGAAGAAAAAAAAAAGGAAAAGAAAACTAAAAGGGTTAGCTAAGGGAGTTAAATCCTTGCAGATGGCATGGAGACTCTTTGGAGACATACTGGAGGCACTCAAGAAATGTATACCACATGTGAACAAAGACTTAAGAAAGGGTAAGAGGATGCTGGTATTGCTAAACAGCAAGATGAAACAGATCGTTAAAGCTAGACGGCATCCTTTAAAAAGCTGAAGTTTCATTCCAAAGAAGAAAACAGAAGGGAGTATAAACTGCAATGGGCTGATTCAAGACATCCCAGGAATGATTTTTAGGAACAATTTTGCTGAAGGCATCAAGATAAATAATGATTCTTATGTCAAATATATCAGAAGCAGTCAAATGCATTCAAATGTATACTGCTAGTCAGTAGGGTTCAGTGGAGATAGGGCAAAAGCACACATTTTAAAAAAAAATAAATGTCTGCATTCCATATAGCAGAGGTTCCCACACAAAAACCTTTTTTTATGGGGGATGCATCAAGAGGATCTGGTGCAAGTACAAGAGTTGCCACAAGAAGTTATGGGACAAATGAACTGAAACAAAGATCAGCAAGTTACCAAGAGCAGATAATGTTCAAGAATTATGAAAGAACTTGAGGATTTACGAAAAAAAAAGAGGGGGGAGGGAGAGGGAAAGAAAAGGCAAAATACTAACTGTAGTGTGTAGTTTCTTGCACAGAACTGCTTTGATACCTGGAGACTGAAGGTGATTGGTGTGTTGTCAGTTTCTAAAAAGGATTGCGAGAGTGATTTGGCTAATCACAGGCTGATAAACCCAATAGTAATTAGGTTTAGGTTCAAATTAACAGAAACTGCAATAAAGCAGATGAATGGACAAATGTGATATATTTGGGAGGAGTCAGGACTCCTTCTGGGAAGTGCATTCACACTTTACAGGCATTGGGGTTCTCTGAAAGTGTTAACAGACATGAGTAAGAGGTTGATCCAGCTTGTCTGGATTCCCTGAAAGCTTTACTAGTCTCAATGGAGACTCCTAAGGAGTGTAATCAGCTACTGGACATGGGAGGAGATAGTCACATTTGTAAATAATTTAGTTGAAATTTAGGAAGGAAAAGGCTGTAAATGGATAACAGTTGCAGCGGATAAGGGAGGTTACTAGTGGTGTCTCACAGGAGTCTGAACTTCCTCCTGTGCTGTTCAGACATTCATAGATGACTTCAAAAAGGGACTGAGGCTGAAGTGATATGGTGTGTACATGACACCGAGATATCCAGGACATGAAGTGCAAGGGCTGCCTAGTGAAGGACCTGATAAGACTGACTGCAGAAATAAAATAGATGGGGGTCAGTGTGTCATTAAGCATAAAAAGATGCAACTGGGGGCAAAAATATAATCCCAATGTGTAAAATGACAGCCTCTGACTTAATCGTTACCATGCAGTAATGAAATCTCAGAGTTGTGACAGATAGCTCTGTCAACATTTCAGTGCAGTAGTGATCAAAAAAAAATGAAAAAAAGCAAATCGATTCCCTTTAGGAAATGTATGGAGAACAAAATTAAGAACACCACTATACCACTGAATAAATCAGTGTTGATGAGGCTATGCAGTTCTGGCACTCCATAACAGAAAGGGCAGAGAACTCAGGAAGGTTCCCACGAAACCACACAGATGATCAAAGACACAGAACAGGTTGCTGCATGGAGTAAGTAGGACTCATGAGGTAGGACCTTTATCTCAAACAAGGAACCGTGTTAACAGGAAGTATAAAGAAATGCAGTGTATCGTATGCTTCATCTTTATTATTCTTATTGCATGGGCAATTAGTTTCCATTTTTACAACACCATTCCCATCACAACACACCTACACAGGGTGTACAGTGTGGCACTAATTTATTCCTTTATGAACTTCTTTGCGAAGTTTGATCCCAGAAGCTGTTATTTGTTCCCGTAATTCCTTTGTTAGTCCTGCAACTGATAAGAACTGCATGGCATTTTTAAGAGTGCTTGTGTGTGTGTGTGTCAAAAATGAAAGAACAAGATCCTTTTCTTAGAGTTGCCATTCAAAGGAGCATATGCAGCCACATAAAGAGTTGAAGCCTAGATTGCTTCTCATATTGTGAGATCCACTTTGTCATGGGCTCTTTGTTTTGAAAGCATGTGAATGAAATACAGGTGAACTGAATATGACAAAGAGGCTGAGTTGAAATGGCAAAACCATGACTAAACTTGGTTGAATAATGTATTTACATGATGCATAGGATGTAGTAAGAAGTAGCTTTTGTTGTAGAACATTTGGAGAATTTTGAAGCAATCTAATTATTTTTAATACAAAAATTTTGGTTCTTTCACAGGGAGACATTTTTGTCCTCAGGGAATGTTTCAGCCTACCAGAATGTTACAGACAGGATGTCCCATGCACTGCCTCCACTTAGTAACTCTGCGATTCAGAGTGCATTTGCTTCACAGCTACGGCTCCCACAGTTTCTGGATCCTCAAAGTTGCAGGGTGAGTAAAGCATACCTGCAGAGACAGTCTTCACCTGTTTGCATTGAGCTCCTTGGAGAACAAAGTCCTCTGCAGTTCTTGCTGGAGTGCTTACTTTTCCCTACCGTGGTGCAAAGAACCTGATAGCTAATTTTAAAAAAATCCCATGATCACAGCTTATTAACTTGGTTCATCTTCTGGGATGAAAATGCTGTTTACAAAAGTAAATAATAAAAATTTAGGATGGAATGTAATCACAATAGTGTCACCAAAATGTAGTTATTCTCTGCGCTATATGTTGGAATATTTTACCTATCTCTACTCCATTGCTGCTGTTTCTAATAACTTTCTGCTTTGGGTAATAATCCTTATGAGCTCTTTCATCACCTAGCAGCAGATTTGCTTGCCTGGCATGTCTGTTATGATTATACATAAAGTGTTTAGGTCTACTGGTTTATTAGCTGCATCATCACACAGAGGTACACAATGCCACATCAGCTGTCTGTGTGCTAAAGAGGCACCTTGAATGACACTGGCAAAAAAAGCTGGTGTAATGGTAAGGGAAGTAAAGGTGAGTCTTGCTGGTCATATTAAGCATGTTTTGAGGTAATAGGCAGTTTTAGGTGATCATTCAAAGTTCATGTTTCCTCATTTTAATCCCATCCTTCCAATTTTCCAATATTTGATAATATTGTTTTATTTTTAAAAATGCCTTTCTTGAACAAGGAGTTATAGGAATAGAATTTTCTTCCATTTCTGCCTTGATTTTGGTGACAATGACACATAAGACCTCTATAGTGTAATGGAGAAACAGGATTTGTACTTGCATGCAAAACTGCAATGTCTTAGATGAATAAGATGTACGCTCCTTGGGGAACCTTGTTCTGATGCCTCTGAGATATGACCAGCAATAAATGATGGGCAGTCACTGAGTAAGAACCTAGGAGCTATTCTGTGGAGGCAGAAGTACCACAGTATCTTGGTAGGAAATACATTCTGGAATGAATCTTATTGCTTCCTTCCCAAAGAGAGATAATAGATGCTTCTCTCTTCTAATACATGGCCTACTTTCAAAGTCAGAGCAGAGTGTATCAACATATCAAGCATCTTGGCCTCTGAGTTGCCTTTTCTTGATCAAATTAGATGGGAGTCTCATAACTAATTGAATGCTGTTCTTATTTATGAGCAGTTGTCTCTTTTCTTTTAGACACTCATGCATTTTCCTTGGAGGACATTCCTAATGGATGGCGGATTGTTTCCAGTCACTATCAACAACTCAATTAATGTAAATTACAACATGCAGGTACTGTAAGACAGCAGCCTTGTGCTTATGTTCAAAAGACACAAAGACAAGATGAATCTACAATGCAAGAGGAAAATAAACAAATCCTATATTGTTTCCTGTCTTTCTTTTTTAAAGAACAGGAGTGAACCAAAAACACCTCTCCTTTTTCCTGTCCAAAAGCCCGTTCTACTGTTTACTTTACGTTTGATCTTTCTCCAAGCACCACAGAGCACTTCTGTTGATAATGAACCTATAATTGTCATTTTTCTAATGTGCTAGAACTAGAGAATCAGATTATTTTTATGCGTGGGCATATGGGTTTTAGGACCATGGTGCTAAAAGCTGGAACTCTGGGTTTATAACACACACACAAAAAAAACCCTGTGCTCACATTAGCTGAGATTTGCTATTGCTAAGCTATGAGCAGCAGACCTTCACAGACTCTCCCTTCCTCTCCAGCTGTGCCTGTGCAACCTGAGTGATGCAGACCGAAAAGTTGCTCACGGGGAGCTGACTGCAATGCAGTTTCTAATGGAGGATGTCTTGCAGAACTGCTACAGCTCTGCTGAGGAAGATCACACTGATTGTCAAGCCTCATTAGCTAAGAGCAAGCAGGTACTTCTGACAACTCAGTTTGGCATCATTCAGCTTCGGTGTAGGACTCCCTTTAGGTTTTGCAACTAAATCTCTGTGAACGTAAGAGACCCAGACCTGAGAAGTGTTGTAATAACCTTACCTACTCCTGGCCATCTGGTAAGAGGCCAAGGGAACAATGTTGTCTCCTACAAATCCCAAGTGCTCTTGAGCTAAGCCCTGGTGACTGATGCACCTTGAGGGCCTGCTGGTATTGCTAGAATTCTGACTGATTGTCCTGACTTCTCCCCACAGCCCACATGAGGCCCAGCTCTTTCTTTGGCAAGAGCTATTCAGTGCCAAAGAGAAAGGAGCAGCTTGGCCACTGTTTAAAAAAAAAAAAAAAAAAAAGTCATGGAGAGGTAGAGTATTTGTGTTATGGACATATATGCGAGGGATGCCTGCTGGGGGAACCTGCCAGAACCTACACAAAGGTTTTGTTCAAGGAGAAAAGGAGATTTCCAAACTGCTTGTGATGGATAACAGATATGCTGATCAATTTGTAAGGGGTTCACCCATTTTAATGGGTGAAGAGGACAAATGCAGTCATTTAAAGATCTACTTCCTTTAAGATCTGAGCTAAGAGTTTGATTTCTATAACAATACTTTTACTTAGAGAAGAAAGCAGAGTTGCTGTTGAAGATACTCGCTTGAAGAAAGCAGCAATATAACAAAGGATTTAACTTCTGTGTAGTTTTATCCCCATCTCTGCTGTATGGAATTACTCATTGCAATCAAAAAGCAGCCCTGTTTTTTCCTATACTGTGCTCTGAAGGACACTGGTATACAGGCCAGATGCAAGTTTTGATTGTGCAAGAGGCTGTCACACATTTCATTCCACTGTATATTGCATGAGATGCTATTAAGCAAAGCAGAACATGTGAAAAACTTGCCACAAAACTTTCAGAAGCAAAATATTTCTCTATGACTTTTCACAGAACTTGGCAGAAATGATTGACACAAGTACTAACTGGTTGCAAAGCAGCAAAAAAATGTGCAAACTTTTGCTGAGGCATCAGGATCCAGTCCTATCATGTAACTTACTGAGATCTTTCCTGATACTGTGGAAGCAACTGGAAATGTTAAAGGCAGAATGGGGCCGGCTGAAGCTGAGGACTGAGGATATAAATACAGTTCCTCTCTACAAAGAGTTTTGTGAGCAATATGGGTAAGTTATTGTTGGATGCAAGTATTCCAAAGTGACTGAAAAGATGACAAAGGAAGGAAGCCTCTGTCTTCTTTATCCATTTTCCTCCTGTCACCCTCTTTCACTTGCATTTTTTTTTAAATCTATCCTTATTTTTTCTCATTATTAACCTAGTGCTTTTGCTTTCCTCTAGAGGCTTGAAAGCCGCCTTTCTTTCCTGTGTTTCCATATGGTTGTTTTTTTTTTCCTTTTTCTATGTCTATTTGGATTGTTTGCTGATGCTGTTTTCCAAGTGCATTCTTCTCAGTTGTGTGACCTGCCTCTGTATTTCAAACCTCATAAATAATGTTAAGTACAGTATTTTAATAAATGGTAATTTTGGAAGCCTGTTAGATGAATAATAGTAGAATTCTTCCTAACCCCCTCACTTGGCTCAACTTGGAGCAGTCAAGAATAGAAAACTGGAAGATTTCCATGAGAGAGGCCTTTCTGGAAGTAGAAAATGGAACACTGCCTCTTAAAAAGCCTTGTCCCCAGAAACCACAAAAAAAGGAAAGCGAAAGAGCAAGATGGGTGAAGTAAGGGTGAAATCTGTGCATGAAGGTGCTGGAAGACAAAGCTGTCATGCAAGGGAGCATGGAGGAAGCAATGCTGAGTGGGCCTCTTCTTATGAGGCCAAGGTGTTTTGGACTGACAGGCTGGAATTCACCACAGAAAGTTTTGTGGTTACAAACAGGGGTCATCTCTGTGTGGCAAGGATGGGACTGTTTTGAAGCTCCTGGGACATGCTGTGCCCAAAAATCCCACCATGTATCCCTCATCCACACCCTCACCTGTCCCCCTTGCATAGACGAGAGTCTCCTTCCTTCTCCCTGAGCACTGTGGTAACCTTTGTGTCAGGCCACCAAAGGTTTAAAAGGCAGCATGATTAAAGCAATAAAATGTAACAAGGTATATATGCCTTGCTAATGGCTCCTCTGCCTCTCAGAGCAAAGGGCACATCTGCCTTGGTACTTAGCACTCAGGGGCACTTCACAAACCTGTGACCAGGAATGAAGGAGAGCAGGCAGAGGAGGTGGAAGGAGTTTCATCTGCTTCACTGACAGTGATGGACATCTGCTTGTTGGTGACCAGATCTCCCTGCTTTATCTGGCTGATGCTTTGTTTCTTCCTCTCAGTTTTCTCTGTGTTTGTATAAACCTGGAGAAATTACTGAACTATGCAATGAGGCAGGATCCATGCAAAAGAGACTCCTGCCCTGTTTGAAGGTTGAGTGGGAATAACCCAGTGGGCATATTCAGTGCCTTAGGCATATTCTGCACAGGTTAGGAACAGGGGCAAGGGAAGGAAAAGGAAGCTAAGGTCCAAAGTCAGTAAATGCAAACACAGTAATTTGTAGAAAGAATTAATGAAATACGCATGTCTTGGTGGTTCTAGCACAGACATCTTGCACCCGGCCATGAAAGCCATAGCCAGAAAAATGGGCACAGAAGAGGACTTTGGAGGGCCTGTTACAAGCACTCAGCATATACTTCCCCCAAAAGGAGCATCAGAAATTGAAATGAAAGTGTATCAGGTAAGAGGAGGATCATTAATGGGTGCGTCACAGTCTGGTGGGCATCTGTGGAGGCTGTTGATGGGGGCGTTTGGCAGATGTGGATGACTGGGGATGGTCTGCAGGGGCACCTCTGCTTCATGGAGCATGGTGTGGGTCCTGGGACAGCCCACAGCAACAGGAGAGCCTGCCTCTGTCAAAAGCACGTGTGGCACAGGGATAGGCATGCAGTCACCCCAAAATTATATTAACCATGATACTTTACCTGAAACTACTGTATTTTAGTAAAAAAAAAAGAAAAGAGCAGAATTGCTTTGGTTCAGTCTGGTAGTTTTTGATATTTAGCAGGTGGTTTTATAAACAATATACACATCTAGTATAAGCTGAGTGTTAAACATCATTCCAGATTCAAAAGCTCCTGGAAAGCCTGGAAATCCACATGATCCATGATGTGCAGAAGAAGATTAAACTGGAGATGACTCTAGTGACATCTGAAAGAGCCAGACAAGAGAGCAGCCTCCCCACTGGTAAGGAGAGTTAAAGTACCATTGCTGGGACACGTGGGGGGCTGCAGACTCAGAGCTGAAAAGCAGCCCTGATGCATGCAGAAGCAAAGCTGCCCTGTGTGTGGACAAGAGGGCAGGTTTGGTCTCAGCTCCCCACATCCTCATTTGGAGGCCCGGGACCAGATAACCAAGGGATGGTTTCATTGATCGAAAATGGCAACAAATTCAGATTCCCTAAATCTAATATTTGACTTTCTCATTATAAGATGAGCATTTAACCATAATCATTGCAAAGACAATATTGCAGGCAGCACTGAACTCTAATTATTCTGGAATTTGCAGGCAGCTTGAAGCAGACTGATAAGAAAATACTTCTCTCCTCCTCTGTAATGGAGTGTTAATATTTTAGGCAGAGCAATTCAATCTAAATGCCAGACTTTTTAGCATGTTACATATTTACTTTGTACAGTGACAGCATGTGTATTCACAGACACATATAGTACAAAAAGAAAAAGTGGAAATAAAAGGGATGAAAAATATGCCCAACTGCCTCTGGCTGAGGTTGCAGGCAGCCATAATTACTGTACAGAAATGTTCAGTTTCACACAAAAGCTGTGTTCCTTTCTCAGTATTTACAGAAAACTCCTATACACAATTGTGGGCCAGGTCATTATTGACGGAACTGCTCCATAATGAAATTGCATTTTGGCTTTGATACCAGAACAAATGTGATATTGCGGCTCAACACAGCTTTTGCAATCTGTTTGCAATGACATTTACTTTTTGTTGTAAACATTTTAGGAAAGCTGAGAAACCTTAAGCTGTACAGCACGCCCAGTGTCAAATCCCAGGGATTATTGAGGGATCAATATTTTGTGACAGTGATACCCACTGATGTGTGGTCTGTTTTGTTTTCTTTTCTTTTCTTTACTTTTTCTCCCTCTATTCCTGCAGAGCTCTGGAAACATAGGGTAATGCGAGAAAATTTCTCAGTTGTACGACCACAGATAGTTGAAACATTTGTTCAAAGGCTGATGGAAAACTACCAAGAATCAGATACAGAGGTACATATTCTGCATTTCTATCAAAGCGACAATTAAGCCATGTTTACAGCTTTGTTTATTAAAGCTCTTGTCAATCACTGACCTAAAAGAGAAACACATTTCTTAAGCTTTTGAGCTCATATTCAGATTATGTTGTTTTGTAATAGCAGTACTGGCAGCAAGCTTGTGTATTGCCCTACTGCCTTGTGACAGCTTTATGTCAGATCTCAGGACTGTAGTAACGTGAGGATGAGTTAGGGCTGCAGGTTTATGTCCAACTGCAGTGCAGGATTGCAGGGCTTTATGCACAGTTTAAGCAGGGGAAATTCTTCCTGAGTCAGTGCTAAATCAGGGGATCCAGAATTATGTTAGGAAGCAGGTTTGTGTTTTTTCTTTCAGTGAAATCTAAAGAAAATATTTACGACAAAATGACCATTTCAGGTTAAAAATCACAGTGCTTTTTTTTTCTTGAGAAAAGGGATGTTGGGGCCCAACAGCTCAGGCAGTTTCTGAGCTGCTGAAAACATTTATCTACTGAAAATTGTCTTTTAGCTTCAGATAGAAAGAAATACATTATACAATTCCAGCTAGAACCAGTCAAAAACCTGACAAATTTGTTTACCATTAGATCAGTGAAACTGTAGATTGGGTAAAAACATTTACATTGAATAATTTTATTTTTGCATCACTTTGATATCACAGAAACATTTAATTTACAACAAGGTGACCATATTTCATTTTGACAATATGCTGTATATAGCAGCTTGTGACTCAGGCAAGCTGTAAGATTTCTTTTTTGTTTTTCCTAGGTTACTTTTAAAAAAAGCCATTTACAACAGTGTCTTACTGTACTGGGCTGTGACATCATGGCCAGAGAACGCAGCAACTTTGAGACCTACTCCATGTTTTATGAAAATATTCTCCAGCAGCTGCATCATCTACTTTACCAAAAAGAACAAGTATGATCAGAGCATTGATTCTACTCTTCAAGAACAGGGCAAAGAGGTTTCTCTGGGTGGGAGGTACTTGCTAAGTGAAAATGAAAGCCGAGCTGTCAGGCTGGGAATTTGCTGAGTTGGAGTTGGGCTACACCAGCACAGTCACCGTGCACCTTTATGCTTTCCTTCAGGAGCTGCATGCGGTGGAAGAAGGTGGCAACCAAGGCGATATGGCTCTGATGCAGGTTGGTGGTGATGGCCTATCGACTGGTAGGGCTCAGCAGTCCCATTTGGGACAGAGTGTACGAACACATGGTGATAGTCTTTGAGAAGCAAGGTAAGGGGGTCCTGGGGCTGCTGTTCCTGTGCTCAATACCAGAAAAAAGTATGAAATAAAGACAACCTGGAGGCAAAGGTAGTAGTAGCCTGCTGTTCTCTGGTTCGTGTTCAGAATGGATGATGTACTGGTAACCTTTTAACTTAAGCTTTCACTGATGGGCCTCTCTTCCTACACGAGGCATTTTCCAGAGCACTTCAGTCATATGCATTGAGCAAGATAGAAATAGAAGTGGGTCAGGCACGTAGGCTATGCTGCAGTGTAGGTGCCAGGTAGGCTGCATGATGGTTGCATAAACAACTCCCCTCAAGTTGACTTGACTTTGCAACTTCATCTGTGTTTTTTTTAGGATAGCGGGTATGTGTGGGTGGAATTCTCTGAAGAAGTAAATCCAGCCAATAAATTAGAAATGCCATCTTGTGGTATCATGTGATATCCCTATAATCTATTAGCAGAGTTGGAGGCTTGGCTCCATCATCATAAACGCCACTGCTAGAGGCATGTCAGCTTCCACAGAAATCTACGGTGCAGAGAAGACTGCTTGGGTTTCAGGGATGTTTGCACACCAGCATTGGAATACCTGCATGTTCCTCTTCTCATTTACCCTCATTGCTGACTACAAGATTTCATTTTTTATTCTCTAAGTTTCTTATCTGTTTCTTGACTCACTTTTTCATGCTCTTTCCAGTTTTTGCCCCCATCTTTTTTTTTTTGTACAGTGCCTTGTCAGCAACCTCTCTCCTTCCCTGATTCCAGTGTCTGCATGTTTGGGGAAGCTGGGTGAGAGAGAAAATGAGAAACATGTGTGAGGTTTGAGCTGGGTGGAAAGATAATGGGAAGAGCTGGTAGGACTTTCCAGGAGTCTGTGTGCATGGGAGTCTCTCCTCCCCTCCCCTTTGCCAGCCCATCACCACCAAATCCCTGTCTCATCTGCCTCTTCTTTCAAGTACAAGACAGCTTAATCCTTGTGACTGGCCAACCTGGATAGCTGCCTGCTGTCTCTGGGCTCCGCTTTAACCTCAAAGAGACTTGTTCACAGCTCCACTTGTCTGCTCACTGGCCTACAGCAATTAATAGGGCTGTTACAAGTCTGAAGAGAGCAAGTTCAGTTGCTGAGGAGAGGTGACAGAAACCATGACAAAGGTTCAGGCATGATCAGTCATGGCAGACAGTTTAAAACCTAAAAAGTCTCTATGTAACATAAACGGACCATTTTTTTTTTCCCCAATGTACTCTGGACTTGACTAATTTTTTGCTGATTTTACAAAAAAGGCATCCAAAGCAGATGAAAACTCATTCTGCTCTGAATAAAGATCAACAGAGTTTTTCAGTAGGGCTAGAATACGTGTATTTTCCCAAACATTCATTTTCAGAAATCTCTAGATAATGCTTTCTGTAAGACAAAAAAAAAAAAAAAAGAACATTTCACTGAGAAACTGAAGTTATTAACATTTATTACTTAGACCTGGCACGCAGAGGTGCCAGGCAACTTAAAAGCAGAGTGTGCTGTTGGCTATACCTACAATGCCTATTTCTTATCTTCATGAGGTAATATGCTAAGAATGTTTTTTAGCTTTCCTCCATTGTGCTCATCTGGTTGTAAATGCTGTTCAGAGGTATGAGAATGACCAAATTTTTACACCTAGCAATGACCCACCTATGTGAAATGTAAATGATGTCATTTAAATCTCTTTAAATTCTACCATGCACCTTCCTATTTGTGCTAACCTGCATGCCCTTTCCGAGAGTATGTTAATTGTCAAATATCAACAAATGGCGCACATAATTGTTTTTATCGTGTATTAAATGGTCTGTATGTACAAGCTTATCAGCAGACAGCACGTTTGCTCCGATAAATGTATTACCTCACAGCTTACTGAACAAAGCCTGGTCACAATTCTGGCTTTCTCTCTGGAGGCAACGTAGGTTATGCTACAGGAGGCCAGGCTCACCTGCAGAGTAGACCTGTGCACAAGATCTCCCAAAATCAGGCTCTCAAATCCTACTCTCTAATCTCTAATCCTGTTCCTCCCTCCTGCACTCTTTTTTTTTTGGTCTGTCAGTTCTCATACCCACTACATCTTTCTTTTGTGATTACCACAAACACTTTTTAAGGTTATATATGAATCTTCCCCCCCCTTCAAAGATTGGTCTTGAACTGCCACAATTCTTCCTACTGTTTCCAAGAAGAAAAAATATTTCTAAAACCAACAGAGATGTACCTAATGGATTATGGGTTATTTCAATGGGTTATTTTCATCTAGCCATTCAGATAGGAAGATATTGTCACTCTGATACTTAATTCTGTATCATGCTACATATTCAGAACTCTGAATCATTTACTCCTGGCTATGGTATTTGCTCATCTTCAGCTTTGCTCATTCACTTTCTCTGCTGTGATAGATTGCGGGGCTGAGTCATGGAATGATTATGGAAATAACCGCTCTCAGAGCCCAGGTTGCTGACTTAGAGGAAGAAAATCTCAGTCTCAAAGAGAAGATAAGGAAAGAAGTACGGGATGAATACGAATCATTAGTGCAGAACCTATTTGTGACTTGTGTCCATCTAAAAGTAGGTACAAAATAAGATGGGGTACCTAATTGGTCTTTTTTGTGCTGCTGATAATTTGCCAGTATGTGTAGCACTCAAAGGAATAAATTGCTGTAGTGTGCCAGGTGGATGAGTGGGTGAATCATTTATCTCCTCCTGTATATTTTAGAAGCATCCTGTAAAAATGTCTGGTAGAAAAATTGTGTACCTGTTCCAAGACAGGAGGCATAGTCTCAGTGGAACAGGTACCACATTAGAGAGAGTGATAGAAGCTCTTTTTAGTTACTGTGGAGGGAACTTTTTGGATATAATACTTCAACTTGTAATATTCTACATTATTTTTCTTGAAAACTTTATGTCCAGTGTGTAATAGTATTGCTTACTCTAACAATGCCTTTGTTTTTCAAGTAGTCCGCTGATTTCTGTGGTACACTATCATATGTCATTACTTACAAAAATAAGGATACCGCAGTCTAGCCTATAAAAATTGACCTGATTGTGACCATGTGTCGCAATAGGGCAACTATTAGCAACTATTGCTATAGAACAACTGCCTGTAGCAGATCCCCAGGGTTTTTATTCACAATCCATAAGCCCGTCAATGTCTGTGATCAGGACAAGAGTGACTTGAGGAATACTGAAATTCCTTTTGCAGTCCTGAGGGATGAGAGCATTTTTTTACCAGAAAGCCTATTTTATCACCATGGTGCCACTGCTTCCATTAAATCCATTCCTCTCAGGACTGCCAATAATTTGTCTATAAATGATATAATTGAAATCTGCTCCTTGCAATGTCCAGATGTAATAAGAATATTGCTCTGTCTTCCTGATACATTGATTATAGGGAAATAATTATCAAGAAAGACCATCTGGTTGTGACTTCTGAAATCTTTTGAATGTTGCTTTCCCATATGTGCACATTTAATCTCCAGTGGGTTCTGTTTGTAACTGCAGGGGAAGTTGGATGTCTATCGACTTAGCATTGAGCAACGAGTGCTTGAAATCATCAGTGAAGTGAGAAGGGAAGGAGTTGACAATATGATTGATCTGAAGAAAAAGTTTGGCTCCTCTGAAAATAATGGTGACTTGAAAGAATACTTGTCTAAAGTAAGGAAATGTATGCATGTCAATAAATGAACACAAGGATAGTAACATAATGTTAAGTTTTCTGAAGATGGTTTAAGTTACTGCATTCTATCTTGGACATCCACTGGGTGAAGAGCAAAGAGATGGCCCATTACTAGACTCTTAATGGCTACTCATTTGTCAGGCTGTCGTGAATCAATCATCTTTGATTGTGTCTTTCTTCTCCAAGTACAGAAATTCTCAGCCAGACGCAGTCCTTAGATCCTGAATATCTACATGTATTTGAATTGAGTTTGGTTTTAAACTTAGAAAGTACTGGTGTTAGTTTCAGTCACGACAGATAAAGCAGAGTTCCTATGTAGGTGAACATCAGAGGTTAAACTTCCATCTGAATAAGTGTAAAAGTGAACTCATATTCAATCACGTCAGACTGTGCTGTCATCTGTTGTCATTTTCCCAATTTTGCAGGGAGGAAACAGAAAATGAAGTTGCAGTGACCCAGATAAATGTGTTGATAGGTGTTTTATCTTATTGTGCAAGCTGTTCACATAAAAAAGTGGGGACCAAATCCTTTTTTTCCATTTGGGGTTACTTAGCATAAGAATATATTCAACTCTGTTTTGAAAAAGTGCCCCCCAAATTGATGTTCTGGGAGTTATAAACTAAAGCCTGGGAAGTAATTTTGAGGCTACAGTTTCCAAATCAATCCCTTTTATAGTCAAATACATCTCTCCTTGGTAAAGTTCAATTTTTACTGAAACTATAGTAGTCAGTCAGTGAATACAAATGAGATCAAATGGGTAATGGCTAAATACTTCTGTCTGAAGCAAATATGCCTCCAGATCTTTCAAGCAGAGAAGTTTGTGAAACAGGATATAAATGTAATACCACTGTACAGAGAAGGGCTTTCAACCCTCCCAGTGAACCCGGGGGATAGGAATGCCCAGAAGTAAATGAGGAACTAGTGGAAATGAAAGAGTTGCATGCCTGAGAAGGCTGCAGGGAAATGTCCACATTCCCACTGGGAAAGGACAGTGTGCAGAGGCAGTGAATAAGGAGAGCAGAGAGCTCACATGCAGTCCAATGGCTATGGTGTGGGCAGGGTCACGGAAACTTGGTGCATGCAGGTGGAGCATGGTCCTGGGTGGTTACAAGGTGTTTTAAGAAGGGCCAGCAGGGAAGAGGAGCAAGAATTGGAATCTGTATGGAGTTCATTCTCTGCACAGAGCTGTTGTGTGAGTGTGAAGATGCACTCCTGAAAGCCTATGAGTCAAGGTCAGGGGAGGGAGTCATTTGTTAATGACTGTGGTGAGAACCTGCTGCAGACTACCTGATCAAGAGGATAAATTGGATAGGCTGTCTACTGGGTGCTAAGAAAAGCAGTCTTAACTTGAGGCCTTGGTTTTCATGGAGGTTTTATCCCTGTGGAAATCTACTGGAAGCAGAACAAAGCATTTTGAAAGCACAGGCAGTTCCTAGACAGTATTAATAATAATATCCTAAATGCAAATGCTAGAGAGCCAGCCAGGGTAAATCCCTATTTCTGCTGCTCACAAACAGGGAAAATCTGGTGGTATCATCACAGATGTCATCTGAGGCTGCAGTGACTGAAAAGATTTCAGGATCAGGAGGAAGGTTGCAAAATTATGCTACAGCACTGCGACTTGAGACTTCTGGAGAGCAGACTTCTTTAGGGAATTGCTAGGCAGAACCTCTGTGGAAACTGCCAAGAGGGGAGAAGGTGCTCCAGAAAGCCAGCTAGTTTTTTAAGAAAACTTAGATTTCAAAACCAACTGTCCTGTTATACAAGAAGACCATGGAGTTCATCAGAACCTTGGCCTTACTTGACTTAGCAAGGATTTTCTTAAACGACTAAAATGCAAAAAGAGATATTGCAAGTAGAGGAAACATGGACAGGCCACAAAGGCAGAATCACAGAGAGAGAATCACCTATAGTGATGAAATTAGGTAGGCCAAAGTTCAGGTAAAACTAATATGGGGCACACGGGATAAGAAGGTGAGTTGACACTAGATCATAGAATATCCTGAGTTGGAAGGGACCCACAGGGATCATCAAGTCCAACTCCTGGCTCCACACAGGACCACACAAAAACCAGACCATGTGTCTGAGAGCATTGTCCAAATGCTTCTTGAACTTCAGCAGGCTTGCAGCTATGACCACTGCCCTGGGCAGCCTGTCCCAGTGCCCAACCCCCCTCTGGGTGCAGACCCTTTCCCTAACCCCCAGCCTGACCCTCCCCTGTCCCAGCTCCATGCTGTTCCCTCGGGTCCTGTCGCTCTCCCCAGAGAGCAGAGCTCAGCGCCTGCCCCTCCGCTCCCCTCGTGAGGGAGCTGCAGGCCGCCATGAGGCCTCCCCTCAGCCTGCTCTGCTCTGCTCGGGGCTCAACAAACCAAGGCACCTCAGCTGTTCCTCATGCATCTTCCCCTCCAGACCCTTCACCATCTTTGCAGTCCTCCCTTAGACAGTCTCTAATAGCTTTATTTGCTTCTTATACTGTGACACCCAAAACTATACCCAGTACTCAAGGTGATGCCGCACCAGTGCAGAGAAGAGTGGTACAATCCCTTCCCTCAACCAGCTGACAGTGCTGTGCCTGATAGTAGAGCTTCAGTGCAGGGACACCTTGAAAAATGGAGGACTGGATTTACAAAAGCCTTGTGAAGGTCTTTAAGGAGAACTACAAAGGAGATGCACAGCCCCATGCAATGGTACAAGCTGGGAGCCACCTGGCTGAGTGGAAGCTGAGAAGGACCTGTTAAGAATGGCCGTAAGACAGATGAATATTGTTATTCTACTAAGCACTGATGAGGTGGTACCTGGCACAGAGCCCTGTAGAAGGGCCTGGTGGTATGAGAGAGGGTGCTTGAGAAAATGCAGAGTCTAGCATGTGGCTGCCAAAATGGCCACTGGCCTGCTGTGGAGTACACTGCCTACAAGAATTTGAGGGAGCTGATCTGGTTTAGGCAGGCAGAAAGGAGTTCAAGAGGTGATCTAAGAGCAGCCTTCAACTACAGCAAACAAAACCAGAGATGAATTCTTCTTGGTAGCACCAGATGGTAAACAAGGGGCTGCAGGCACCAGTTGTGGTGAGGGAGGTTCGTGCCAGACATCGGAAACACTTCTTTATGAGGAAGGTGGTGCAGCAGCAGGACAAGTCGCGTGGGGAAACTGTGTGAGCTCCACCTCTGGAGTTGTTCAGGACTTGGTTAGACAAGACCATAGTGGACATGGCTTAGTGTTGTCAACAGTCCTGCTTTGAGCAGGAAGTTTGACCAGATGTCCTGGGGCCAAGACCTCCAAAAGTCCTCTGCAACCCTTTTTTCTATGATTTTTTGTGTAAAGAAACTGCTTTCCTCTGCCTTAAGAACATTTTCCAGGAAGAAGTTGCTATTCTGAACAAAGAAAAAGAAAACCCGATGACTATACTTCTCATGAGTCTTCTAATTTTGTTCTTAATAAGGACATTGTAATTAGGGTGAACCGGGCTACTAATGGTGTATGAACCAGAATCTCCATCTGGCATAATTACAGTGTTTATCACCATTAACTGTGCTTCATTTCTGAGGGGCTTACCTGCTTGCTATTTTGGATTAGATTTCTTCCATTTTTTTTCCCCAGTTCCTGGACAATGTTCACATTTCCTGTTTCCGTGGAGACACAGTAATAAAGTTTATTGCCAAAGGCTGCGCTGGTTCAAAGTTTGAACATTTGAAAATTAGAATGAAATGCAAATAGTTGCCTGCTTTCTCAATTGTATTTACTTCAAAACCACATATGTCTTGGGGAAGGTAATCTTTGTGGGTGTCTACTTTTACGGATGTCTTCTGTAGCAGGAACAGCTGCAGCTCTTGCAGGATGAAAATATCAGGCTAAGCAAGCTGGTGTGCAAGCTGAAGGCTCTGAACTGCTGGAAGCAAACCACTCAGAAGGCACGGCTCTCCGCAAAACTGAGAGATGCTGAGAAGGTTATATTTCCTTACCTATTCTTCTGTTTTAAGTGTCTGCTAAACTAATGGTCAGATTGGTCAGACTCATTATTATTCAGTGAGTTTATAGGCTTTCAAGGTAACCACATGTTTTAGATATAAAACTTTTTCCCCTCTAAGTTACAGGTATAAGGGTGGTCTTCAGCTGCAAAGGGCATGAAACAAATCACTGATGCTTGCTTGAAGCAAGAGCCTAGGAAGTATGAGCAGCCTACAGTATTCCTAATTCTGTTGTTGACTTAGAAGAATAACTATAATATTATATCAAAATAAACTATATCACAACTGACCAAACCATATGAAAAAGACAGGCAGATATGAAGTGAAAATGAAGTAGACAGTTTGCTTAAGAGAAGGCTGATGTTTTTTGTTTTGTTTTGTTTTGAAATTGGTATCTGCTTAAACAAAGCAGAACACAGCATGAGGTTTGTAAATTTAATTACAGAAATACAAGATGAAGCACAAAAATGACTAAATTAAACTAAAGTGAAGATGGATGGAAAGAAAAGTGCCTCACTGCTTTAAATGAGGTTGATTAGAATGGAACAAACAGGTTATTGATTGTTATATAGGTTAATTAGCTGCACATGTCAAGCAAAGGGAAGGCAGAACGGATCGTATTTAACTTAAAAAGAGTGAAAGCAAAATGTTTTTTTTTCTGTACTTGTTAATTTTGAAGCCAAATAAAACTGAATATGCATGTGTTCAGTTCAACTATATCACAGAGATGCTAAATTGATATTTTATTAATTTATTAATTTACATTAGATGCAGATCAGCCAAAAATGGATTGAATTATTGAAAACTTGTGGATTTAAATAAGAAATAAGAATTATCTTCACAGTATTAAAAAAAAGTCTGAAAGAAAAATAAATGGGAAAATTTGGCTTTTTTAAATGCCGAACTAACTCATCTTGCTGAGACAGAACTTTCTTGTGTCTGACTCTGCAATGACCCTGCATATCTAAGAACTGGTATTTCACCATCCTGCACTCAAGTGCAGAGGATCCTGGAGCTTGCTTGTAATGGGGAAGGAGAAAGAGCTGTTAAATCTGTGCCTGACATAATATCATGTATATACATATACATTTACATTTGTGTTTAAAACAAACAAAAAGACCCTACCCAGAAGGAAAACAAGCTACATCATGCACATTTTTCCTTTACAGATAACGAAGGAATAAACAGATTAGTAGATGGACAGCTCTTTCTAATGCACAAACAAGATGAAGTTTTGTTCTGCGCTTGTTTACACAAAAGAGCTTGAGTTGTTGATGTGGATGTAATTAAAGAGGTGCAATAGCACCCTCATGAAAGATTGTTATTATTTTAGTTAAAAAATACTGTCATCTCCAGCTGGAGTACTTATGCCTGTAACTCTGGTCAAAGCAAGAAAAAAATATGCAGATTTTCATCTTTAATGAATCTCTCTTGTCCATTCTGTTCCACATTTTGCCTTAAAATAATCCAGCCTCAGTTAGAAGAAAATATGAACAATTCAATCCTGCTCTACTAAAAATCTCTTAGAGATTATCTTTCAAGAAACCTGTTGTTATATGGAAGAGAGAATATCCCTGCTCTCATAACTGTTCCTGTTATTTACTTTGTTTACAGGAAGCTGTTCAAAACAAAAAAGAGTGTTTGAATGCTAAGATGATGGCAGAACAAGAGGTGACTTCATTGGAGGGTCAGCTCACGTCCATAAGGAAAACTCTTGTAAAATCTCAAGCAGACAATGACAAGCTAAAGAAACTGCTACATAAACAGGTATCTGAGTTAGAGCTCCAGATTCATCAGCATAGCAAGCTGAATTCTCCTCTCCATCTCACTTGCTTTAATGAGGATTTTGCCTACTGTTATTTTGTGAGAGGAATGGATTCAAAACCAACTGCATGATACAATTACTGAAGCTAGATATGTATTTTATAGCACTGAAATAGTGTGTTCATTTGATCTTTTTCACAACTGCAGGTAGAGAGAACTAGCGAAAACCTGTAGCATCTTGTATAAAGTTTAAGTCACATGCCAAAATGACAGCTGCAGGTACTATATTCATATATGTGATCAACATTGCTTGATCTATGTTTTTGCAGAAGAAAAAATGCATTTGATATTTTATTCCACAGGCAAAAATAATAATTAAAAAAAAAAAGTTACAGACCTTGAGGTTATTAATCTCCTACCCAATCATTAAATTTCAAGGAAACATTTAGACATGCTGTCATTAAACCCATGACAAAATCATTTCACATTTTTTGCCATCTGAATAGCTTCATGGATATATCACTGCCACAACAAGCTCTCTTCTACACATGGCTACATGTGCTGAAATGGCTCGTTCCTCAAAGACAAACTGAAAAGTGCACCCTTCACTTGCAACATAATTAATGCCAGGTAACATGACTATGGAAAATAAGCCTTGTCAAGCCAACCTCATTTCATTCTGCTGATAAGATTACAAGTTAGATAGATAAGCATAATGCTTGAGATGTAATACATATTTGTAAAGACCTTGTAACGTGGGTTAGCAGCATACACCTTCTGTATTTTAAATTTTAGCATTATGCAGTATCTCTAAAAATGCTACATGGATTAAGAACTAGATTTTTTGACATCTTACAAATGTGTTATTTTTATTAAATGAAGATGGTTTCTGATGGATTTCTACAGGGACTGGTAGCAGAATTTTCAGTATTCAACATTTTGGTCAGTGGCTTGGAAATAAATGCAAAATTATAGATTAAAAAGTTTACCGATGACATATTTGAGTAGGATTGTTAGTGAATTTGATGAGTTACATTTAATGAATAATGATGTGGGCAGAGCAGGTGTACAGAGTTGTACAAAGAGCTTGGTAACTTAACTGTCTCTCCAAGAAATATTGCGGTTTATGAGTAGATACAGAACGAGAAGAAAGCAAGGCTTCTACAGAACAGGGTAACAACATCCCTACAAAAGACAGGGATCGTAACAGGCAAATGAATGAAGTGGAAGGAAAGGATGGATGCTGCAGTCTTGTAGTTTATAAACAGCTAAATAACACATACACATTAAAAATGGTTTGTGTACAACATGCTGTAATACTGCCTCTGGTTCCAGAGTGTGCTATAAAAAGATGAGAAAATACAGAGAGGATGTGGAAATGGATTACGAAAAATGATTTGAAGGCTGCAGAAAACAGTCTAGAGAAGGATCCAGTCTATTGTGCCTATCTAAAAGGAAAGTGACTTGTTTATAATCTACAGATATTTTGTAGGGAGAGAACAGCAGATGCTAAAGGGTCCTTAGAGAAAGGTGTAACAAGAGGCAGTACCTAAAATTTGAGGACAAACAAACTGAAAATTGGAAATAAGAAACAATATTTTCAAAATGCGATTAACCATGGAAGTGACAACATCTGAGTATCCTTAAGTCAAGACCAGATGCCTTTCTGGGAAAGATGGCTTAGCTAAACCAGCTTGCTCATTCCAGTATGAGAGTAATTGAGGTAAATATTGTGGCATAAAAGTCAAATCTGATGCTTAATTGTTCCATTCTGAGCTTGTTGGCCTATGAACCTCCAGTCTTAGTATGGCTTAGAGAGCTTCCCAAATAAAATATTTGGGGCCTGAGTGCTTTGAGTTCTGACTTTGTGTTCTGATTTTTTTGCTGGTGCGGTGTTGCCTTTGGATGATAAATTGTTTTTTTCTGAACAGACAAGCTGCCAGTTTACTTCCAAAAGACCCACTGCATCTACCTTCTTTCTAGTGGCTGTTTTTGTTACTGGTTTTGTTTTTTCCTTCGGTTTCTGACATCGGCTTCTGGTTCTTTCTCTTGTTTCTAATTCTTTCCATTGTATAGATAGTGATGAAGGTGTTTACAAATTGCAGACTCTGTTTCACAACCCTTGGCTGTACAGGACAGCTTGACCCAATCTGCGTGGTTTGTAATACCATTGCATTCAGTTGGGATACAGATTCTAAAATGCAGCCACACTTACTGGCTTTCTTGACACACAGTATATAAACAGCAATGTTTGAAAATGCTGTGCTCATTTTTCCCTTCTCTTGCCTTGTTTATGCTTTGCTTTTAAAGACAAGTCCCACATGCAGACCAGAGGCTGGTTGCAGAGAGCAAATTACAGCAGAACAAGGAAATTGGAACCAACTGCCTTCTTGTTTATTTGCAATTGAACAAGTTCTACACACAAATGGTGTTTCAAGGCTTCTCTCTCTCACAAGCAATGCTGTAAATACAGAACTCTGTTCCCACTCCCCCTTACCCTTCCCATGTGCTCCCCCCTCCTGCAACCCAGATTTTATTTTGAGTTTAGGTCTGACTGTTCCTTTCATAAGATCTGAAGATAATTCAGATTTGTGTACCAACATTTCATTCTCTTCAACACCAAGCTGTATGGGATGGGGTCTCTCCTCATTCTGCTCAGCTGGGGATAATATCTCAGGACTGGTCATCAGGGTTTAAAAGGAAATCTAAAAGGTGGGTATGAGAATTGGGGAAATAATCCAAGTCTGAAACTTTCATGATTTTCTGTTGTAGAAACAAATGCTGTTGGAAATGGGACATCAGATGACACAAGAAGCTAGGAAGAGAGAAATTCTCAGTGCGGTGAAAGCTGAAAATGTGGAGAAGATGCTTGAAGAAATAGAAGGAAAAGAGCAGAGACTGAAATGCCTGACCAAGGGAGCTGAAAAGCCTTCTAAAATAGGCCAACTTCAACAAAAAAGGGTCAAAAAAGAAATGCATGAGGTAAACTCTAAGTATGCATTCAAAAAACAGAAATGATCGTATTTCTGGAGCAGCATCTCAGTTTTAACACTGTCTAGCTACATCTGAGCATATCCCCTCAAGTGTCTGAGTTTCACGGTGCTTCACAGCAGCCCTCCAGGGTCTCACAGCAAGTGGCACTGTGCTGGGTGCTGGGTGCTTGGGGTCACGCTCCTCCTTTGGGTGGCATCTTGTGTTTCTAGTAGCTGTCGAGCTTACTTTGGTATCTTTGTCCTATAGAGTGAGTATTGTTCCCCTTATTTTAGAAATAAACTGCCTGGGAGTTCATGCAAGGTGCTGTGCAGTGGGAACAAGAATCTGCAGTGCCTGGTACTTCCCTGTGACATTTCCCAGGCAGGGTTTTCCTCCCTCTGTGCCAGTGCTGCAGAGCTGATAAACTGCTGTCCTTTTGCTTTATCTACTGCGCATGTGACGTAAACCCTCTGCCCTTAGCTCTTAGTTTTGCATACATTACACCAGTGTTTCCCAAATTCTGAACTGCCAAATGAACATACTGGGGACAGGGCAGCTTTAACTCTGTCTATACACAGAAATGGCATTAGTTTTAACTAAACTGAGGCCATTGTACTGAACTGATGTATTGACTTTAAATTGGTTACTGCATTCCTAGTCGTGGATTTAGTGTAAGTGAGTAACCAGGTCGCTTTAAGAGCATCCCCCTGTAAAAGGGACTGTAGAGATTTAACTACTTCCATTTAAAAATGGTTTGGCCAAGTAAATCTCTGTGGATAGTGCAGCTGGTAGAGCGAGCTTTTGGCTCTGAAATGTGCAGTGTTTCTTTTGTCGTGTAGCCTGTAGAACAAAATGCTATTTGGAAACTGCTTGATTAGGCTTTAACTAGATGAATCCATCTACTAACTGACAGCTTTGCTACCACTAAAGTCTCCTAGTCCTTGTGTTCTTGATCTAGAAAGCACCTTGTAAATGTATCTGAATGCCTCTCCTGTAAGCCAAGCAAGTATATTCTGTCTTCAGTCTTCTGAAGCACCAAGGTGAAAGCATTGACTGTTTGTTTTCCAGAGTCAGGATGACAAATGCCATTCTGCTGGGAATAATTTCCAGGCTGCTGGCATGTTCTTTCAGCAAAATCGTAGGATAGTGAGAGACCGCTACACAGCCGAAGCAGTGGGTGCAGACACGAGGCCACTGGTTTCAGTGTTTTCTGTCTTTGATGGGGCTCTGAGCTGGGGCTCTGCTTGCTGTGATTGCAAAATAACCCTTCAAGAGAGCAGAGGTGGCAACAGCTGGATCAGCCGTGGAGGAGAGCAGAGGGCAATGGCAACTGCAACGGGGAGGCTTTTGCCACACAGCAGTCCCAGCCACAGGTAGCACCTGTGATCATTAGCACCAGCAAGCTCTGCATTTAAACTTGGCTGGCAATCTCTGCAGTCTGTGGGAGAGATGAAGGAAAAGCTGCCTATTTTTTCACATACCTCAGCCCTGAAATCAGAGGTAGGGTTACAAAAAGAGAACAGTGAGAGAGGTCCTCTGTGCTGGTTTTATTTTCCTCCCGCAAAGCCTGAAATGCAGATTCCAATTAAGCAATAATGAGGACATCAGTTTGCCCTATTTTCTGTTGTATTTTGCATCCAGAGGGATCATGGATATGCTTAGCAAAGCTGTAATTACAGATTATTACAACCAGCAAGAAGTGATGGTCTCTCATTCACAAGCACGCACAGGGCATCAACATTTTTTCCTCTAAATCTAGGCCCCTGCTTTAAGCTGGAATTGCTGGATTATGAATTTTTGTTGCTGCCATTAATCCTTTTATACCTTTTAGATAGGAAGCCAGTTAACCCAAGAGCGCAGTTTCAAACTGGAGACCTTCCAGCCTGCTGATGAACTACCGTGTCAAGTTTATGGCCTGGAAGCTTCCCAGAGGAATGTGACTGCAGGTAAAGACAGATTGTGTTGCAGCCTGTTTCCTTGGGGAAATAAGTCTTACAAGCTATGTGTCCACCTCCCCGAATCCCTCCTTAACCTTTGAACCACCAGGCAACTTCAGACAAGTATGAAAGAAGAGAAGACCTCCTCCATAACTTAAGTGCCTAGGTGGAAGGGAAAGACCTAAATCAGTCTCGGGAAGTGATTCCTTCCCTCACTGCAGCTGCTCAAGCAGTACAAGAAACATTGAGCCCTAAGCGAATAGCTTTAAACCACTGCTTAGGTCATCTTTTGCTTTGTAGGGACATCAGGGGAAATACGAGGGGTCTGCATTCAGGGGAGGAGGCAATTAGGAAACCAAGGATCCCAAGTGGTAGGAAATCAGGCTTCATTAGAGGCTCTGGTCTTCATAAAGCTTGCTTACAAATCATGCGGACCAGTGAAACAAATTGGTACGCTGGTAATTTGATGAGCTGTTTGCCCACGATTGTAGGTATCTTTAGAGGAGCTCAAAACAGCGGTGAGAACTTCCTAGCCTTTAGACAACTTAACCTGGAACTTAAACTTTAAGAAAAATCTTCCTTCTCTGCTGCTTGTTAGGTATTTTTTTTTTATGCAATGCTTACATAATTCACATAGTTTAGAACACTCAAATAAGGATTTCTACTCCTATCTGCCTGAAATTGCTGCTTTCTCTGTGGTATCAAAATCCTACTGGGGCTTCAGACTGTGAAACTCATGCAGACGATGGGTGATACCTAAATCCCTAGTAAATTAAATAGATAGATAGGAAAAAATAAACAATGATCTTCCAAGGTGCAGCTCTATGCCACAAGGAATGTAAAGTACCACAGATTTAGTTACAGTTTGCTCTGCAGGAAGACACTAGTTATTCCTGCCAGAGGAAACTGAGAAATGCTCGTTAGCACACTGCTGAAGACAAGGCATGAACCGATCATGGAGAAATAAAGCACAGGGAGGTATCTTTAATTAATGCGCACATCCGTGTGGTTTCTGTGGCTTTAAAACAATGAAGTTCAGGGGAAGTTTGTGCAAAATTTCTAAGTCTGATGATACTGAGAAGAAGGAAAGCAGGTGAGACAGAATGGAGACTTTTTTTTTTTCCCTTGCAGTAAATTACTGGTGTTAAACATGATGCAGAGCTAGAGAAATTGTCTGAGGAGCTTGGAGCTCTCTGTTGTAAACAGAGGACTACCATCAAGCTATAGACGTAAATACTTAGTCTGAACCTCTCCAATATATTCAGCTACCTTTTTTTCCTCATTTTTCTCCTACATCTGTAATAGTAGATGAATGTTGTGAGGTATTTTTTTCCCCTTCAAAAAGGTAGCAGGAACACGGCAGATCTGTTGTCCCATGGATCTAGTTCCAGCCCCCCTGATCTGAGCAACCTGAACCACATCCTCTAGCTCTTCCTGTGCTCCTCCTTCATCTTCACGTCTTCCTTTTCTTCCCTCCCAGCTGTGCTGAGCCATGGCCTGTCTGGGCGGTGTAAAACAGCTGCTGCCCTTCTCCCTGGGTTCCTGTGGTGCTTGTGTAGTCACTCCTCTCAAGCCCCGTGCTTCGGGCTGCAGACACTGCCTGCAGTCTGCCTGGGGGTAGCTCTGGGAGAGGCGTCTGCTCTCCTGGTGCTTTACGGGAGGCCAAGTGGCTTGGACATATATCCTGGAATAACGCCAGACACAGCCAACCTATACAGTCCAGAACGTTTTCCATCATAGCTGAGGAAGAGGAATGCCTTCCCAGAAAGTGCAGGGTTGCAGCTATGCAGCAGAACGCCCTCACTTCTCGCCTACAGTTCCTGGCAAGGCTAACGGGTGGTTTCGATGCAGTACAGCAATGCCACGCCGTACACAGGTACAAACCGGGGTTAGATCGTGTTAGGGGTGGTGCCAACCACAGCATTTGGTTCAGCAGGCTGAAGGGTGGTGTTAAGTGGCTGCATCTCTGCTTTTGGGAATCCTAAAAGGACAAAGACTGGAATTCACCAGGAGCACGTTATTAACCCCTCCACTCCCACCTCTTTTGATCTTGGCTTTCAACAGGACCAAAGAAATCAGGGTTGCGGGGAAAATAGGTGCACGTAACTGGGCACAATTTTTTTTGCTTCACTGATCTATTTCCTGCTGAAGAAATAAATGCTGATACCTTTGTTACTATGAACGAGAAGAGCTTAGAGTGAGCCGTTATGTAAAAATACCGCAACTAATTTTTGTTCTGCTTTGTGTTAAGATCATATGTGAACCACTTTGTGCAGGCCAGGCAAGCTATTGTTAGCACTGCCCTGAGCACTCACAGCTCACTCCCTTTCTGTTGCTGTTGTTAACATTCTGCTAGAGATCAGAAACAACAGCTGTGGCATTTATTCAACGCAAGTTCCCCTTTGGCTGTGTTGTCAATAACACTCCAGGTTCTGCAGCTCAGGTCCAGAGGAACAGGTCTGCAGCCTCCACTCCGCTCGCTGATTACAAGCAGCGCCCTTCGAATCCTAATCCAAGAAGCAGCACCGTAAAAAGAAGAAACACTCAAAGACCAAAGACAGTAAGAACACTGGCGCTGGTAACAGCAGTCTGAGAGAGCTGCAAATGAGCAACTCTTTTGCTCCATGCACCCCTGGGGTACCCTGAGATGGTTGGTGACTCTTCCATTTGTTACTTGTGCTTCCAGGTTCCTAGCAGATGGAAGGAGAGCGTGGCAGAGAGGCCGTTACCACACCTAAATGAAAAGTCTCTTCCTACTGTCTTCCTGCAGCTACAGGAACAGAGGCCTGTCCAGAAGTAAGCCTAAATATGTTTTTTAATCAGTTCGAGGTGTTTCAGAAATTACCCTGGGTTGGCAACCTTGAAGTGAGAGAAGCCCCATTTATACACAAACCAAAGGGAGGCAGCAGTCCTCCAGTGCTGTGCACGTACACTTCAACACCTTTGGATACAGTGCTGGTAGCTACAGCCAGTTCATCCTCTAACTGGGTGATGCAGGTCCTCCTTCTGAGCAACAGCAGCACTGCACATCCTCCTCTGACAGACAGTGCAGCACAGCAAGGCAAGGATACCAGTCAAAACTAACAGGCTTCCTTTTATTGCGGTAACCTTGGAACACAGCCGTGCAAAGCACAGCTAAGTTCTCAGAGCAAAAGTGGTTTTAGTTAAACTGCTTCCCTATTGCAACCATCGAACACCACCACATCCTGCCTGACTGCTTTTACCCCCAGAGGTTGCTGCCTGTGCAGTGAACCTCTCATGTTTAAAAATGAATCATCAAAACGTCAGAACCTTTACCTTCCCTAGCACCTTCTTCTCCTTCCCCCTAGAAAGGGGAAGGAGAGCGGCTCAGGGGAAGGAGAGCGGCTCCTTGCACCGTGCTGCACTGCTAGAGCAAAATGCATAAATTCATGCTCCCTTATCTGCATCTCTCCCACATGTAAACCCATTGTTTTTATAACTGAACCAATAAAGGAATCAAAGATGTTTTTCAGAGATGTGTCAGATTGTTCTGCAGCTTTTGATGATGAGTTAGAATGCTAACCTATCAGCATCACCCAGGTCGCTGGATGCTTGTGGACGTGAATAACAATACTCACCTCATTTATAAATAACCAAGGCTTAAGCATTATTATTTCATTCAAGTTGGCTGCTACTGTACAAGTAGCAATATAAACAGAATGCTGTGGAATCAGTCATCAAATAACACGAGTTCTTTTTAAGGTGTGCCTTAAACGAATAAAAAGGGGGGCTGGTAATTACATAAAGCCAGCTGTTGCTGAAAGAGTTATCAAATGTGATCATCACACATTCCAGGAACCAGAAGCCAATTTGGATGTAGAACAACATCCCCTGCAAGAAGCACTTACACGCCACTGCAGTGGTAGAAAGGGAAGGGATGGCTCAGGATAATCACAGCATCTTGATGTAATACTCCTCTGGGAGCTCGATACAGCAAAATTCAAAGATGAATTTTGAATGAGTGCTGCACCGACAGAAGGTTACCCTCCAAGAGCAGCAGTACCACAAGGCTAGTACTATAAGAAAAAGCAATCCTGCAAAGGCTTTCAGTGCTGCGCTGTGACAAATTTAATTCAGTGCTGGACTGCATGATGTAATGGATGATTTTCTGGAAGGCACAATTTTAACACCTCAGGAAGCTCTAGGTTTCCTCCATTTCCATACAGCCTTTCCAGAAACAGTACTCAAGTTTTGCAGATTTCTCGTATTTGACCGAGTTGTGCCACCACTACCCTTGTGACACATTCGCACTTGACTACTCACAAAACCATCGAGGTCATGATGTGAAACTACTGAGGTTAGTTCACTGAGAGCTGGTGATGGTTTCAGTCAGCCTGTGACTACAGAACTGCATGCCCTATGTTGGCTTTTTCAAGCATACTCTGACAATCACTCCCTAGCAAATATCCTTGCTCTCCTGATTACACAGGAAAGGCAATCAGATCCAGAGCAACCCCTTTTTCACGTAGGCAGGGATCTTAACATGAAGAAATGCTATAACATGAACATTAACAGCTTGCCCAGAGCCACAGACTGCAGCCCCTCTTCCACCTTACAGGCAGCCAGCCAGTATTAGGAACTTTGCTACTGGAAAAAGGCACATTCAGCATTAGACTTACAGGTTGTCACAGGTGGAACATGTGACAAATACCTTGTTCTGACCTGGCAGCCAAAGCACAACAGAGTTAACCTAACACAGCAAATTTCATCACCTAATTGAAAATTACTTTTCTGAGACAATTCTAAATCTGAATCTGTACTTTTGTACAAACCAAGCGCAAAGTTAACAACTTCAGAGAGCTAGATCAACTCTTCAAAGATTTTGTTTTTGCGCTTTCCCCAGTGTTTGACTGCTGTAGAAAACAGTTCTTATCTCCAGAAACTTGGCAGACTGTCCCCTCTGGGATTGCTCACATGAAAGAAAGTTTACAAGTAAAATTCCATTCAACAGATTTTATTTATCAATTTGGTTTTGTGATTACAACTGTTTCAGTTTTCTTCCACTGAAGACAAAATAAACTTTTACAGCAACACTTGCAAAGAACATTCATAAGATAACAGCTTGATATTTGCACAATTGGCTTTGAGAAAAAGCCAGATAACTTGAAGAGTCACTACAGTTCAGTGCCTAAAATTGATTTAGGGGCAAATAAAACTACAGATCTATGAGCTACCTTCCACTTCAAAACACAAGGCCGAGAAGAACTGCAAGTTGTTACTTCGGGTTATTTGCTAGTACACTGCACAGAGTAGCCAATACTGCAACTTCGCCAAGGAGTAATTTGCTTCTACAGTGAGGCAGCCAAGCACAGGGTGGAGACATACAACCCAGGCCCCCTCCCCACAGAGGGGAACAGGAAATGACCCCAGCCCCAACTCTGGAAGCTGTGGATTATACCTAGGCAGCAAGGCTAATGAGCAAGCAATGCACAACGCAGGCCTTCCAGAACACAGCTGAGCTGACGCAGTACAAGCTCGAATTTTTCAGACTGGTATCTGTACGTGTCAGAGATCCTGGGTTTCCTAAAGTCTTGGAAAGTAGCCACTGCTGGCACCAAGAAAAAAAATTTAGTAACTAAGGCAAGGTATCCTTTCTACCCTTTTAAACAAAATCAGAGGCAAAAGATTAAGCAATTTTAAGGCACTTGAAAATTATTTTTGTTTGCTTTATCAGCGTATTTTACAACCTAAATCAGAATCAGCATAGCTCATGAATAAGCATTTTAGCAACATATTACAGAGCAACAACTTTTTTTGGTGGCAACGTCTTCCATGCTATGAAGTGTTCTGTAGCATTTTTCTGCAAGTTTCCGAAAAGATAGCCCTTGGAGGCAAAAATATATATATATAACACACTACGAATACAGTTTGCTTTGCTGAGCTGAGGAGAACTCTGTCACACTTTAGGAGAGTATTTTGCTCACTTCAAAGCACAGAATACAAGCTCATGGATATCTTCTTAAACAAATAAAGGTAATAAAATAGTTCTGAGATAGGGAAAGGAGAGATTAAGTGATTTCACAATAAGGCCAAGGATATACCATCTAACCCACACACACTGTTGCTGGAAGCTGGCTGCTCACTTGTTTTAATAAACCTGAGCTGATTGTCTTAGGTTTGCTTAGAAAAACCACAAGCTCATGAACTCAAGGATACAGTACTGGTGAATAACCTTTGTATTTTGTAGTAATTTGAGTTTTCTATGCAGCACAACAGAAACAATGCCATTCAAACTAGAACATAAGAAAGCAACACTGTGCACTTAAGTGATCTGCAAATGAAGTGCACTTGATTTGCTTCGTGTCTAAGCTACACTGCCATGACTATTACCTGCATTAATGCTATCCTTTTGTTGCATTTCTGCCAAATTTAAGTCAGATCAGAGCTAGTAAGACAGTACTACAGATGATCCTGAAATTGATGATCAAGCAGTATCATCAAGAGCTACTCTCATGTGCTACACCCACTGTTTCATTTTATTTTTACTTCAGTTTTTCCTGTGGGGTTATCTTTGTGGGTCTTCAAGTAGGTCTACTTTGGAAATGACGTACCTTTGTTTACACTTAGATCACAGGGGTGATCCAGCCAAGGAGGGAAAAAAGAAAAAAAGAAATAAAAGCATTTGGCTGAGTAAGTTTTCTTAACCAGTTTCCTGCAGGGTCAAACAAACCCAATACCAGGAACGAGGCTCATGGAAGATACAGCCCTGACACTACCAGGCCTACAGCAATCCTGACTTGGATCAAATCAGCAGATCCTCTGACTACCCTTAATCGCTCCTGCAGCAAACAGACACAGGAAGGTTAAAAAAAAAAAAACACAAAAAACACAACTGAAATCAAGTTGCATTTGAATAAGGAAAGTCAGGATTTCCCCAAACACCAATATTTCAAGTATAAATGGAAATCGTTGCCTTTTCACACAGGGAGTGAACTGTACTTTCTCTATCACTTCAGTTTTATGGTCTTTGCATGCCAGAACAAAAAGGTAAACGACTTACAGCTAGTTTGTAGCTGAACATCACTGTACCATACTCCCTTCACCTGCAAACAAGGTCAGCAAGGGACAGTTATTTAATGCAGAAGATTTTGAAACTGGAATGCTTAAGTCATACATACTCCTTTCTCCTATATAAAGCTAGTACCTACTAAATTTTATTTATCTTTGATAGGTGGGACACTTTTACAGCCTGCTAATTTTTAGTCTTTTAAGGCACTAATCTTCATTTCCCCTTTACGAGCATTATCCATACATCCCCTCTCCACCTTCAACATTATCTGGGAAGGGCATGGGATTTCTGTTTGGAATGCATTATTTTGTCAGGCAACCTTTTATTTTTTTCCTGTTTAAAAAAAAAAGAAAAGAAAAGAAAAAAGGGTTCTTTGATTTCACTATGAGACTATCTACTTCTACAATTTCGTTCACCTTTCTAGCAACACGCTGTGCAAGCCACAAGCTAGAATAAATGGTATTTCACTCCCTGAAGTCAGTCACCAATAATTCACATCTTAATAAAACTGAAGGGACACTGTATCAAATGTTGATTAAATCAGCCTTCATAGGAAGTCATGAGATTGTCTACTCGAGACAGTGTTGCCACTGAGTAAGAGACTGAACATCTACATTTGGCATATCAAAAACAAAAGAAGTCCCACATCAGCAGCCATTAAAGAAAAGACAGCCATTAGAACCCATGCAGCATATTGCAAGTAATCCTGTTGGAGAGATTCATATTACCTCTTGCCAAGTATAATGGTGCAAAAATATTCTTTTGAAGTCTTCTCTTAGAAATTTAAAGGATATTATGAACTGCTGTCTTCCATGAGCAACAGAAAATATTTTGGTTCAGTGAACTACAGGTGTTGGGCTACTAGTCCATTATAAAGTGACAGGTCCTAAAGTGTGTGGTAGTTTCGGTCTTTTGACCTGCAGAATTTGTACAGAAAGAAAATAACGGCCTGCAGACCCAGGACAAGGACGATTCCACCGATGAAACTGGCAGCATCGAACGTAGACTTGCGTGAAGAAGGTGCAGGAGTCACAGTACCTGTCAAAGGACACAGAGCAGGTTGTGAGTGTACAATGCTTACAACTTTACAGATTGTAGCGTTGGTGTGCTCCTGTTAAGATTACTCAGACAAAACATTTGAACACCAACAAAAACAAAACGTAAAAGTAAAGGTATGCCAGCAGCTGCATTTAGGTAAGTGATACTGAAATTTTAATTAAGCAATGTTTGTAAAAAGATAGGGATATTTATGGCCAAGCTACCTTGGACCTCAATACTGAGCAAGTCCCAGCTGGACATTATTCGTATTTCAAAAAGCCAAAGTTTTCCTCCTTTCCATAGTGTAAGATAGATATGGTCAGTCAAAACCTGTTTTCCAATTTTTCCTGCTTGCTCTTTTTTGCCTAAATTTGCATTATCTTTCATCTACTACACTTTTACTCCAGAAATTATACTTTAAGAAC